CTACGTCGAGACTCCTCCTACGCCATAGTGCCGGTAGGTATCACTTCCCCGCTGGATGTGTCGGCTGGGGTAAAAGCATAGGGCCCCAACGTAGATCCACGGAATCGGGAATCGGTAACGTAGCTGGTCCAGGGATTGTATTGGAAGTGGAAGCACTCAAAGGCTGGTCCACGCTTGTATATTGAGGACGAAAGGAGACAGGATCATGTAAATTTACACGGCTGCAAATCTGATCAACGTGACCCTTAGTTCCATTTCGTGCTAGAGAATGGGACAACACTCTATGATTCATAATGAACCAGATACAGTACTATTCGCAGCGCTATCAAAACTAGCGATTGAGGGCGACTTGGTCCAAGACGAGCAGAAGAGGTATCTGAACGTCGATGAGTAGTCGCTTTCTGAACATCTCCAGAGGGAGGGGTTGTAGCTCTGACTTTCATTTTAAGGTTTAAACAGCTTAGCCGGGTAGTTGGCCGAGAACGAAGCAGACTTCGGAGGGTGGCGAGTCACACCAACGTTGCAACCCAAGCTCCTGCGAGTCACGCACTCGAGCGATCGGAAGCGGAACTGCCTGGGTATGTGCCCCGGTGGCAGGTCCTTGCAAAGCGTAGCGGCTCCGATGTCAGGGGAGGCCGGTCGTGCGACGATTGTGGGGGAATCACTCGGCCACGGAGAAGCAGACCCGGATGCGTTGGTTGGTCCAATGAAGACATCGGCAAAGCCACCTGAAACGCCTGCTGAAGGCTGGGTAGCATCTGGCACACTTCCGAGCACATCATCATTTGAGGCCTGGAAATCTAGGAAAGACAATCGGTCCATGGAATTCCAAGGTAGTTCGGAATCAAGCCAAGGAAATATAGCATACTGGTTGTCCCAGGGACTCATCTCAAACATTCGTGCTACCTGTGACTAAATAAACTCTATGTTAATAAAATAAGAGGGCCCTAATGTTTAATTGGCTGCGCAATATTGCTTTTCTGAATGGGGAGCAGACATAATATTCTACAAAACCTACAAAGGACTCAACAGCCTTTAGGTAGTGACACCAGCTACACACTCGTGATTCGCACAAGATGAGGCCGGTCTCCCGTGCTACGCATGAGAGAAGAATATGGATCATTGACAGGACTGATAAGAGAGCAGTACTTCGCCGATCAAGGGAGAGGCAAGAGTTATTGTTTCGATTCCAGGTATGTACAATCAGCCTAAGACTTCGATCAGTCTGGAACAGACACTCTCTTGAACTGAAGACCGTTACAAAAGACGATTCCTTCATGATTTTATATTTCTAGATAAAATAAAGTGACGTTGGGTGCTGATTATCGAATGTAATGTCAAGCTCAACATGCAGCAATCAAAACAACCTTGGCTCAAATTTAAATTGGTTTCTACATTACACTTTTCACAAGGATCAAGCTCACAGATGACTTAGAATCGCCCATATGCCTTGAAGCTCACTATCAAAGCACCCCTGCAGATGCACACTCATTGCGTGTTCCATGACCCCAGTTTGTCCTTCACCTCCTAGCCAGTCATCAACAACTCCAGCCCGATCAATCTCGCCCACTAAAATGATAAAACACGCCGAGCCAGTGGTCAGCCCTACCATCAACCTACCCTCGTCGTGCGCAGCGGCAGGATCCGACATGTGGTCACTCAACAACCTCTACCAGCTCCAGATTATCTTCTGTAGCTCCCAGTAAGCGGGAAAAGCATCACCTGCAATCGCGACGATGACGATCTAGTTCAAGAATGTTAGATAACAGACATGGTGGTCAATCGAGTTATCAATGCTTACTGGTCCAAAATGAAGTGACTTTTCGATTAACCTGAAACTACGAACAGTATATATGCATGCAAACGACCGTGCCAATAGAATCATCCCTTCCCTAAACTTTTTCAAAGCGCGCAGACGCATACAATGTCAAGCTTCTCATGCTCAGCTAGATATGGTCAACTATGTTTCAACATTATAAGTTTAGATTAACTATTTGCTATGTTCTTCAGAAGCAATTAGGAAGTGGTTAGTCTCTTATCGGTTAATCTAACGATTAGCACCCAGTGGAATGGATAATGCGGTGCACTTGGTGCGAAAGGGCGTTCATGCCAGAGTGAGATGGACTACAAATGTTCTTGGGTAGGTATGTATAGCTATTCTGTGCCGCCCAAGAAGCTGTCGAATTTGAGGCCAAAAGAGGAATATGAAAATCAACCAATGCGTCTCGTTGAGTGATCGGCAACTAGAGAGAGCATCCAATCAATTATCGATCAATACCTGTTGAGGTCAATCGGTTGGCATGTGGCACAAAGTCAGGATAGCTTTCCACTGAAAATGCCGATCATTCTTAACAGAATAGCAACACGATGCATTATACATTATTAGACTAGAGAAGCCACAGAAAGGCTATGATTCCAACCAGCGTAGCAGCCGCGGGTATTTTAAAAGACGGTGTGCCCGAGTTGGCAGCATTCCAGTCCTTGACGCATTGGTTGGAACAATCATCGGCTGCCTTCTCGCTAGATTCCTCGCCAGTGTAGTACTGATCGTTACACCGTCGCACACATCCCAAAGCCTGGCAGTTGACTATGTTCTCGTCGGCCATGTTCCGCCCGTTCAACTCCCGTTGGCTCCATGTGCCGTTGCCTTGCTGGAAGATGACTTTGTTGCTGTAGAAGAACCCATGCGCGTTCTCCTGTCCCTTCTTGATGAGACTAGCGGCGAATTGAACCTTTGTACCGTTCGGCACCACGTCGCTGGGGACAATGACGCTGACTTGTTGGGGGCGCAGATCCAAGTTGTCTGCGAGCCAGCACTCGGGTCCTGTGCCCCAGCCCGGCGGCGTCAGCGCAAGGTAGACGCGGTAGCCATTGTATGTTTTTCGCAATTCCGAATCTTTGTCCAGCGTTTCGGAGAGGGTAACATTCGCGGCTTGGTTGGCGATGAGCGTGTTCGGGGCAATGAGGCCGCCGGCTTGGACTTTGACCGACAGCACGGCCAACAGCACCAGAGCTGTCACCACCCGAGTAACGAGCGGCGTGAAGGCCATGATACTACGCGGGAGTAGTGAGTGATGATGAAGCTTAAAATGAAGGTTGGCTGAGACGGAAAGTGGGAGATTTTTCACCTTGAATCCAAATTTAAATTGCAAGGCCTAGCTTAGCACAGGGATTGTGCTGACTTGACCAACTTGGGGAGGTCCGTCTCCAATCGAATCCTGCCAAGACATGTTTTAATAGGCCATAAACCGGGAATTGAGAAAGGGTCAATCCCATTCTCTTTGTTCAAGTTATGCAATTCTGTAAATTCGTGCATGGCTGTCTTGACGGATCTTAGAGCATGCATATGAGAGGCTCGCTTCATTTGTTCATAAAGAACTCACAAGACGAAGAAAGTATTACCATCGTTTATTCATAACTGTGCTCATAAAAGAAGACTTACTTACCCAAGAGAAGTTAGAGATGACCCACCGGAAAACCGTCCATGGTTTGAGTCAGGACTCAAATGGCTCGTCACAAAAATACCTACCCTAGATACTAGAGAAAGATTAGCCAACGTAAAAGACAACAAGGTAAAGATGGAGCGGTAGAGTATTAGGAAGATGTTACTCACCCTTTCTTTCAGGTCGCTGAATTATTCAATCGGGTAATCTGCATGCATAGAATAAAAGGTACATTGTTGGCTTGTTGAAAAGAACAAACACGGTTTATAGCAAGGTCCCTACTTCACGATTTTGAACAGTGGTGATTTGTAATGATACGCTGTCTATGTAGTAAACATCGTTACACTAATACAGACTGGCAAACAACGACAATTCACAGTATCATATCCAACGACTCATTAGGTATGAAGACAACCGAGATTCGCAGAGGGTCTCCTATAAATTGGCGATATCACGTAGCGAGCTCAGTAGAAAGCCCCCAGCCATACCAAAGGGTCGCTATTATTGTGATCAGATTGAAGTGGATGCTAGCAGCATGATATTTGCTGAATGTCTTCCGTAAAACAGCTTTATCCTGGTTAAGCGGCTCTCTCTCGCTTGGCTCAGTTCGGTCATTAGCCGTCGCTAACGATACGTATATGTTAGAACTGAACTTCTCACAGGCATTTGTCCAATTATAAACCAACATACCTGTACCTAGCTGGTCGATACGAACCATGGCTCTGGAGGTGCGAGGGCCATAAAAAAAGAGGTTTAGTGCCGCCGTGCAAGCGCCAACCAGTAGTGGGATCCAACTGGACTTGCGTTCTATGAGAGACAGGAGCCCACGGGAGGGAGTAGTGAGGGCTAGGAGGACGAGGAGGGAGGATTGGATGCGGAAATAAACCGGGAAGACTCTCGCCTGCAGTGCGGTGAAGGGTTTCCTTGGGAGGACGAGGAAGCATATTTTGGTCATGACAAATGATTGATAGAGCTCTGTTCCGAGAAGAGCTGAGTAGCACAGAAGGTGGGCGGGACCGGTGCAGAAAATTGATTGAATTACAGAAAGGATGGATTGAGTGATGGCCATGGTGTGCTGATGATCCCAGGAAGCAGATGCGATGGATGTAGGAGATTGTACGTCGACAGTTTTATTCCTCTAGTTCAGAAACAACAAATGGCAAATCAAAGATGTTATGAATCGCATATTTGCTGATTGGTTTATTTATGCTACAGCATCCGCTGCGTATTCTGAGTTATGCCGAAGAAGTCCGGCTCTTACATCGGTGTTGGGTCGAGCAGTCGGCACGGAATTAACCCGACTCGGCCCAAAACATATACACACTCGGTTGAAGCCGATAAACTAGGGAACTAAATTTCATTAGTCACCGGAATTCAATTCTGAAGACGTGAATTTTCTTGCTCGACCAAGGAAGAGAACATGAATGAACTACCGCGATAAAAGTTTTCGGAAGCCATTTAAAGAAGTCAACCATACCAGCATCCATCAGGCCTCTGAGTGATCCCCCTCTATCAACCATAACTCGGATTTCTGGTATATTCATGGTTACGACTGTCCTAAAATAGCTTCACCCAAGTTAGGCTTGCCGTAGACTTCTTGCCATCCTACATTAGAATACTCTGATTAGCACATCTAATTTTGTCACTGAGCTAGGTGTTTATCATCTCACCGATAGGAGAAACTCCTGTGTAGGATGCAGAGTCATTAGCCCACGTCCGTCGTCGTGACTGATCTCAACCCTCCTGACTTGTTCGGATCCAACCCAATTTGGGTCTAAAGCGACGTGAACCGTAGTAGCAAGATAATCACTCTCTCCCTCATGGAAAAGCCTGAACTGACCGCAATACGACACATGAGGCCGCGCAGCACGAAGGACTTCCTCGTCACGTGCTTGGAACCAGGCCCCGTCTTTAGTTGGGCTAGTAGCTCTGGGATCAGTCACATGAGCTGACATGAACTGATCTCGCGTAAACACGATTCGCCCAAGAGGTGTTTCTCCTCCCAGTTTGCGGACCTCCGTCTCTCCAGATTCTGACGACACTACCATGTCATAGGATAGGAGCTCCCAGGTTCCGATAATTGTGTCTAACAGAGGTGCCATTGCAAGACTTGTGAAAGCCGATGATCTTCCTCCGTAAATCAAGTCTTGACTCTTGGCTCCGATTGACCCTTAATGAGAGGATAAACGGAGAGGCGAAGGATGTAGGAATTGGATTTTGCTCTGTGAATGCAAACTGATGGAGGTTTTGTTTTAAGTTTTATGCCACTCTTGATATTAAAGGGGTGAGATTATGTAGTGGAGAAACCCCGCGATCTTTGCGAATGCTTGAAAGATGAGGAAGCAGCATGAGCCTTCTTAATTATCTGTTTGCTAAAATCATGTTGGTAGGGTTAATGTAGGATAGCTGCCTTACAGTTCCGCCTGGACGGACGGCATGGGACGGAAGAGACGGGAACTCAGACCACGGGTCGACGGGGCACTTCCGTTATCCCAACTAACCACGGACTTGGAATGATCCTAATGTAGACTAAGGAGATACCAAGTTCAGGCTACAGGTGACTAGTATCAAAAATAATAGTTCTGGCTAGTTTAATCACGCATGATAGTTCAATGCCAAAGGGTACCAACACCCAAACCCTGCGAGCATAGAAAGAAGATAGGGGCTCAAAATTGACATGATAAGCAACGGCTATACTTCACGCAGATAACACTCGCTACAGACTAGGTTGACCATTGAGAACGATCATTGGCTCGTGGATAACTCATGATGTGTAAGTTCACAGTATTAGGTGGATGAATAAATATCGTGTAAAATCTCGATACAATCACAAATGCACCCAGTTAAATGTTGAGTAAAGCCTCTACATAACCTGCAGCTAGGTAATGAATCAAATGTCAAGTTGACCTCTAACTACAAGCTGTTATTACCACGGCCCCTCGTTCATCCTTCAGTGTGGCCACGATGTTTACAGAACATATCGGAAGCGTGGGTTCTAAACATAGCACAGATTAGCTTCAGAATTCAATCAAGGGTGGATGGTTTTAAGCAGCTTACCTCCAAGTCTGTCAAGTCAGCAGACACCTCATCTGCGGCATTGGCATCCTCTTCAAGAGCCGGATGAGTCTGATCGCGCTTCTTGTTTCTATAAACAAGCAACATCCGGAGCAAGAAAGCAATGCCAACCTGGCCCACTGAGCACGAAAGAACCACGGCGCAGCCAGTGGGGTATGTTGGAGACTCCCTTTCAAGGAAAGCGTGGGGACCGATGATGTTACCAATGCAGTATGCCGCAAAGACGATAGCCGTACCGGTAACACGCTTGGTATAGCCTCCAAGGTTTGCTGCTGGCATCTGGAGGGCGACGACGAGCGAGGCCACAAAACCTCCACAGATGTAGTACCCAATCAAAACTCCAATCTTGTAGTTCTGTCGGTCGAGCTTCCACATCAGCGAAGTACCAATGATGGTGGGTACTAGATAGGCCATCATCACGTATGTTCGGCAATTGCGAAACTTCGAGGCAAGGAAAGTGCCTGTGAGAATCCAGAAGACCTGGAAAGCGCCTTGGGGAATACCAAGAACGGTAGTTAAGAGAGGATCCTTAACCAGACCCTTGATAATAAGCTTGCCAAAGTTGGAGATACCACCGTTGATGATCTCGTTGAGAAGCATGAATAGGGTGAGTAGCCAAATCTGAGGGTCACACAGAGCTTCCTTGATTTGATAAATCTTGATGTGGCGATTGAGAATTCCGGTTCTTCCGAGTTTGGCACGTCCTATAAGGGTAGCCTTCTCCTCAACTGTAAAGTTCTTTGCACTGAGGATGTTGTCAGGCAGGAAGAGGAACATGATAATGCCCCAGACAATGGTGATGCCGCCGCAAAGAAGGAAAATAGCTTTCCAGACAGGGAATGAGTGGATCTGTCCAATGCCGTAGGAGAGAAGTCCTCCGAGCATGGAGCCGACACCATTGCAGCTGTAGAAAATACCGGCTCGGAAGGGCTGCTCGTTTCTAGTATACTGTTTGCAACGTTAGACCACATTTGGCTTCGGTAGTTGGTTTGGTCGTGTAACTTACCCACATACTAACGATCATGATGAAGCAAGGGGTGATTGGTGCCTCAAAGAAACCAAGGAAGAAACGGCAGGCAGCCAAGCCGCCAAAATTGTTGCACGCAGCCGTGAGCATGAGCACAGCTCCCCACGAAATCACGCAACTAGAGACCACTTTGGCCATCAAAGTGCGTTGGGCTAGCGAGCTCCACGGGTACTCTGCAATTAAGTATGCAAGATAGAACATACTCGCAAACCAACTGTACTGGGTCTGCGTTATGTTGGTATCGGTGAATAGATCGAAGACGGCCGCATACGAAAGAGCTTGTTTGTCGATGTATTGCATCATATAGGTTCCAGCCAGAAGCGGAAGAATTCGCATGTCCACCTTCCATATAAGCTTCTTGACAGCATGCTCGTCGTTGATGAGTGCATGGAGTTGTGCACTACTGATGCCGTTGTCTCTCAGGAACTGTTCACCCTCGTCCAATTCTGCGACGGTGCCATCTTCGACGTCGGACACCTTTGAGCGAGTCTCCATCTTGAGTGATTTAGAGTCGTCCTTGGTCTCCTGATGGGTTTCCATCTCAGGTTCACTGGCTGTGGTTGATGATGAGTTGGCGGATTAGGAGTAGACGTGTCGATCTAGGGCATTGAATTCTGCATTGAAAGATGACCCAGGGGTTCTTGTATTGAATCCGAATCGCCCCATAGATGATGGATGGGGTTTAGTAGTTTTCTTATCTTGGGGCTAGGCTGGGGGAATGATATCTCCGGCACTGATAGTTACCGGGGGCGGCAACTCCGTTGGCTGGACGCGAGTGATTCCGTCTCCTCTGAAGCTTTCTCTCCACTTTTCGGCAGATGAACTATTTAGATATTTCCCCACAAGCTATCTCGGTCTCTACTTCTGGCAGCGACTTATCTCGACTAACAAGACCAAGATGAGGGGAGGGGAGTCTATCCGAACCCTCTACCCACAAAGCTAGTGGCATGGTTTAGATGTTAGGCGTCTTGGAAATTCACAATTCTGGAGTCGCCACCCAACTTTATCTCAGATATCGGTACACTTTATCTGGGGGACAGTCCTGGGTTCCGGGTCCAGTAGCATCATATCTTTGCTGAACCTTTCGGGTAGCGGCGGTTCTTGCTCCTCAGATAGAGCTATTTCCACGAGATATGATCATCCCCTAGACCTACTAAATGATAAGCAGAGACAAAGGAGCTAAATATCATGATACAAGCCCGGCCGAGGATAAAGAAATGGATGATGGTCAGGTTGACCCAAGGGTAAAGGAGGAGTCCTGCTTTCGCGGACTGCGGAAACGTACCGCTCGTTTTAGACCGAGGATAACCTAACCCATCTTAGATGCCATGAATATGCGAGCCACGTCTACATTTGTCATGTAAGATATCACCACTATGACTTCACTCTAATCCAGATTGACCCCAGTCCTCGACCAGGGATTCGACATCTCCACTCAACCCCATTTCAGCCAATCCGTCGAGATAAAACATACCCGAGACATTGTTCAAAAGGCCAACCTGCAGATCCTCCACGTATACCGTTGAAAGCGAGTCACTCTCGGCTATCTCCAGCTCCCCTTCTAGCCCCATTCCCTGTTCTTGGTTAACCGAACTTTGCATGGCGCTCACCCATCCGTCAAAATCAAACGTTGGCTTGAGGTTAACGTCACGTGTCTGGCGATCCTTGAGACTGATTTGGCGAACGAAATTCATGATGCCATCCTTTATCTCCTTTACATTCATAGAATTTATGTCGTTGTCGTTGTTGTTTGCCCACGACTGTTTGGTGAGGAGGTTAAGCTTGTAAAATAGCGAGATTTGTCTCATCTGTATGTGCTTGTCAGGGGCCGATACGTACAGTTTGGGAATAAGAATCTCCTGGCTTACCCAGTGGATAGCGAGGCACCATCGCTGGCCGATATCATTGAATGCATCCATATCCTGTTTCAAATAAGACCGGCTTTCTTCAGGAGTTATGATGTTGCACATGCTATCCCAGGAAAATATAGAATACACCACATGGACACTTGCCGCAGTGAGCAGGCCGAGCCCTGGGATGGGATAAGCAGAAGCCGATAACCCTCTCTTTTTCATGATCTGGTACAGGTTTGAGATTGCATTGGCGCTCTCAATCATCGCAGCGGCAGAGTTACGCCAAAAGTCTGTCGGCGCAGCAACCGAGAATGCAGGTCCGTCGCTCGGGCCTGAGTTTATTTATGTCAGATACTGGTGTTATGAAAAGCGCACAGAGAATAGGCCTTACCTTTCAATGGATCATACTCTTCTTGGGGCGTGAAAGGTAAATATTCTCTATGCAAGTATGCCCTCGCCTGAAAATACACCATCCACATCATTGACCATGGCTTGCCCTTCCCCAGGGCGATCATCACAGACACATTCTGTGGCGAGTACTGTAAAAAGACCGGTATTGCGGATCTCCAGCGATTCAAATCCTCATCAAGTCTGTTAAAGGCTGTACCAGTCAGCCACGGGAAACTGGTGTCGACATGTCGACCTCCCCTGCCATTCCAGCTGATAATTTGGGAAAGAATATGGACGATCCTGATTGTGTATCCCATGATAGTCTCCTTTTCGACGTGATTGTGCGTCTCAGTTGACCAGTCAGGGCAACTTAAGGTGCATGTCTGTACCTGGTGCCCATAGATAAAGTTCTCGTCGGACTGCGGGAATTGCGTGGTGATATCTTCGGGGGAAAGCGTGACAACTCGGTCACGCCCATTTGCCAGTAGGCGTTCGAGGCAGAAGCAGCACCAAAAAGTCCGTCGTTTTGATTCAGAGATTGTAGGCGATAAGGGAGTGGCAGAACGTCCCCAGTCCATCAGCCCAAGGTTGGTGTCCTGCTTGTGAAGCAGGAGAAGCTGAGCTAATTTCACAGCATGGCCAAGCCGTAGCCAACCTCTAAGTTCAGACCCTTCACCAATCTCATAAACACAAAGTATGAGACAGCACTGAATGGTATTCAAAGAAGGTTCCTCGTAGGTTGGGGCGAGTTCCCTTCTTGCCAATTCAGCAAAGTGATCGCCGGCATGGAAAGATGTCTCGCCGGAGCTAATCTCAGGGACAGATCTAGGATAATTGGCTTAGAGAATGATTATCCCGGTGAGCTTGGTACGTTCAAACCTTGAGACAAGCGCAGTAATGCATAGTAGGAGAGATAAGGGAAGATTATCCCCAAATTCATCTTCGACGAGTTGTTGAGGTGGAATGAAATTGAAAAATGTTGGCGTAAACATTTCTCGAAAACAAGCGATGACCTTTTGGCGAATACATTTTGACGGTAATCTAAACTCAGTTTAGATGACCGTACTTAATCGAGACGAAGGACTTAATTCATACCCTTCGCTGGGAATTTCTGGCTCAAGGCTCTCAACACTTGGCAAACTGACTCTTGGCGATTCACTTGCCGGAGGAAGTCCAGGATAGAGGCAAGTCTTCTTGCGTGCTGCACAGGCTGAACATGTGGGCCATTGTCCGGAGCATCTAATCTTTCTCTTCCTTTATCGACATTAATCGGATTGGCAATCTAAGAAACGCAAGCTTGGGTCTAGAATCCGGGGAAGTACCTGCAGAACGTGCATGCTAATGCGGTTCTAGCTGCCCTGCGTTGCCGCTTGGGTGTAGGCGTACTTCTGTCGGGGAGAGTGGTATCCGCCATCGATTTGGGCCAGCTAGAATCTTGACGCGGAAAGGACTGCGGCTCGCGGACGGGATGAGGTGAGTAATGTTGCAATGTAATAAGATTGAAGACGACCGAGGAGCGGCAATTCCGTCGAACCCGCTATCTTATCTTATCTTATCCGCCGTGGGTACGATAAGTACGGGGCTCTGCGATAAGAGACGGAGCATGACGGAACATAACGGATTTACCGTTGATTTGGAGCCGTCCGCTCCGTCGGCCTACATCTGTTAAATAGCGGAACTCGGGCATTTGTGTCTTGGATGGCATTGTAAATAGGAATGCTGGCGTGTTGCTGTGTCTAGGGTCAACCTTTGATTATCACTTCAATACAGATAAGCCGCTATGGCCGAAGCAACATTTATGCCCAGGGTGCTGGGAGACCTCCCCAAACCGCCTACCGTTGATTTGACACCGCCAAGAGAAGTTCTCGAGTCTTTGGAAGACGCCCTCACAGCAGCAAGGAATTCATACATTGACCGCCTTCCGGAGAGCAAGAAGCATTTCGAGGAAGCCGTCGACTTCTTGCCTGGTGGAAATACTCGATCCGTCCTCTTCAATGAGCCATTTCCAATTTTCATGGCGAAGGGGGAGGGAAATAAATTATGGGATCATGATCAAAACGAGTATGAGGCACATCCATCATTTCTATCCAAGCTCTTACTGACCTGGATCTTCCCTCAGGTATCTCGATCTCGTCGGCGAGCTAACAGCTGGTCTATATGGACATTCACACCCGATCATCAAAAAGACATTGCTCTCAACTTACGAGGATGTTGGAGTGAGCTTTGGGGCAACTTCGACGCATGAAGTTGCGTTGGCGAAGCTCCTCTGCGAGCGATTCCCCAGCATCGAGCGAGTCCGGTTCTGCAACTCTGGCACCGAAGCAAATATATACGCCCTCAGTATCGCCCGCTATATGACTAAGAAGAGGAAGGCTATCGCCTTTCGTGGTGGTTATCACGGTGGAGTGCTCAGCTTTGCTCATGGTGTAGCTCAGAATACCATTGACAAACCTGACTGGGTTCTGGGAGAGTACAATGACGTGCAAGGGGTAAAACATCTGATTCAAAACACTCCTGATGTCGCCGCTGTTATTGTAGAGGCAATGCAAGGAGCGGGAGGCTGCATTCCTGCCACACGTGAGTTCTTACACGCCATCCAAGAGACAGCGAAGAAGTGTGGCGTTGTCTTTATTCTCGACGAGGTCATGACCTCCCGGCTCCATCCTGCTGGTCTTCAAAGCGAATTTTCCCTCGACCCTGACTTGACAGCCCTGGGTAAATACATTGGAGGTGGCCTCGCTTTCGGCGCCTTTGGTGGTAAAGAGCATCTTCTTGCTGCCTATGATCCAAGATCGCCGGATAGCTTGCCGCATTCAGGGACGTTTAACAACAACACACTGGCTATGTCCTGCGGGTATGTAGGATTGACTCAAATCTACACGAGAAATGTCTGTCTAAAGCTCAATTCCCTGGGAGACTACTTCCGTGGGCAGCTTCAAGAAATCTCTCGAGGCACGACGATGGTAGTCGTTGGAAAGGGCGCTGTCTTAACTATTCATTTTCTCGATAATGGTGCCCCTCCCAGCAAGGAGTCAGATATTGAAAATCACAACATCAACCCCCTCAAGAAGCTCTTTTGGTATTGGTGCATTAGCAGAGGCTACTGGATTACCGAGCGGGGGATGTTGAGTATTGTTCTTGGAACAACAAAGGAAGAATTAGATGGATACATTGGAATAGTCTCCTCGTTTGTAGAAACATACAGGCATCTGCTCCAAATTTAGTCACTGCAATTACACACAGTAGATATATATTATTTCACTAGACACTTGCATTCGTCACAATTCAAATCGCATCTCTCCTCGATCCCCTTCACTGCGGTTGTAGATTGCCACCGTCTCAAGTTGTTTTTGTTTTAACCAGCAACTCAGACCCCGCGATTGGGCGTGTGCGAGGCGATTTCGACACCAGAGCAATTGTATCTTCGTTTCCTATCTCCTTCGCCAACCCGAATGGTGTCATGCCAGCCTTGTTCACTCTCTGCTCGCAGTTGACTTTTGAGTTTTCGAGTAGCGTTTTCACCATTAAGCCCATCCCACCAGCTATGGCCATATGTAATGGTGCCCATCCATCCTTAGTTACTATATTTGGTTCGATATTCGGATGAGATAATAAAATAAGGAATGCAGAAAAGCATTTCTGGTTCACCGCAACATGTAATGGCGTCCAACCCTGGAAGTCTTGTTTGTTGATCTGTTCTCCGCCATCCTTCTCCAGTAGAAGGTTGACAATATCTGGCGAGCTTTTGTGGACTGCCCACCACAGCGGTGTTCTCCCAGTTTCATCTAAAGACATCGTAGACACACGTGAATCCTCCAATAGCAATTTGACGGCGTCTAAGTAGCCGTTTTGTGCTGCCAATAGTAATGGTGAGTCTGAGATTGAACCATATCGGGTTTCGGATGATGTCATTTCAAAACTCCAGCTACCTTTTGCCATCTCATGAACCATGAGCGGCTCTTGTGAGATGGATGCATGATTTGGATCAATGTCAGGGTGGCTGAGAAGCTCTGAGATGATTTCACCGTTTCCGCAAGAAGCCGCAACAGCCAAAGGGGGACGGTGCTTGCCGGCTTTATTCACGTCGATATCCTTCCGACACAGGAGCAGTTTTGTGATGAGTACGTCGCCAAGTTGACTTGCAAAACGAAGTGCGTCGCCATAGTCCTCGACATCTGAGCAACCCTGATTCACATCTGTATCTTGTCGTTCGAGAAGTAGCCGCACTATCTCTAAACTTTTCCCTCGCACAGCATTGCAAAGGGGACTATGCTCATGACCTCTGATATTTGGATTCACTTTTTGGTGGCTGAGAAGCAGTTTCACCATGGCTGCATCGTCTCTTTCGACGGCGGCCTCTAGCGGTGTGCAACCATGACATGCATTTGGATCAATACCCTTCTCTAGCAGTAGCACCTGGACAATCTCCAACGAGTTGCCATCCTTGTTGCCATATTTGATGGCAAACAACAAAGTCATCTGCATCGAGGAAGACCCCATAACTGCCCTGAGATCTGGCTGACGCAAGAGCGCCTTGATGACTGAGACCCTGCTAAAGTATGCCGCATCACGCAATAGCAAGGCTAGTACACTCCGGTCCACATAGTAGTGGTCAAGTAGAATGGTAAGAATATCTCCTCGATCTTGCCGGCAAGCTGTAAATAAAGGCTCCCGTATATCTTTTGCTTTCGCCGGCCGGAATTCATGTCGACGGATAAGGAATTGAACGATTTCGGGATGGCCATGCTGTATTGCTTTTCTAACAATATTCTGAGGGCGCTGCTGATCTTCCTGGCGTATTCCGTATCTTAAAGAGTCTTTACTTTCGACTGGCTTGGGGCGGCAGAGAAGTCTGCTTATTAAACCCCGGTTTTCCTCTTCCCGGGGAGACGACTTATCAACCCATGAGAAAAGCTCACGAATGATATCGATATTACCGCGCTCACATGCTCTTTCTATCCAGCCATATAGATCCACCTTGTGAAAAAGGAAGGGGCTTGAGTTCAGCAAGAATTTGAAAATCCGAGTGTAGTCTCTCTTCACAGCAATAGAGAGGAGGCGGGCAGAGCGCGTGCGAGATTCATGCGTGCTTCCATATTTTTGTAATAGGGACACAATCTCGAGGTGGCCGCCATTAACTGCGTTGTCTTCTGGGTAACCGAAAACTGGATGCTTATAGGTAGGATCGGCCCCAGCAATAAGCAAAGTATTAACAGCTGCATTGATTCCTTGGTGTGCAGCAATGTGAAGAGCGCCTACGGCGTCTCTCATTATGTCAACCCTATCGCCGTCTGGTGCGTGCTCCTGTCTTTCAAGGAGACGCAGAGGGAGGTCAAAATCTATCTCAACAAGACCAGACGGTACACTACCATCATTGTGTTGATGAAGAAGTGCTGCTAAATCCGAGTGTCGAGACTGGGATTCAACGGCAGATCTGCAGATAGTTCTCAGCCATTCAATCTCACTGATAGGCCGGTCATCCCCATTCCAAGTGCTCTGGGCCGCCATGAATGACGCCCATTGCCGAAAGTATGTAGTAAGCGAACCTTTTTGCATGTCATCTAGCAGGCATTTCATACGGACAAGCCAGGCCATAGTATAGCTGTTACTCGGACACACTTCCGGGAGGATAAAAGTGCGACCCTTTCTCGGGAGTACCATCCGAGACACAATGCTTTCAAAATCCCCTTGAAAAGGAATATTCCGTCAGTCTACAGCTTCGATGGGACGGCGTGAAAGGAGACATCGTCTGTAATCAAGGGCGCTGGGACAAGAAAACTAGATAGGCTGACTTACGGCATACGAGGCGAAGATGCAAGCTCTGTTTGATTTCATCAAATCCATGCCATTTTGATGATCTAAATGGCATAAGAATGCCCAGAATGTCGGTCAGGGTTTCGACAGGAAGAGATAGGATGTGGGCCATCTTTGATGTTGGTTGGATCTATGCGGCGCAGCACGCGTGTGCTGTTGAGGGAATGATATGGAGACGGGAAATTGACGAGGTCACACCTCATGAGGCAAGACTAGAGAGCTCTTCACCCTACTACTCGAGTCAGTTGTTTGTCGAGTTGATGAGTACTATGGGACATTAGTTGTTGCGCCAGGAAAGCAGAGTCGATAAAGAAGAGTTGGCCTCGCATTTCGACTGCGCCTCCTTGTGCTGCCTTACGCTAGGCCCAGTTCAGTCATCCGTAGGTTGCCCCCACAGTGGTGAACCGAGTCAAAGCGTGGACAAACTGGCAACCTCGAGAAGTTGTCTCGCTTCCATCATTGAGATCAGTCAGAGACTTATCCATAGAGAGACCCAGAACGAAAGTGATATTATGAGTTTTTGACAAGAAACTTCAAGCTTGTATAGCGGGTGTTCACAAGTTTGCATCAGGTTAGTAAACTTGAGGTTGTGTCTCTCCAAATGCCTTCTGATTTCCGCAGCCTAGACGTGCCAGAACAAGCCGCAGGTGATCTCGCTGTGCAATTTGAACTTTGACGCTTCAATATGATGATTCCTGAATTAGGCTCCGGCTGGTCTAACAATTTTACCTAGCTTTGTTTTTCCTAACCCGCTACATGATTCTCACAGCCTTAGTCATTGACAGGACGGTATCCGCTCCCACGACCCTGATCATTAGCCCAGAGACGGCTAGAATTCTCTCATAACAATCTCCAGTATGGCTGACCGGTTTCAATACCAGTCCCCATATTTTCAGATATTTCTCGTCCGCATGTGAATCTTCTTCAGCCGTAGCAGGATCTGGAGATGAAGTGCTATCCTCGACATACAATAAAAGTAAGGCGACCTCTTTCGGCAGGTCCACCTTCTTCTCCTCTCCGTATTTCCCCGTTCCGCTCAAAAAGTTGAGTACCATATGTCGTTCGTTTTCTAAGCCAATGGTTGGGAAGCAAGGCTCGATCATTTTAGCTATATCGCTGGCGTTTGATTCAATGCAGGGAGCCTTGATCTCGAGTGTTGCCGAACTGATTTCTCCAAAAGTCACGATAGGAGATTTATGGGACACATCTATCTTTGTGATCTCAGCCAACAGACTTGCATCATCCCCAGGAAGATTCGTATAGAGAATCGGGTCCTCCACAGACGCCCATGACCATGATGGTGCTCGCCACTTCTCAGGGCGCGTGGTTCCCGGTGATGGTGTAGTCCATAGAAGATCCGTTTCAAAATTCCGTCGCCAGAGCCCAGCAATATACTCGTCATCGCTAATTCTTGAAAACTGCTCTGCCACTGCAGCGATGGCTGGAAACTTGTCTTCGGAGTACGTGATGGCCCGTTTCGAGTAATTGCCTACTATTTTATGCCAGAGACCGTATTTTCCAGCTCTTCCATCATTTTCTGCCTTTGGAATGCCTGGTTCGGGATTGCTTCGCTTTTCGAGTTTAGCCAATTCGTTCTGAAATTCTCGGATTGTCCCATCTGGGTCATGTTCGTCGAAAGACCAGTCTTGGGTCCCGCCATCCGTAGCTGTTTGGCCAAGGCACGACCACATCACACGGCTGCCGAAAGAGAGGACGCGGTTTGAGAGTAGACGTTCCTGAAACGTCCACCCTCTCTTCGAGATTGGTTCCTTTGACAGAAGGTATGGGTTCTCATCGCGAAGGAGTATCGTCCCAAATCGGCCCATTGTATCGCGATCCGACCAGAAGATCCCGTTGAATGGAACAAGGTCTCTGGGAACTGGAGATTCTGTGTGTGTTTTGCACCGCCCGATTTCGCCAATGAATCCCTGATTGCAATGGTAAGTGTTTGCTATAATTGTCAAGAAAGCACCACCGTAATATTGGCCCATCCTAGCCAACTCCCGACTCTTGTCCTCTTGTGAGTCTTGAACTATACACAGCGCATCAACCCAAATGTGCTTGATGCCGAGCTTCTCAACAATATACACGGCATCCCTAATGGCGGCAGGGAGGCTATCACGTAGGACTCCTTCCCCTCCATATGATCTGCTTGACAAATTGTCTTGTGTCGTTGGGCAATTATTCTGTGAAGTAGGACCCCAGCAATAGCTCAAAGCTATGTACCGTGTACTACTTCCAACAGCGTTAACGAGGCAGACGGTATCTTCATCAACAATTTCAAGTAGCCTGGTAGGTATCGACTGGGGTTTACTGCCAGTCCGCTGGCAGAATGGATGGTCTCGGTCACACTCTTCCAACCAGCCTTTGATAACAAGCAGGTTTTGGTCACTCCCAGGAGAAGTGCTGATTGGTCTGGTTGGTACCCATTCATGAGCTGCATCATCTATACGCATAGCGTGAGAAACCTAACCAGAGTACTCAAAGCCTGATTTCTACTTACCTGGAAGGGAAAAGAGTTCCAAGGTGCATTCCGGCACCCCTTTGTCAGACTCGTCTGTGTGAATGAATGCGGTTATTGTACTAATAGCGTCCAACTCTTCGTTTTGGCCTTCAATGCCAACCATAATTGGGGCAAACTTAGTATCTGAACCGGGGAGAGGCACCTCCCGATTGGTGCATACCCCCGGCATCGTGACGGACATTTTCGTAAATGTCCGGCAGGTCGGATCCTCGTCGAGAGGTTGACAGAGAAACTTCATTACCTGCTCCTCTGGATCAACTAACCACCGCATTTTCCGTAGTCTTGAAATTGTTTGTCGTAAGGTGTTGTCTGGTTTAACAGTTCCTTGAGAACAACACGCCAGATTAGTACTACCGAGGAATGGACCGTACACTCGCGAACTGCTTCCCAAAAGCCGGTACATCAGAAAGCAACAAAACTGGCAACCCGACTCTAATGCAGTGAGAAGCGTTTCATGAGGTACTTTCCATGCCAGGGGGGCTCTTCCAGTCTTGGCATTATCAGGATCAGGGCTCAGGTCGATAATTGGCAAATCAAATCCATGTGGTCGATAAAGCGTGAGCATTCCCATTCCAAGATCAAAACAAGAAGGGCAATAAGTTCCATTCCTAACTGCCGCTTTCCTTGCTCTGTCTACATCTTTCGATCCAACGAAATGACGCTCCATTTGTTCATCAGGGCCGAGTTTCCGTGGTTGCGCATGATACTCATCCTCAATACCCATTGGTTCCACGAACATACTTTCCTTTGTGTCTAAGGCGGGTGTTGGAGAGAGCTTTTGGTTCCCAACTTTTTCCCATACGTTCCCAATTTGACAAGCAAGATATACTACCATAGGCGGCTGATTCTCATGCTCTTGGCTGCTTCCAAGTATCACTTTTGCTGCTCCATCATCAGAGGGAGGGAAGTAATGGACAGCCCTTGATGTGGCGGACTGAGGCAATGCGATAGTAGCAGCCAATGTGTACGCGGTCTGCTCTCTGAGCTTGGGTGAACATCGTAAATCAAAACGTAATACCCGAAGAAATGTGCCACTTAGAGAGAGGTATGCATGGGTATCAGTCCATGTGATAGCAAACGGAAACTGGCGCATTAAATTCGGCCAGTCCCCTAAATCCGCGCCAGAAGCGAAAGGTTCTGTCCGGGGCTTTCCAGAAGCTGGACTAGTTGGTGAGAGTCTGAGCGTAATACTTCTCACATGAAGTCTAGTGGTTCCAAACCAAATAGATTCTCTGCGTGCTGTAATGCGTAGCACATGAACATATCGACCACATGATGAGAAAGACATATGAACGCTCACAGGAATGCAGGTGTCAGCACTCGTCTGTTTTGTTTCCGAAGTGTCGAAAGGTACTTCGTGGACGACATAAGTGTTATTTTCGAGGTTCCCGAACAGAAGCCTCTGGCCATCCAGCGGGTAGACAACCAGGGGGTGAGAAGGATGGATAATAGGCTTTGAATTGTGTAGCATGTCTTTGTTGCGCCGAGAATATCGAAACACGGACATCGATCCGCCATTACTCCCTTCGTTGATTTTTTCAATAACAATATCAAGGACAGGGTCCGCTTCATCTCGAATAATTTCTTCTCTCGGGCTGAATCCTCTTCCTTGTCTGGAGGCTAATATACGAAGTTTATGGCTTGGATTGGCGCACCATGCTCCCTTATTGTAGCAAGACGAGCAGATATCGTACGAGTCATCCGAAACACAGCGATTGCATTGATAGCATAGCTCTAACTCGGAACTCTCACTGTCGGCAGTGGCAATATGATTATCACACACATCGCAACTGAGATGATGGTTACTCTCTGAGCTTGAGTTTGACGATGAGCTATGATTTGATTCTGAGTCGGAGTCTCTTGCTTCAACATATTCGTTCTCTGGGTCAGAGTCCTCATCATCAGCATCAGCATGATTGGAGGAATCGCTCTCTGATGACGCTCTAATAGGATTCTTTCTGTCCACCATCGGCAGGACGGGATGAAGGATCTCCTTTGTGCGCGAGTCTTTAGTCAAATCGTGCCCTGATACAGTTCCGCGAGCAATAGAATGATCTTTTTGCCAAGTCAAGTTCCCGTCATCAATTTCAGATCCGGAAATATCATAAAGCTCCTCAGCAGAAGATATATTTTCGAGCTCTTCGTACCGCCTAAGATCGAATATCTCGGTTTCACTTATGTCTTCATCAGAGTCGTCTCCAATGGCATCAGTGCTCGCTTTGGATGCGGTAGACTCGGTATCTGAGCACTCTGACTCAGTAAATGGTTGAGAATTTTCCTCTTTTTCACCTATCCGTCCGGATGAGAGCTTCAGTATCGATTGCAGGGATCCGAGACCACCCAATATCTCAAGGTCGACCCGTTTTCGGCGTGACCACACTGTGTAAGGCCCAGATGTGGTGATGTCTTCCCAGTAAGGTACGAACCCATCCTCGTCTGACGTGTCGGCGATCCATTGGCCCTTCCGATCTCGTCGGAAAACTTGCGCACCAACCCTTACGCTTTGTCCATACTTGGAGCCTTCAAATACTGGTAGCCTAGTTGAATAATCCAGAATCGGAACAAGGAGGCTCTCATGAGATCTAGTAGAGCCATAATTATCCCATCGAATATGGCGACGGGTGCTCGTGAGACACTCCTGGTCACCGTACTGGAAGGGATCTCTCTGCCCATCAATCATCCAGGATTCTCTTGTAAACTCCACGAGATTGGATTTATCATCTTTTTCACTGTTTCATTGGAAGGTCAGCGGATTGGTCACTCACTCAAGAGATCAGCAACTTCACTTGCCTCAACACTCCTAACTTCCACACGGCTAATCGGCTACCATCAGCACTGATTGTCTGAAAGTATATAAATGATCCGTCACACCTCGTTTTGCTACTCTCAGCTGGATTTCCTTCCAAGAGGAAACTTCGATTCATTTCAATTTGTACGCCAAGTTGAGTTAGAAAATTCGATGACCCCAGTGCTCCCCAGAAGCAATTCGACATGCTCCCGTACAAACTTTCTCGCAGGGGCTCCGATCGTAGGGAATGACTCCATTCTCTCAGGAAAGAGCGGAAACTTTCTTCCAGAGTCTTCATTTCCGAGTCCGATGGCAAGTAATTCAACAATGGCGTGGATTGGACATCCCTAGGCTTATCCAAATTTCTTGTCAAATATCCTTCAAGCAGCTGACTTTGAATTCGAATAACCTCCAAAAACTGAGGAGATTGCACAAAGGATTTTGTCTCCGCGGAAACCAATGGCCAAACCGCATCTACATGCTGGGCCCAATACTTTGTAGCATAGGGGAGGAATGCTGAGCTAGTTTCGGAGTTGCTTGTCCTTGGGCTTTTCAGACACTGAAGACACATTTTTGCGATCACAAGAGGATCAATCCGGTCAGTCTCTTCTTCTAACTCGTCTCTTGTCGAACTGGTTAAAAGAAAGCGCAAGACGGAGTTGTTCGATATCATAAAGAATCCGTCTCCCGAAGTTCCTGATATTGGAACAAAAGTGAGGAATGGTTTGCAATGCTGGACGATTTCTTCCGCAACCAAGTTATTTCCTGAATTTGAACAACCAAAGCCATCTTCAATTTCAGTTAGTTTAAGGGGCCTTTTCGCAAATACAACTATCGAGAGCAAGTCCCTGTGAGGCAGCATCAGTAAAGGTTTCAAACTATTTCTCTCGTGCTTAGCTCAAACTTACAACCAGGAGAATGATGGATCCAGTTTCTGAGACTTATGTGAATGTTTAATAGGATCCAAAGTCTTTTGGAAGATCGCATCCAAGTCTATCGAGGTGGAGTTGATATTCCTTTCCGTTTGTCCCGGGACGCTTCTCCTTGGATTCAAAGCCTCCCTAACCAATGAGGCTAAAAGAAAGTCTTGCTGAACTTCGTCGTTGGAGATGAGTTCATCGTGTTTTTGTTTAGTTGGATGGTTGAGATATCTCCTAATATCTTCCGCAACTGCATCATCTTCCATGCCCAATCGTGTAGCAGCTAAATCTTTCACTAGTAGTTTCTCTATTCCACTACCATGTTGCGAAGAACACCACACTCTGACAGAACCACAGTCTTTGTTACGAGCCAAGTCCATGAGAAACTTGAGTGTGGTTTCCATGTGTTGTGTTGTTCTAACCACCTCATGCTCTCTCCAAGGCAATTCTATTCCTTCAGGGAGGCCCATGTGGTCGATCCCATCCAGAATGAAGAAGACCGTTTGGCACTGAGACACAAGAATCTTAAGCAGGCGGTGAATTCGTTGGAGCCGGCTCGATCCCCCTTCAATAACGTGGAGAATTTCAATGCTTATGCCCCCATATTTCTGTGTTACAAAATCAATAAGTTGCAATGCCAATAAGGAGGCCAGCTGAAAAGCCGAACGAGGCTTTTGAGAGCAAATGTTGATATATGGTGCCGGGGCCTGGAGTGTCTGTGATATATGGTGAGTGATCATTGAAGAAAGTACAGACTTTCCAGATCCTTCGGGACCATTTAGCCAAAGGATTGGATTCTGAACCCCATCACTAGTCCATTGGCGAAAAGATGCATGGTTCAAAAGCCAACTTCCGGTGCCAGAATATCGCAGCCTAAGATTCCGCTCATATGTATGAGCATTGATGATCTCGGGCTGAAATTCAAGCCAGGATTTGATTTTAAGAATGTGAGAACTCTTCCTTGTCAGGCAAAGTTTACTTTCTCTTATGCAATTAAGAAGCCACTCCGATATGAAATCTTCATTGATATGGTCTTGGCCTTGGTGATTCTCAGACACGGAAAACTCGAAGACCTTTCCGTTAGGCGAATTTTCTAAGGTATCTCCATCAAGAGATGCCTAAAGGAGCGAACAATAACGGTAAGTTGGCATCCAAACTTTGGATGAATGAGGATACGTACCTCAGGGCCTCTCAATACTAGGTACGCCGACGAGATGTTAAAGTAACACGCAAGCTTCCGAAACTTATCTTGCGCACTATCAACAGCGGTTGACCATAGTTGCCAGCAGCCACGGCTTTCCCTTTGGGGTCCAGCTGATATGGTTTTCCAAAGACTCCAAGTCAAGTCAGAATGAGGCGTATCGACAAAAATAACGTGGCTTGTTTGTTTCAAGATGGCTCCCAATTGAGGTCTCTGTTTGGAAATCCAGAGTGCCTGTTACTTGATGTTAGATGACCATTATACATCGCGAACTCGCTCGCACCTACATGTTTGATGATCACACCACCGACGGAATGACCAACAAAGGTTATTGGAATCTGCCCCTAGAGAAATGGTCAACACGTTTGCTCCATATCATCTCGAAATTAGGAGCCTTCTCGCACTTACCTTGTCTGTGTTCTTCACGACATTTAGTTTTGAACACAGATCGTAACCTGGGCCGAATATAATGTCATTTTCAAAGAAGCCGTCAGAGGTGATCCTCGCGTCTTCCAGATCATAGTCAAATCCAAAAATACGACTTGTCTCTAATTCTGTTCCAATCTTCACTGGAAGAATGGCTCCATCTTTTGCCTTCCAGTCGAATATAGATCTCTGGTTGTGTACAAATACAATGCTAGAAGATGGTCAGTTCACTTATGAATGGAACAGGAGAGTGAACCCCTACTCATGTGCGTGGTTAGGTGGCTTTAGGCCATTGGGAGGCCAAATCACTCTTAGGCCCTTGGAATCGCCCATTTTATTGAGGTCAAAGGCTGGACTCTGTTGATGAAGCGTCCCACAAGATCCACGGCGTGGCTAGAGATAAAGACCAGTCTGTTGTGATGACTTACTGTGCGCCTCCATCTCAAGCTTTGAATGTACAATGGGGTGACAGATGAGCTACCAGGCAACAGACATGGTGCATATTCGACTTATGCCGCCTCAATATTACTCAAGTCCCACTCCCACAAACGTTGGCTCACCGCAACACAACCCCGCTCTCACTGCCCAATGGAAGGATGGCGCAGCAGCTCACTCTGGCATCAGGATTTTCAGCTTACGGCATATCCCCTCATTTCAAACTGCCTTGCGAAAAGCCGACTTTGCCTTGCGAAAAACCGCAGTTGCCTTGCGTGGTAAACTAAGCCCAAATGCATTATACATGCCGCACCATCTAGACAGAAAAAGCCTCATGCGTGTCTTCTACTTCTAGATTTCCACGGATATATCATCACCGTTTCTTATCTCCATCTGTGCACTCTCTCATCGTTTTCTTTCTGACATCATGTCATTCAATGCACAGAATATCCATTCCCTCAGCCAATCGGCCAGGCAGCGAACAACGGCTGCTCCCGGCTCCGTATTCGATGCCTCGCAGTTCAAGATACAGATTGGGAAGGATGTTCCCTCCGAAATCATTCAATCATTGCAGACCGAATTTGGTCTGAATATGGGCAGTGGTGAGCAACATAGACTACCAAAGCTTGAGCCAACACTAATATACGTATTCTTAGCCATAGATAAGTTCTACAGCATGGATGAGCAGGGGAATGCTCCGGAGCAGCCAGAACCGCCAGCAAACATCCAAAATGGAAATGAGGGCAACAATTCTGCTGAGCCTATCAAGTCAGGAGACGACGATCCTCTGAATCGCAAAGAATTTGTTGTAAAAGACCAGTAGTACGTATGACTCCTAAGGGTTTGAAGCTCCTCTGATTCTTGCTAATATATTATAAAGCTGGGACAAGTAAGTGCTCTCGAAGCCGTTCGAGGCCAACTTGCGTTCTTTTTTTCTAAGCCAGGTTCCTTCCGCAAAGATCCAATTAATGACACCATTTTCTTCAGAGTGAGGCGACGTTATGTCGTTTGTAAACCGGCCCAACCTCGAGAATCCTCCTTGAAGCACAAACCGTGTGTAATATACGCGCTAAGGGTGTACACAGAGGATATGATAACATTCAATACAAAATTACGGATCCCAGGGCAAAAGTTGCGGAATGCACTGCAAAATATATTTAGAGGCGCACAAGGCTTTGGCCTGACTGACAGCGAGAACACAGAGGTTCATCACATCTCAATAAGCTATTTGATAAGCTCAGTATTCTAACAAAGATGTTTAGATTCGCCCCGAATTTCTCTTCTGGGCGAAACCAGAACTTCAGATCCTCGCCAAGCACTACTCAGGTGTTGAAGACAAAGTCGCTTGGTTTGAAATGAATGCGGCATTGAAATTCATCGAGGAGGAATATGAAACTATGATTTCTATATTACCATCACTGTTACCTCATTCAATCACCTTCGAGTACCTTTGGGCCCTTCTTCCACCCGATTGCCTGGTCGTGGGCATTGATTCTCTAGATCTCACACGAATCTGGCGAGTGCGCAGCCATGCAACCGTACCCATTGACGGGAGAATCTTCTTCGTAATGAAAGCTGAGGTTCTTGAATGGGACGGCGATGACATGGGATACAAACAGGAGTCACTTAAAATTGCAACTTTTGAGGGTTTCAGAGCTCTCGAAGAGCTCCCTTACGTACCCTTAAAGCACCATCCCCGGCGCGACGAAGTGGTTGAGCATATCCGGCAACGCAATACTCAAACTCTCAGATTTTGGAAATCGGGCTTCCAACTTCAAGAACACCAAGGCACTGGACTGGCCACGCCTCGTGAGGAGCTTGAATTATACCCTGTGAGTTGTCTTGAATTCTCTGACTCCTAAGTATCGAAATTCGGTTCTAAGTCTCGTATTAAAGTTCAGCGGTCGTGTCATTATCGACCCCAAGATGATGCGAACGACAAACCCTTTTCATCCTCTCACATTCAGCCTCAACTTGGAGAAACTTCGTCAGCATGGTAGAATATGGATCTCGGATCTTATGGAAAATGAAGATGTAAGTTAAGCATCCATGCCATCACGTAACTAGTATTCATACCCAGAAGGAACAGGACATTCTCAGCGACCTTCTCAAAGATTCCAAAGACTTCTTAACGGAAAGTATTAAGGAAACAAGGCAACCCAGAAGACTACAGCTCAGAGGCTTTCCTCCTTCTGATCCTAACTCGTCTGCTTCATTATTATCCCCCGAAGCAGAAGCCGTAGCTATCCAGCCTGAACAGCTATCGAAAGAGCAACTCCTGCTTGTCTCTGGCCTTGTGTACGGATACTCGATGCAAGACGGGATGTGGGGTACTCTTTGACGATCCATTGATATGACTGATCTCCTGCTAATGACTCTTTCAGGTGGTTTCGCCGTAGAAAGGGTTTGGGACGTTACCTGGAACACGTAAGAATGATCCGTTCTGCCGCAACCATCCTATTATTGTTCAGACTTCTAACATCCTTTCTTCAGGAACGCCATGGATTCCCTGGTACTCGACGAATCACTAAAGAATACTGTGACCAAACTAGTCATAGCATCTAATTTCGCCGACTCTGGGTTTGATGACTTTATTAAAGGCAAAGGAAAGGGATTCATCACCCTACTATCTGGACCTCCCGGGTCCGGGAAAACACTGACGGCAGAAGCCATAGCAGAAACGGCCAGAATGCCGCTCTACATGGTATCTAGTGGCGCCCTTGGCCATGAAGCCGAGGATATCCACAAGAAGCTGGCCCAGATACTCAAGCTTGCCAGCCACTGGAAGGCAGTCTTGCTCCTGGACGAGGCAGACGTATTCCTCGCCGCGCGCACCTTGACAGACATCAAGCGGAATGCAATAGTATCCATTTTCCTCCGGGAGCTGGAGTACTACCAGGGGATACTCATTCTGACGACAAACCATGCCAATTTCATTGATCAAGCGTTCCAAAGTATGTGAAGCGAAATGACTCTACCATAATCCCTATTATCGGTCAAAGCATTTGCTCACATGATGACCAGGCCGAATTCATTTATCTCTTCAATATGATGCTCCGGACCTCGCAGCGCGGAGGAGTATCTGGCAAAACTTTGCCAAAGCTACATCAAATTCACGAGTCACCATGGATCTCAGCGAAGCAGATCTCGATACATTAGCCGCTATCCCACTTAATGGGCGGCAGGTAAGTATTGCTAGAATTCCATGCTTTCGAGGCAACTATTGCGGGTCGTTCTAATCATTCTCAAGATCAAAAATGCCATGAGTAACGCCATTCGTACCACAATGTCCAGCACAACACGAACGGTCACTGCAAAGGATCTGATTGCCACCGCGAAGCTGTCAGGTGTGTTCCCGTTAAACAAGAACCCTACAACAATCCTCCCGGAGGGGGACCTCGCGGAGAAAAACAGACAAGCATAAGAGTAGGATCAAGAGAGTCCAAGTATCATCACAGATAAATGGGCTTGAACAGTGGCATCACATGCATAAGCTTGGTCGAAAAATTGCCTATCATGTGTGATTTGAGAAAAATAAAGCCTTGTTAAACTAAAACAGCTGTGAGGAAGCACCTTTGCGCCATATGCCAAATAGCCGGACCTGGTAAGATGTGGTGTATTTTCGAGTTCCAACAAAGTCTAATGCAACCTCTTTCCGGTGATGGAAAAACGTTTATCCGTAATGCCACCATGTGCCATCTCAAACAAGATGCTCAACACACGTGACTTAAAGTCATGTGATACTACTCAGTCGTTTCAAGACCACTTACCGCGTTAACACGCGTCAAGTTAAAATACACGAGAGCGTAATTCTCTTGCTTGTTTTTATCAGGATGAAACATTAGTTTACACGTGGCAATTAGTAATTTCGGATCATCAACTTAACGCGCAGCGCTATGGCTGCTGCCTGGAAGGGAACCAGGGTTGCTGTTTTGACGCGTAAAGGTATGCTACCCTACAGCGTGCTCATCACAATGTCAAGATGTTTACAGTTTCCATGCAGGTTAATTATGCCGTCGCGATGTCTTTGAAATGGGATCAGTTTCTCCACAGTATAAGCTTTCTCTGAAATAAATTGGTTGGAGCATTGGGTGATGACTGAATGGCGCTTGGCTCCATCATTAAACCCCAAGATCATAAAAAGTACATCATCAGTTCGAGTTATCCTTCGAGTTATCCTTTCACACAAACGACTACAATATGCCAGTGTACGTTATCTACTGTCATCAAGTAATTCTGAGAATCTTGGAAAAGAAAACCTCAGAAGCTAAAGTTTATCACTTAATATATCTACATGTATATTGATTCTACGCTTTTTCATCCGTACATATACAATTCCTCGCAGTGAAAAGCATGAGGTGGCTTAGACCTTGGCTCGTTAGTGCCCTGCAACCCCTTTTGTCTCAAGCTCCGCAGTGGCCAAGCAGCGGCCGATCTGGGCGCCATGGATGCGAGGAAGGGCTGAAAGCTCCATCTTCATTGGTTCTAGTCCGTGGAAAAAGGGGGATCCCACTGGGAAAATAGTGGAGTGATCAGCCCTGAGCTGTAAACATCATTGAGTATGGATACGAGACGAGTCTGCGCTGTTCCTCTCCATCCAGGCCTTTCCTTGTAGCCGCATTCAATAGTACATATACACGGTTGCTTGAAAGATTGACACTATGAATAGATACTGATCGATAGAGCAGGAGAACTCAGCTTCTCCTATAGATGAGATGAACTAACCGGCGCGTGACCAGTTGCCTGCTGGGGAAGAGACTGCCAAGACCATGTATCCCTACCTCGGTTCCCAGAGCTTGGATTGATGTGCACTGGGCGTTGCATAAGATGTTGTTCCAAGTATGAGATGATTTGTCCTGGCTACCGTATTACGTATCTATTAAAAGCTGGCTGTTTTGGGTCCCCGCATACTCACTATTACGGGAGAGGAATGAAGTTTCGCTCCCACCAAAAGTACCCCATCCTCTGGTAAAATCTGACACCCCCGTCAAAATTGAACGCGGAAGTGTGGCACCACCTGTTATAAGTAGGCCAGAGCACCTGACGGCTCCCCCGGGATTCAGCACCTTGACACCCCACGCAGACGCCGGACGAACTGACGTCGAAAAACGATCCACGCAAAAATGCGCTTCTCCGCCGCCTGTATTCCATTTCTAGCGTCTTTGGTAACTGCTCGGCCCGACTATGGAGGAGAAGGAAAGGTCACTGTTTCCGACCTAAAACTTCACAAAGTCGCGATCCCTGTCGGCTTCACCATCCAGAATCTCTCTTTCAAGTTGAGTGGAGACAAAGAAAAGAACATCGAGTGTTCAGCGGAGAATCCGCCCTGGCCCGAAGTCTCCTTCATGCGTTGCGGCAATTCTCAGTATTCATTTGCCCTCTTGCCCCGCGACGAGAGTCCCGAGATCCTCCTCATGATTTACCACGACGTTGGTGACAGGTATGTGATCCGATCTTCGTTACATGTATGAATAGCGCTCTGACATAGACAAAAACAGGAGGGCGGATTTACGCGGGGGAATTGTTCTGAACCTCCACTGCCGCCGCCGAGGCGATGAGCCGGTCGATGATGAATGCACGCAAGACCGTCCCCTCACTTTTCGTATCGACGGCCCTATTGCTGACTACCGCTGGCGCGACGCGTATGACGAATTGAGATAGACTCCTGGGTTTGATAAGATGTGAAGCTAAGGATCGTGTCTGTACTATCAACAATGTGTTAATCTAAATGATCATCTGTTGATTTGAGTTTGTAATAAATGAAGAATACGATGATCTTGGTGCTTGCGAAGGCGCATATATGCTCTTAGTAACGCGCCTCGACGTGAACTTAGGACAAACGGCGTAAGACTTGTGTCGGTGATGATTGCAAGTTTCGACTGATTGAAAGAGAGGTTATGCGGACTGATCAGGTCACCGAGAGCGATTTCAAAGTATAGACAAAGAAGGAATCAACGCTCATGAGACCAGTTGATCTCTTAATACATCCCCTCAAACTGGCCCTCAGGTGGTTTTGTTTCTTTCTGAAGCGTGATAATATCTATATTTCTTGTATTAGGTAAAACCTTGTACTTAATACTGCAACTTCCCACCATGCATTGAACCAGCTTAACTACTCTATTTAATCATATCATATTTGCTAAAATGGCAAACTATTGTCTACCTGTCTGAATGGAAGTCACTAATTCCACTAGCATACGTGGTAGAGGAGCGGCTTGGATGCTGCGAAGCTCTGATGAAGTTTCTAGGAGCTTTCTTGTCTTGGAATCATCTAAAGAGAACATCTCGTGACCAAGATCAAGGTATGCCTGTGTCACGCGGCTGTTCAATTCGTCGTTCTCGGATGCTAGCTCCAGCCACTTCTCTATCGACACAAATTTGAACTCGCCGATGTTTGAGTTGTATTGTCTTAGCACATCAGGAAGTTGGCGCAGTGATACTGCGGAAGAATTGCGAATGTGGAAAACTTGACTTGGTCCCTTGTCCGTTTTCGCGAACTGGGCCAAATGCAACACACTGGCCGCGACGTAGTCAGGGGTGACAAAGTCAATAGAGATGCCTTCGCCATGACCGAAGTCTGCTATGGCTCTGGTATCAACCATACTTTGTACCAGCTTCAAGAAGAAGTTTCCTTCGCTGTTTGTGGACTCATGGTCAAGACCGGAGGTGCGATAGATATTTGTAGGGATGCCCCTATCTGATGCTTGGTTTAACAGCATCTCAGCAGCCCAGCGCGTTTTAAAGTAGGCAAAGTCGCTACCCGTCGGGAAGAAATGGTCCGGAACCCGCTCATCTTTGAAAAATTCGCCGGATGACCCTGAGTCCGAGTATTTTGTTGTTTTCCACCGTTGGAGATGAGCAACACTCCATGACGACAGGTAGTGGACTGAACAAGTTGGGTTCATCGCTGCCAAACGAATAAGGTCTCGAGTGGCTAGGATGTTGGCTTGCTTCAAGTCGTTGAAAGACTTGACGAGCGATATCTGGGAGCCAAAGTGATATATCTTGGCAGTAGACTGACTGAGCGTTCGGAATTCGTCCTCGCCTAGGCCGAGGTTGGGCTCAGCTAGACAGCCTGGCGATACATCAACTCGATCATGTAGAGATTTGGCATCAACAAGACTCAGCTTATCATTTCGGATTGTTTGCTCAATCAGCTGAAGTGTAAGCGGAGACTCAATTCCCAAGATGGTAATGCGTGCGTTGGGGTGGTAGTTTAGCAGGCGAACGAGAAGATGGCAGCCAACCACCGACTCGGCACCTGTCAGAAGAATCCTGTCGCTCTGGGCTACCACTTTGTCTCCTAGAGAAGGATAGTACGCTGGTTCATCTGGGAGCAATGCTTCTTTCTGCCAATCAATGCCCGACGCTTCGGTCAAGGCCGGGGCAGGTGGCGTTTGGAGCCCAGCCTTGTCAGCGACAACCCGAGCGATAGCATAAGGCGTCAAGTCAGAGAACACTTCCCTGACATCAAGGCTTATGTTGAAACCTCGTTTGAGCTGAGAAACAAGCCGCAAGACCAGCATACTGTGACCACCTAACTCGAAGAAACTAGAGGAACCATTGACTACCTGCTCGGCCTTCAGCTTCAGGACCCTTCTGAAAACATCAATGACATCTTCCAGAAGTTTGCCACCTTTATCAATTGCGATTGAATTCGATTGAGCCTTTGAGTTGCTCGTAGGAAAAACCAGATCAAGATCCATTGTCGTCAGCGCTCGCCGGTCTCTCTTCCCACTGGGCAGTGTAGGTAACGCGTCTGCAACGTGGTAGCCATTGGGAAGCATGTAAGAATTGAGTTTGGCCACCAAAGAGGAGTGAATCGCGTTCACTATCTCGTCACGGTTAGAGACAGAGCGTGCAGTTGCTAGGAAGGCTATCAGCTGGCGATCATCAACCAGCTCAGAGTCCTCAGCAGGCAATGCCACCCTGCGGGGCACAACAGCAGCATCGGCAACAACTTCGAGGTTGGAGGCTTGAAGGGCTTCGATTATCGAGCTTTCAATCTCACCGAGCTCGATTCTGTAGCCTCGAAGCTTGATCTGGTGATCGCCCGAAATCCTGCCCCTGTATTCCAATTGTCCATCCTGAAGAAATCTTGCTCGGTCACCAGTTCTATACAACGTCGTCCAGCCGAGTCGAAGAAACTCATCAGAAGCTAGGTTGTTTGTGACAAAAGCATGGGATGTTGCGTCGGGCCGATTAATGTATCCTGAGCTGATCTGAGGTCCACCCTCGCAAAGTTCACCCAGGACTGTGGCTGGGACCGGACGCAGGTTGGCATCGACAACATAATGGGAACAGTTTGGTAAACCGTAACCGATAGGTATGGCATCATCTGTGGACGGATATGGGCATAGGTAGAAGGTAGTCTGCACTGTAGCTTCTGTTGGCCCGAATTCATTGTAAATCTTCAGACCCTCGCATCCCAAGTCATAAACCTCTCGAACCAGCCTGGCAGGGAGCGCCTCGCCCGCAAATATGGCGGTTCGATAATTTTTACAACCGCTGAGAGACTGCTTGCCATGAAGAAGCATGGCAGCATACTGTGTAGGAGTTGTGTATGTGATTGTCACACCTGATGTTGCAAGAAAGTTTACCAGGCGTTCCGGATACTGGCGAAGATCCTCCTTTGCCAAGAGCATGGTTGCACCAGAGGTGAGCGAACCCCATATTTGGGACACGGAGACATCCCATGTATAGGATGTGAGGAAAAGCAGTTTGTCACTTGGTCCTAATTGGTGTGTCTCGTTATGTCCACTCAGCATGGCCTGTACGTTTGACTGCGTCAACACGACACCCTTTGGTTTTCCGGTGCTTCCCTGTCAATGCCTTGAGTTAGTTGAGGCCGTATTCTAAGCACTATGCATCTTCGATGCTGATAGCACTTGGAGGATGGGATGGAGCACTGACTGAGGTATAAATGACGTAAAAAGGGTCATTTGGGAAGGCTTCCTTCTGTTGCCAGTATCCCGGCTGGTTTTTCTTGCTATCCCTGAGATGGATTTTGATCAAATCTGGCGCCAAAGCATCAACCAAATGACTGAATTCGGGATCTAAAATGACGGAAGACACGTTTGTATCACTGATCATATGCCTTAATCGATCTGGAGCAAAGTTTGGGTCAAGTGGTAGGTACCCGCATCCAGCAAATGCAGCTCCGACAAGAGCAACAACCATGTCGATACTCGGCTTGAACAACACACCGATTGTAGTTCCAGTAGAACAACCGGATGCCTCAAGTTCAAGGGCTAGTCGTTTCGCTTTAGCCACAACATCATGATACGTTATGATCTCCCCGTCTGACGTCTCAATGGCCGTCGCATTGGGGTACAAGGAGGCAACTTCGAGGATTTTGCTCACAATAGACCGGGTTTCCCAGGGGTTTGGAGTGACTTTCATGCCCCAGCAACTCTCCCTTAGATGGTCTAGCTCCTTCTTGCCACACATGGAGATCTCCGAAATAGGTTGTCGGTGGTCTTTGGCCGAACTTGAGAGGAAAACAGTGAAATTTTGTAGAAATCTCTCCATCTCATTGTCATCGTATAGCTCGGGATCGTACTGAAGTTTTAATTCAAGACCAAGAGCAGGATCTTCGGTCGCCTCGAGAGCAAAGTCGGCAGGTGTGGGGATATCTTCGAAACTAATATCTGTAATATCAAAGTCGCAAGTCGAAACGACGGGCGGTTTGCCATATACTTGATAGTTGACGATGATTTGGCTGATGGGGAAGTACGACGCACTTCGGTTAATTTTTAGAGAATCTAAGATCGTTTCAAATGGTGATGAGTTGTGCGCCAAGCTCCCATTTGATGCCTCGGAAACATGGCTTATCACCGAGTCCAATGCACTGTCGGCTTCAATCTGGAGGCGAAGAGGGATCAGGTTGACAAAAAAGCCCATCATATCACTGATTTCGGCATGAGGTCGAGTTCCATCAACCATGAGAAACGTCAGATCTTCCTCCTCGGTGTACCGGAAAATGAACGCACGGAATGCAGCAATTAGGAAATGGAACGGAGTAGCCGCAGAAGAGGCAGCGATTCGTTTTATTCTCTTCAGAATAGTAGTTGAAACGGTTGCTGTTATCGTGGATCTGTTCGAGGTTCTGACCGCGGGTCTTGCTCTGGAAGCAAAGGGGAGCAAGGCAGTAGCCTCGGGCAGTCCGGAAAGTGATTTCTGCCACCATAGAAGATCATCTTGAACCTTTTCCGAAGCTAAGAATTTATTATGCCAGACTGCGAAATCAGAGTATGAGATACGTTGGATAGGAACCTTCGAGACTTCTTCTTTTCTTGCAAGGGAATCATAGAGTGTAGCGAAGTGATCCAAAAACGTCTTAGTACTCCCGTTGTCAAGGTTGATGTGGTGGATGGAGAACACGAGAGCATGTCTTGTCTCGGAAAGTTTGAACAAGCGGACTTTCATTGATTCTCCTACTTCGATGTCAATTGGCCGACTACGCAGAGAGTGGCTAGCTTCTGACAAAGCAGCATCGATATTGCGAGCAGAGGAGAGATCCTCGAATTCAATTTGAGATTTGAATCCGCTGGCGAGGGATTGCTCCGTGAAGTCTTCACCCTCGGAGTAAATTGTCCGAAGCGTGCCGTTTATCTTGGCCATTTGCTCCAATGTATTCTGGAGTACTGCAAGTTGCGGGTGCCCATCAATGATGAACCGAGCTGTGAAGTTTAGGGTGCTAGGATCGATTGCAATGTTATGTAGGAACCAAAGCCGGCTCTGGTAAGTCGAGAGAGGAATATGCTCTTGAGAGTCATTCGGCTTGATCTCAAATTGTGGCGTTTTTGACTTCTTAGTTTTGGATAGTTCTTGAGAGTCATTTCGTTGGCCAGACTCTCCAATTTGACCCTTGGCTTCTTTCTCAACTCGGAGAGACTCTGCAGCCTTTGAGGTTAGAGACTTGATAGACTTGGCACCTAGTATGTCAAATAGAGGCACGTCTAGAGATGCCTCCGTCGAGAACCACTTGCGGAACTCGATCGCCACAATAGAATCCAGGCCATAAGCAGTGAGCGGTTGAGCTTGCTGGATTGATTCTGCTGGTGTGCCCATGACGGCCGCGACCTTGTTAATGAATGCAGCTGTAAGAAGTTCTATCCGCTCGTCCAATGAGGATGTCGACTTCAATGTAGCCAACAATGTCTTGGATGCTTGGCCATCCCCGGCTGAGGAAAGATCGAGGTTGGCATAGAGGTTTCGGAACAGAGACTTGGTGGCCCAGTAGACGTCCTTGCGTTTCGTGTTGATTCCGGAAATAATCTGGTGGGCGCCAACACCAGGTTTGCTATCTGCCGGTTGCTTTGATGTAAGAATTGCCTCCTCGATTTGGTAGAAAAGCTCGTTTTGTGAAATAGATCCATAACCGAGTCTCTCAAGAACAACGGCTAAGGAGTCATCTTCTGCGACGGCGCCTACATCTCCCACCACACCAACGTTCATTGTGGTTCCAGCAAGGCCCTGAGCTCTTCGATGGGCCATCAGCGCGTCAAGGTAGGAGTTGGCGGCCGCGTAATTGGCCTGACCCACGGACCCAATAACCGAGGATATCGAAGAAAAGCATACGAAGAAGTCCAGATCAAGATTTTGCGTTGCTAAATGGAGGTTTTGAGTTCCTCGTGTTTTAGTGTGAACACACTCTCGCCACATAGCGGCACTCATCTGGTCGAACGGCCCATCTCGGAGGACCATGGCTGCTTGGAAGACACCCCCCAAAGTATGTTTCAATGAACTAACACAGGCCACTACATCCTCCTGGCGAGTAGCGTCGACTTTGAAAACGGAAGTTTCGACGCCTCGGTCATGAAGCCACGCGATCGTCGCTTTTGCTTCGTTGCTCTTGTCCCCAGAGCGAGACAAGAAGGCCAACTTGCGAGCCCCACGGCGGAACATCCATTCTGAAAGAGACCTTCCAATTCCGCCCAGGCCGCCTACCAATAAGTAGGTTTTACCTGGCTTGAACAATGGCTTATTGTTAAAGGACATGGGCACTAAAGGAACAAGCTCCTTCTCATCTGGTTTAAGAATGATCTTCCCAAAGAACTTTCCCATTTGAAGAGTACGGAACGCTTTCTGGGCTTGGCCATATGTTAATACCTGGATAGGCCCAGGGGGTTGAATTTCGCCTTGCTCAATAAGAGTGAATGCTGTCCGCAGTTGCTGGCTAAGCAGTCGTGGAGCCACATGGAATAAGGTGACGGCGTCGACACTGGCGTATGAAATGTTCCGGCGGAATGGATCCATATCTAGTTTCGAGTTTTCATGAATGTCACGCTTTCCAATTTCTATCAGGCGCCCTAGAGGTGCGAGAGACTTCCAGGTGGCTTGAAGCAGTTCTCCCGCAAGACTGTTTAGAACAACGTCACATCCGCGACCATTTGTAACGGCCATGACTCCCTCCACGAAGGAGTCGTCTCGAGAGGAGAATATGACATCGTCAGATAGGCCAAATCTATCCTTGAGGAACTGTCTCTTTTCAGGAGAACCCACAGTGGCAATAACCTTTGCACCGACTCTCAATGCTAGTTGCACAGCCATTTGACCGACTCCTCCCGCAGCTGCATGGACCAAGCAGTACTCGCCTGCTTGAAGACGGCCGACGGTATGCAAAGAGTAGTACGCTGTGACTAGGACCAGAGGGAAAGCTGCAGCTGTTGTGAAGTCCATTTCGCCGATCTTCTGGCAGAGGATGGCAGGGTTGCGCACCAGAGTTCTATGGGCTCCTTGACCGGGACGGAATGCAATGACCCTATCTCCAGGCTTGAAGTCATTTTCCGACACGGCTGCGCCTGTACGCACAACCACGCCAGCAGCTTCGTCACCAAGGCGGTTATCGTCAATAATCCCGATAGAAGCAGCCACATCTCGGAAGTTGAGGGCAGATGCCTCTACCTTGACCTCGATATGATCATCTGGGAGAGACAAGTCTGCCGCGTCTTCGTCATCGTCAAATGCGAGAGTGTCCAGAAGACCCGTCTTGCCAATCTTCAACGACAGATTTCGATCTTCCTGGTTGAAATTCGCAAGCTTTACTTTCCTGTTCCCACCAAACAGTAACTTGGAATCCTTTGCCTCATCCGACTGAACGCGAGGTATGTAAAGTTGTCCACCCCGCTCAGCCAACTCATCCTCATTCTTGAACTTGAAAAGAGTCTGCAAAATCTTGTGAGCGATATTGGCCTCAGCACCATATTGCGGGTCTTCAAAGTCAACTGTGGCAATGCGAATATCATCGTGCTCACTGCGAATGTTGCGAAACAATCCGGTGGTAATTGCTTGCGCGGGCTTGCTTGATTCGATAGTTGCACCATGAGTGGCCCAAACAATGTTGGTAGCAACCCCTTTGACGAGTGCTTTGATCGATTGAAGGTGACTCTCTTCTTGCTGGGGCTCGAATAAAACATCAGCATCCAGATTGACTAACGAAACGACATTGTTGCTGGTGGGCTGCTCTTTGCCGAATGTCAATATCTCGAATTTTCCAGAATGAAGTTGCTTCAGGTTGGATATAACGCCCTTTGCCAATTCAGATGCTTCTGGAGAGATAAGCACAGAAATAGGGACCTGCGACTCTACTTCCTGAACCAAGTCGGATGCTTGCCACGCGGTTATGGTGTCATTCGAGAAAGCTTCAGTGAGGCTGCCCGGAGCTGAGAAAGACTTGTCGGAAATGAGATATCCGTTCAGCTTTAGGAAATTCTCGTGGTTTAAAGAAGATTGTTCATCGACAATAATAAGGTCATAGCTTTCAGTATCTGGCTTAACGTGTCTGAGGAGGCTGTGAAGTTCTGCGCCCAGACTCTCTGCAACATAAGCTGAATCTGATGTTTGACTTTCGCACCAAATGTTAAGATTATTGAACTTTCTTTTCTCTGAAGCTGACCCCCCAATGAGGTCTAAGATTCTTTCTACATGATCTTTGTTGGAACCCAAATATAGAATGCTTGCATCCGGGGTTTCGTGGACAAACAGTTCAACGATCTGGGCTAGATCATGTTCTTGAATAAGATGCTGGTTGGTTCCGAACTGTGAAAATAGCGGCTTCCAAGATATATTGAAGAACAGTTCCCTCTTTTGGTCGGCATCTGCAGAATCGCCTCCTAAAGCCGTCACTTCGAGCCCATCGATGGAGACCAGGACGTTGTAAGCTTCAGAGGCGACATCATTTGACACAACACGGAGGTTGCTATGAGCGACTCTTGTACCTGGCATGTCTGTTGTGCAGTCAACAAGGAAAGTCTGCTCATGATCGGATTCCTTGATCTCAAGAAGGTCACCGGAAAACACAGCGTTCCGAATAAACGTGGGCACGAAACTTTCATTGAGAGGTTGCCCTAAGCAAGACTCAATGGAAGCAAAAATGACATGGAAAGCTGAATCCAAGAAGGCGGGATGAACTAAACAGCGATCTGCAGCTGAAGCGATTAAAGGAGAGGGATCGAACTCCAATGTGCCGACCGAAACTCCCGGGCCGCTGTCGATATCTCCTTTAAGCAACCGGAAGTCATCTCCATACTGAAGGCCAATGGATTGCAGTTGCTTATAATAGAGCGAAGCAGGCTTACGCCGATCAGTCGCATTGTTGATCTTGGCTCTTTCGCCCCTGGAAAGGACCCTGGGGCGGCTTTCAGACCCCAAACCCGCTCGGATCTGGCCCCGGCAATGCTCAACAAGACGATCTCCATCACCATACGAGGATACGCAAAACAAATACCACGTACTAGAGGTTCTTTTAGCTGATACTGTCAAAGGTTGGATCTCCAGCAGAACCTCGGTGCCGGCGTCGTTGGATGTAAGAACAAGTGCATTCTTAAACACCACGTCCCGTACTTGAAAGCCCTTGGTTGAATCTGTGATGGTAGAGATGGCCTCAAGCGCCATGGAGATGTAACCAGCAGCAGGGAAGATGACCTTTCCCTGTATGCAGTGGCCATTTAGCCAAGGGATCTCGGATAGACGCAGATAGTTCCTCCATATCGGTCTTTGGTTCTGGCTCCCTGGTACTACAGCCCCGAGAAGTGTGTGACGCGAGCTTCGAAGCCGGTGTTGGCGAATGGGCCGTGTGTCTGCCCAGTGAGACCCATGATCCCATCCGTATTTCGGAAGGTCGCGTAACAATGTGCCTGGAGTATGCTTGGCAACGTCTCCTGTAATTGAATCAAGCCAGAAGTTGCTATTCACTGCCTCCAAGTCCACATTGTACCCATAGCTGTACAATTCGCCAGCACAAGCAATCAAGCTTTCAAAGGCTGGGGCATCTCGTGTCAGCGATGCGATATAAGGAAGTGAAAATCCAAGAGCCTTTGCAACATCTCTTGAAGGTCCTTTGAGAGCGGGGTGCGCTCCGATTTCGACCAAGATATCGACATCTTGCTCCTCGTTCTCGTCAATTAGCATGCCGGTGAGAGCATCAGCAAAGCGTACAACTCCAGTCATGTTTGCTGCCCAGTAACTTGCATCCATTTTGCGAGCTGACGAGTCGCGGGCTGTGACACTTGATACCATTCGGAGAGATGCATCCGAAGGACTGAAGTTCGGAATCCTAGAAAGTGCAGCCTCAAATCCGGGGGCCAAGGGGGCCATGTGATGCGAATGAAAGGCCTGCTCAACTCTCAGGCGGCGGTTAAACACACCGCGCGAGTCTAGTTCTGACTTCAGCTCCAATACGGCGTCTACATCCCCGGAGAGGGTGAGGCTCGTAGGGCTGTTCACAGCTGCAAGGGCAACTCGTCCCTTGTACGGCTGCAGAGCCGTTAACCCTTCCTGCTGGGTCATTCCCACCGCGAGCATTGCCCCTCGCTCGGATGTGCCATAGGACATGTACAAGCCCCGATAGTATGCACAGATTATAGTACTTCGAAAGGAGAGAACACCTGCAGCATATGCCGCAACGATCTCGCCTGATGAGTGTCCCACGACAGCACGTGGTATGATACCCCACGCCCGAAGGACCTTGATGATGCCTAGCTGGAGGGCAGCACAAAGTGGTTGAGAGATGAGACTCTCGCCAAGTCGTGTGTCTTCTTTAGACTTTGCCAGCTCGGAAATACAGGTCCAATCTGGGCGGTCGGGCAGCTCAGACAAGATCTGATCACAGCGCTCAACGGTCTGGCGGAACAGGGGCAGTTTCTGCAAGAGCTCTCTGCCCATGGCATGCCATTGGGCGCCTTGTCCTGTGAAAATGAATCCCAGCCGAGGCGACTTGCTGACCGGGGAGTTCCATGTGGTGATGTTATCCAGGCCATGAATGAGCGCCTCCGTATTGGCCCCAATGGCAAACGATCGCAACTGGAGCCTGGACCGTCTGAAGCTGTAGCTGAATGCAACATCGGAAACCGAGATAGGAGCCTCAGACTTGCCACTGAGGTACTCCCGAATTTGTGCAACATTCCTCGTGGCAGCGCGTTTATTATGCGCAGAGAGAGGGACAAGGTAGGGACGCACTTTTGCGTCTTCATCTAGGTGGCCAACAGGATCGTATGTGGGCAGTATTGAGGCCAGTGACCGATCTGATGAGTAGTTTTCGATGATAGCATGTGAGTTGGAGCCTCCGTAGCCAAAGGAGTTGATAGAAGCTCGCCTTATTGGTTTGTCATGCGGCCAGTCCGTGACCTCAGTTGGAACTTTGATTTTCAACAGTTTGAAGTCGATATCGGGGTTGGGTGTCTCGAAATGCATATTGGGCAGAATCTTTCCTGCGGACACTGACATCACAGCTTTGACGACACCTGCAAGTCCAGAAGCTCCCTCCAAGTGACCCAAGTTCGATTTAATGGAGCCGACGTATAAAGGCGTATCTCTGGTGGAAGCAAACACGGATCCAATCGCATTAGCTTCAATAGGATCACCAGCTTTTGTGCCTGTCCCATGAGCTTCGACGTAGTCAGTATCAGATAGTTCAAGATGAGAATCTTTGTATATCTGACGTATGAGCCTGGCCTGGGCTGCCCCATTTGGAAGTGTGAGCCCAGCTTTGGAACCGTCGTGATTCGAGCCAGTCCCTCGGACAATGGCCTTGATAGGGTCGCCGGCGGCTTCTGCGCTGCTTTGGCGTTTCAGCACAAGTGCACAGACTCCTTCGCCACGGACGTAACCAGATCCATTCTTATCGAATGTGCGGCATCGGCCGTCAGTAGAAAGCATTCCGAAATCAGTCATGGTGATGTAAATGTTGGGATCAAAGTGTAATGCAGAGCCGGCAACGATGGCGATATCAGATTCTCCTTCGGCGACAGACCGGTTTCCGAGATGAAAGCAGACAAGAGACGATGAGCAGGCAGTATCTATTGTCATACTTGGGCCGTGAAGATCGTAAAAGTAGGAGATCCGATTAGAAAGGACGGCATTTCCAGTACCTGTAACAGTATACTTGGGATATGTCACAAGGTCCTTGGTCGTCATGGAGTTGTAGTCATTCGTAAAGGATCCCACGTACACTGAAGTACGAGAACCCTTAATGGATTCGAGGGGAATTCCAGCTGAGATGCAAATTAGTGATCTGCCTGTCTAATATTCAGTTGTGAGCCATACCATCTTCCAGTGCCTCGTACACTACTTCAAGAAGTAACCGCTGCTGAGGGTCCATTGATTCGGCCTCCTGCTTGGAAATGTGAAAGAACTCATTGTCAAATTGAGACAAAGGCTCATCTAGAAAGTACCCATATCGAGCGTTTGTCTAGTGTTATAGAAATTATTAGTATTTGGACAAGCTGATCAATGCTTTAAATTCATACCGTTCCCTTATTTGTGCCCAGTGGATGGTAAAAGGCATCAACATTGAACCGGTCCTTTGGAATCTTCTGCTGTAGATCCTTGCGAGTAACGACGTTATCCCATAGCTGAGGCAGGCTTTTGGCGCCCGGAAAGCGAAACGCCAGCCCAGTAATGACAGTGGGATCGGTAGAGGGGCCTAGAGTCTGACTACCATCCGGTCCGATGGAGGTAGCAGACGACTGTGGGCGGGAGGGACTGCTCCCGTTACCCTTGTCTGAAGAGGGAACAGAGCTGAGTAATGTAGACATGACCCAAGCGATCTGGACTTAGAAACAAAAAGCTCGTTGTTTTCTCTCTATATTTCTCTTTCTTTTCGAGCTGTGATGGCCACTGAGATGAGGAGAGGTAGGGATCAAAATTCATAAACGTAGCTAGGAGAAGACTGAAGAGCCTGAGCCGGATGATGTCCTTTAATTTTGAGGACTAAAGATTTACAAGTTGTCTACGAGTACAACACTTATTTGAGGATTAAATAGAGAATGATAGGAAACTGGCCGACTTCGCTTAGCCGTGCCGCCCATCTCGATTTCAATATCCTCGGCATCTCCTGTGAACCAAAAGCCAGATCAACATGAAAATCAATGCAGAAGGTAAAACTGCAGATCTCAGCAAAGGATCCCTCTTCTCCCGCGTTAAATGAGGGATATTTGCTGTAGTTGTCGCCATCAACCGTATCACGTATGACCGGGGAGGGTCAAAATGTGCGATCCGTACATCAATGCTCTCACGAGGAAAGTAACAATATTGCATGCAGGAACTAGATTGGGAGTTACGTACATGCTGGCTGCTTAGTCGTGTAGATAATCAAGTTTCTAGGCATCGTTACGTGCATTTCGGCAAGGCAATAGAATCCATTTCGCAGAGCTGAGCCAGATGTTGTAACTATCACCAGTGTGGTTACGTAAATCTTTACTACCAGCGGACGAAGTGGATTTATTCCTATATCCGGAACAAACAATAAGTAAATAAGCGAGATGGATATGTCACTGAAGGTACCTTGGTCTACAAGAATTACTAGATGAAGAATGCCATGCGGCCAGGGTTGCCCTAGGAGTGGAGTTGGACACGAGGGTATGCAGGAGTAGGGGAGGATCCGTTACATTCGACCTTGTTGACCGTCTGACATTTTGAGCATCATCTTTGTCACATCATATCTCGTAACAATGTCGCATTCATGGAAGTGATGGGCACCAGGTGAGGAATATCAATTCATGCTTGTCGAAAGTGGATCGAGCCCGGCATCGGTGATCATATTGGATCCCACGTACGTTAAGCGCAGACGTCATAAGCGGTATGATTCCGCACGGTTAAGCACTTGAACGTTACGATAGGGGTAGATAGCAGTCCTTTCATCTAAGACTGAGATCCGATATACGTGCATCAGTATTGCAACTTGAAGTAAGCTCTACTGTGAGGTCTTACCTTCTTCACCAGGCGCAAAGTTCGATCATGGCCTTCTACCAAGCCACCATTCCTCCTCTACCGGAGTCTCTCCGCCTCGATGGCCAAACCGTTGTTCTCACGGGAGCGACAGCTGGGATCGGCCTCGAGCTTTCTCTCCAGCTCCTGTCTCGTGGCTTAAGGCACCTCATTGTCGGCGTTCGCGACGTCCAAAAAGGGGGTGTCACCCGCCTTGATCTTCTGTCCAACCCAAAGGTCGTGAAGAATAATCCAAATGCCCAGATTACAGTGCTCAAGCTCGATCTCTCAAGCCTAGAAAGCGTTGCAAAGTTTTCCAATGAAGTGTTGACTATCATTTCGCGCCTTGACTGCCTTATTTTGTGCGCTGGAATCAACACTGCGCACTTCGAACAGACTGGCGACGGAAATGAGCGGTATGCAACGCGGGCTTGTTTTTGTTTCTGTCATGGAATATTTGTAGTACTAACCAATGCCTCTCAGATGTTTTCAAGTCAATGTTTTATCAAATTTCCTGATCCAGATGCTTCTTCTGCCGTCGCTGCAGTCGACTGCTCGGGAGTTTCATGATGCTTCATCCCCACAACAGACTCCCACCATCACATGGGTTGGGTCCATGGGGCAAGCTTTTCATACCCCTGGCCTAGGGAGCGACAATGGGAATGAAGATACGATTCTTCAGGCTTATTCGTCTAAGGAACGTTATTCTGGTATCAGAAGATACCCAGATACGAAGCTTTTCGTGTCCATGATTAGCCAAGAGTTGGCCTCCCGCATCCCAGAGAATGAAGTCATTGTTAACAATGTGTGCCCTGGAACAGTAAAAACAGGGGCTGATAATAATCTTCCATTTTATCTACGAATCCCAATGAACTTCAATCGTCTCCTGAGAGGTCGTAGCGTGGAAGATGGCGCTCGCGCAGTTTTTTGGGCAGCAAGAGGCGGCCTTTACAAAGACCAGCCCAACGGCTTCTATGTCGCGGACAACCGTCCTCAAGAGTTAGTTCTCCCTCAGATTGAATACCATCTATTGATTTACTAATAAGAAGTGTTGATTCAGGCCCTCTGTTTATATCAATACACCAGAGGGACAGAAGTTTGCTCAGAAGCTATGGGATGAGCTCATCCTAGAGGGCAGGAAATGGGATGCTAAAGTAGGCAACGGATTGGTAGCTTAATCACATAGCATAACTCTATATACTCTTGATTTCATTCTGATTGAACCATTTATCGTCAAACCGTTTGAATTACTATCATGGTTACTTGTGAGGAAAGGGTGTGTAAAGTTCTCTAAATGCCTCTGCGCCTCATAGCTCCAAGTAAAGCAGCTAAGTTCGCTATGAAGACATAATGGATATTAGTCGGATAAGTGAAGACTTTACAGATGGACTTTAGTTGAAATAGCATACCCGTTAACTACGAGAGATGAGGAGAGAAGTCCAAGAATCATGAACCAAGTAGAAATCTTACGAGGATCAATTGAATCTCCAACAACTTCTTTTATTTATCACCTAAACTCATTCTACTCACTAACTACCTGCATAGCCACTGCATTTCTGTCACATCGATAGCTTGACCGCAAGGGTAAAGCACAGCCCCTTTGGAAGCCCTGTAGGGCGTCGCTCGTATAGCCTGTCACCTGCCGACATCGGACTATCTAATTTATTCATCATTCTCCTCTTGGTGAATGCCTTGCTCAGTTTCATGTTCCCTGTCGAGACTGATGTGCTTGACAAAGAAGCTCCCAATCATGGCTACTCCACTGAGCGCACACATAGCGGCCCACACAATCTTCAGGGAATCGGCATAAGCCTGCACCAGCTCTCTCTTCTTCACGTCATCAGGCATGTCGTGAAGAAAGGATACAATCGAGCTGGCGTCTCGGCTATATTCAACTGCTTGGTCAGCCAAGGTCGTAGTGGCGAGCAGGTTGGATCTCATTTGATTCTGGAATATGAGTCCAGAAAGGGCCACGCCCAATGCCTGTCCTAGCATTCGTGAGAAAATGAACATGGATATAGCATGTGACATGAGCTTGTCCGGGGCTGCAGCCTGATTGATGATGGCAAGGGAGGTGTAGAGTAGCCCCTGGCCGATTCCCATGAAGATAGTTAGGAAGAACCATTCGGCGATAGTGGTATCTACATCCAACAGTGTCATGACGCCGAGTCCAATAGTGCTCAGGATCCAGCCAAACCAAGTGACCCAGCGATACTCACCACGCTTGGATATGACTGTTCCCGCTACCATTGACATGGGTGCTAGAGTGAATGTGGCGGGGAACAGAGCAACACCGGAGATGATTGGACTATAGCCCTGAACCGCCTCGAAGTACAACGGGAGGAAGTACAGCGAGCCGTAGACAATGGCAGCGTTGATGATACCCGACAACAAGCTGTAGAGCATCTCATAGCTCCTCAGAAGACTCATCGTCATAATTGGCTCTTTTGGGACGTATGATTCATAAATGCCGAACGCGAACAATACGATAATGCCAAGCAGCAAAGGGAAAAGCGTCTGCCATTGATCCCACTCATACTGGACACCACCCCAAGTCAACGGCATAAGCGTGCAGGTGGCGGCGCCAACGAAGACAAAGCTCCCAAGCCAATCGAACTGCCTCAGCTTATCAATGACAGACCCCGGTGGTTTCGAAAGACGCAAGAACATGGGGATCAAGACAAGGACAATCGCGGCAAACGGAATAAGCATCCAAAAGATGCCCCTCCAACTCGCCTCGTAGGCGAGGGCGCCGCCGATAACGGGGCCGCACACACTCCCAAACGCCCAGACGCCCCCTACTATCCCAAAGTACTTTCCGCGTTGTCTCATGGGCACAAGATCGGTGACAACGATGTCGTTGAGCAGGATGATGCCACCGCCACCCACCCCCTGAATGACGCGACCGGCGAAGACTGTGCCGAAGTCCTTGGCAACGGAGGCAACGATGACGCCGATCAGGAAGAGGAAAGAACATGCAACAAGCACTGGCATGCGGCCGAATATGCCTGACCACGCCGCTGTCGGCAGCTGAAGTACTGCCGAGCTGAGAAGGAAGCTCGTACCGGTCCAGAACGCCTCTATCGCCGTGCCCCCAAGATCATTTGCCATAATCTGCAATGTCCGAGGTTAGCGAGGATGAATCATCATCGACAGTTGCAGGAAATATTTGCATATATCGAGGCGCTTACAGGTAGAGCTACCGTCACGGCAGTTCCGTCCAGGGACACCATTGCTGCAAGAACAAGGATGGGTGCTAGGGCCAGCCAGAATCTTCTATCTGGCTTGAATTCTGCATTCGGGTCGGCGGCCTCCGCTCCTCCGTCAGCGGCCTCGAGCTCGACATTGTTGGATATAGATCCAGAAGTAAGGTCCTCATTCGGGCTCTTCTCTTGGGTTCGCTCAGCGCGATCTGAAGCCATGGTATCGGGCATGATGTACAGCTTGACAGCTAGTCTGGATTTCTCTCACGGTTCAATAGATCCTGGTGTCAATTCAATGGAGTAAATGTTCGGAAGTATGAAGTTACAAGAGCTAACTATCTTTCTCCCTTTTCGCAGCCGGGTTAATGTAGACGCTTGATACGGCAATTCAGTTCCTCGCCGACAAAGCTAAGTTAGGAGTTGGATTTCTAATCCATAAACCCTGCTATTTTATCTAATTCGTCGAGTTGCATATTTTCTCTCCTGACGTGGGAACATTCCTGATCAAATTAATATCGAATGGCATCATATCAACCGAATCTTGCAACAGCCACTCAGGGATCTTTGTTAAACTCTTCCAAAGGATCTGCAAGCATGAATAATGAGACAGCGGAGTGAAGAAGTCATAATGCAACAAAATGAAACGTCCACCAAGGTCACATCCAACAGATCCTGCGTGTGCCGATCCAGGGGCCCCTGAGCCGATCACAATCCAAGTATACGAATAACCTAATTTCAGGGCTCGGGATGGCCCGGATGGCCGAAAGGTCTCCGTATATGCAGGGCCAGGGTTACGAGGTCGGAAGCATTCCGCTGCGAGTTGGTAATTGTTGCTCTTGATCCTTGCATGCCGCGCCTCGATTATTGCAAATACTACCATAGGCGCTCTGCAGTAAGTTACTTCGAGGTACCTGCTTCGAAAACGCCCCCTGGGTGGGTTGCAGAGACGCATGGCATCTTTGTATGCAGCTGAACCCACAGTAAGCACGGGAAGACTGGACCGCTTCGCATCTACGCGATGCTCCTGGTCCCCGGAATTAGATCGTCACATCGCCCTAGGAAGTTAGCGCCCGTCTTGCCGACAAGGCCATTCAGGATGGGTGCAACGGTTTTACTGTGGGCAATAGACGGTGTCTACAAGGTAGGCGAGTGACGTCTGAACTTGTTTGAGACTCATAATGTAAAAGGAAAGGGGTCTAAATCTCCAATATTGCACACTGCAAGCCGAGCTTATTAGCCCTGCGGAAAAAAGTCCTCACTTCGCTCCAATTTCAACTTAACTGCTTCAAACATATCACAATGGCATCTAAACCTCTTCAAATTGCCATCATAGGCGCTGGCCCTGCAGGCTGTACACTCGCTCGCCTCCTTCAGGTCTCTGAGCAAGCGAGCGGCGTCAAGGTGACCATCTTTGAAAGAGAGGCCCAGCTTCATGATCGAGATCAAGGTGGAACGCTAGATCTTCACGACTCGACGGGTCTGGAGGCCTTGAGACGCGCGGAGCTCCTCCACACTGATAAGTTCCGGGCTATTGCTCGCCATGACGGCGATGCTATCGTCCTCTGTGACAAGAATATGCGCAGATGGATTGATATTGCCAGCAGCTCGGACGGAGGATGGCTTGCTCAAGGCAAGCCTGAAGTCGATCGGCTGCAGTTGCGGCAATTGCTTCTGAATAGCTTGGTAGGAAACGTCGTGGTCTGGAATAAGCGAGTCAGCAAGGTTGAACTTGCTGCAGACACAAGTTCCACCTTGTATTTCGAGGATGGCTCGTCCAAGTCCGGCTTCGACTTGGTCATTGGCGCAGACGGCGCCTACAGTATTGTTCGCCCCCTGATCACTCCCCAAAAGCCATTTTACAGCGGGGTTGGAGGCTGGAACATGCTCTGCCATAGAGCCGACATTCTGCGCCCACTCATGAATAAGATGATCAATCGGGGCAGCCTGTTTGCATTCTCGGACGGCAAAGTCGTCATGGGTCAGCAACTGGGTACAGGCTCAATTTACATCAGCATGTGGGCTCTCAAGCCTGAAAACTGGATGTCAAGTTCAGGCTACGACGTCAAAGACCCAAAACAAGTCAAGCAGGCTCTCCTGGAAGAATTCAAGGACTGGGCCCCTGAGCTTCGAGAGTTGCTCGCGTCTTTTGACGAAATACAAGTGTGGCCCCGTAGCCTTGTTATGCTGCCAACAGGCCTCACGTGGGACACCAAACCAGGACTCACGATAATGGGCGATGCTGCTCACGTCATGTGTCCTTTTGTCGGTGAAGGAGTGAATGCCGCCATGGCTGATGCGATGGAACTCGCTGATGCGATCAAGGATACAGTTAAGAGCGGCTGGAGCAGGGAGTTACTTGCGCGAAATGTCGAAAAGTACGAACTTGGAATGCGCAAGCGGACTCTCCGCGCTTCTTCCATGACGGAAGATATCCTGAAGTTGATGCTTTTCACTCCAGGCGCCCCTACCACTACAATCGAACGGTATTTTGTGAGAGCAACAAGCGATGATCTTCCCTTCTTACTCCGACCAGTATGGAAATTCTTAGTCAACTTCTACTACTTTACATTCAAAGCTTTTTTCAAGTAACTAGCATGATAAATACACGATTCCAATAATCTCGTGACTTCTTATACGTAATGATAATGCATCTCAAGCTAATCTCCCAAGTAAAGGATAAAAGTTGCTTACAATTTGCTATGCCAGCTACACAGATCAACTCCTCTACATACATTATCTATTGGAAGTGTTCTCGGATGAGTCTACTCAAACTTGATGATAGGCTTTATCATCAATGACATTGAGGCAGAAGGGGGGATTCCGATGATTGCCTGAAAAATTGCACAATAATGGCCACATGAATCATCTAGATCTATTTCTTTACCCGGTTGACATAGGAATCGAATGTCGACCCACCGCTATCGGTCACTTGAAGACTCCGATTAAGGACTCACCGGTATGTCTAACGTCGTATTCCATTCAACCGAATTTTTCTTCGGGCGGTGTTGACCACGATCTCTTCTCAATGTTTCCATCCAAGTGGATTATCATCTGATATGGCATTATTTATTCCCACTTAGGCTCAATGAGTTAACCCACATCAGCCCCAATTTTCAGGGCGGCACGTTGAACCGAATCTTACGCTTGATGACCCCTGGCCACCGGGTGTAGGTTGCATTGTGAGGCGAATCGACTATTGCGTGATCCCCGTGCCAGGGATCCCAGAGGCCTCGTTCACACACCCTAGATAAATGCATCTCCCTCGAGTATTCAATCTTCGGGTAAATAAATTTGTATCATAATGTTGACATCTGCATCACATGGCTACGTCTCGACTTCCATGCCATAAATAGCCCTACGATTCGAATTTTACTATACCTCATCAACTAATCAAAAGCCTCAACAAACATTATAGGACTCTCACGATTCATTCTGGTGATTTCATTCAGCCAAACGATATATGTGATCGTCATGGCCATCAAGACCGCTCTACACGCTATTTACAGCCCATTGGGCTTCACAAAAGCATACGCCTTTACACTATGTACGTTTCCAAAACCCCAGTCTACTTATAAAGACCCCGGCACTAATGTCCGCTGTTGAGAGAAGGGTTCATCGTCAGTGGTGCACTCGTTGGGTTTATCTTAGCGCGTCTACAGTTTCTTGACATTGATGGCCGTCTATGTCCAGCCGTGCCGGCCAACGATGGTTCCTCGGGCTTTCCAGCAGCGTGCTACTGGATTGTTCACTTTAGGCGGTACCGTGTAGCCATGATTCTTCACCTGGCCACCTCGCTGCCTGCAGGTCTCATTGCTGTTTTCCAATTCTTGCCTGCAATAAGACACAAGTGCATCTTGTACCATCGCATCGCAGGCTACATTGCCATCACACTAGGCTTCATTGGCAACATTGGCGCCTGCATGCTTGCAGACACGGCCATGGGCGGGGAGTTCTCTATGCAGACCTTGATCGGATTCGTGGCATTTGTCACAACCCTCACCCTTGCCATGGCGGTGTACAACATCAAAAAGCTCCAGCTTGATGGCCACCGCGCATGGATGATTCGGTCCTGGGTCTACATGGGATTTGTGGTGACACTTCGAATCATCCAGCCAACCATGGCCAATATCGTCACAAAATGGCCATCGGCGGCAAAGTATGTAGCTGTGTCGTGTAAAGAACTACACTACATATACTTTGCGGGCCAAAAGCTAGGTCAAGGCACATATACGCAGGACAGCCTAGACAAGTTCAAGGCGGACTACCCCCCTTGCGCGGAACATCCTCTAGCTGAGAAAATATATGTTGCGGTACAGGGCGTCCTGTCACCTGACGACCCCGGAAAAGTCAATGTGGCTCTCATGTCAACGTTTGCTGCTTCCGGTGTTTTCGCATTCATGCTTCACGCGGTTTGCGCCGAGATATATCTTTGGCTTACACCGGCAGAGAATGCGCGGCTACGTGAAGTAAGTTACCAAAGGCAGCTCAGAAGGGGGTTTCCCAACCCAGGCAGTGAGGGGCTTGTGGCCCAAAGATTTGGCGATGCGCGAGAATGGGTGCCGGATGCATCATTGGAGTCCCCTGAAACCCAGTCCAATGAGGGGAAAGCGCACTCATAAAAAGAGAGAATGGATCATTGCTTTGGATTCTTTTTTCTTCTTTTTTTGCCTTTTTGCTTTCCAGATGAATCTATAGGAAGTCGAGCTTATTTGTCTATCGTATGATCAGAAAGAAAGACAGAAGTAGATGCTAGTATACTGAGCTAGAGAAAGGGGAGAGAATGTTATAGATCCTCCAAAGAGTCTAAATGTGCTCTTGTGGCAGCATCAGGGAATGATGCAGGAATAGTGAGATTCTCTAAAACTCTGAACAGCGTTCATGTATCCAAAGGATATATACTCTAGGCTTCTTTGTAGACTGTAAACTGCGATGCCTCCCTAGAAAGGTGCTGGATAAATCCTACTATTCATGTTCTTCCAGTCTCCATAGTTCACCATCCTTTTTACACATCCCCTCCCACCGGCGGCGCAGAACTGGCCAGATGAACCAGCTTACTACGACGCCCACGACAGAATCCATGATTCCAAGACCTCGCTTTGGAGAAGCCCCCACCATGTTGGTGAAAAGCAACGATGCGGCAAGCGAATCCTGACAGATAATATACTCCTCATTTTTCACAGCCTCAAGCACCAGTGAAGCTACCTTTTCTGACGAGGGATATCGTTTTTCCAAGTCCTCTATCGATCCTTTTAGCCCCTGCATAGTTTTAGTAAGAGCAGTCTTCGTGTTCTGCTCCTGATAAAACCCAGGCGAAATGAAGTCGCCCGGGAAAGAGATATGGACACTGTACTTGGACGCTGGCGATGAGTAGCGCAACATTTCCAACCGGAGGGTATCTGCCAATGCTCTAACAGCCGCCTTAGCGGCTACATAAAGGGATGATATCAGCGACATCGACCAAGATCAAGTGTGTGACGGGCTACAACTTTAACTTACGTGTGTAAGCAATTGAACCTGGCAACCCAAGAAACGCGGCCGCGCTGCTTATGATGACAATCCGACGGACATTAGTTCGAGCATTCGCCTTCCATTTGTGTTTCTTATCATCCTCAATCCAGATGTCCAGAACGGATTTTGCCGGATACGCAGTGGCGTAATAATTGTTGTTCATACAAGCCTTTACCTGCTCCGCCGTGATATCCACGAAGAACCCGTTCTGGGCGTGATTTCCACCGGCCGCACAGTAAAGCGTATCAGGAATACGCTCATGTTCTCTGAAGGCAGAATCGACCTTGACAATCGGGCACGGTCAGCTGGCCATTCCGGAAAATTCACGAATAGCGAGTGGAACACTGGACCTGCTTACTTGGCTGGAATCAGAGAGGTCCAAGACGACGAACCTGATTTCCTGCGCATCGCTTAGGCGCGACCGCTCTATTTCCTTGACAGCTTCCTCTAGCGGACCCTTTGTACGCCCAAAAATCGTCACATGAGAACCTATGATCGCTTAGCTGAGCAACCGTGATTCTAAAGACACGAGTTAATGGCTACCTTGTGCGGCCAGGAGCTTTGCCAATGCCTTTCCAAGTCCACCGGCACCCCCAGCCACAAACTCCATCTGTCATTAGAATTAGCAAGCTAAGATTGAACGTTCTCACTAGTTTTGGCGTACCTTATGAGGTGATGTAGTAGCTTCCATGATGTTGCCCTGCCCTGGGAGAATAAGTTGCAACCGAAATTTGATAAAAGACAGAAGGTTCTGATTGATAATGGGTACGAAATCAGTTTCATTGACTCGAGGACATCCGCTTGGTCACAGAGGGGCTGAAATGAATCTCACGGGTTCCGAGCTTATTTCGGCCGGGTTCCGGCCGCCGAGTGGTCCATGTCAGTTGTGTGTTAGTAACTCGGCCCATGTATCATTGAAACGGTGGCTAAATCTGGAGAGGTAAATGTATAAATTCATGGGAAGAAGATAACGACAATGATAAACCAAACGAAAATCATATCATTGTTGTTTAGCGTTGCTCGTTACCTTTTACCATGTCTGGCCAGACCTTCTTGACTTCCTGGATTCAGGCCCAGAAACTGAGGGCTCCCCAGATGAAAAATGCCTCCACTTTTGAACGGAATCTTGAAGAGGCTCTGGACCTCCGCAGAGCGAACCACGGTCTTTTTGCCCCTGGCGTCATCAATGGCTGGAAGACAGGTCAGGGGGTCGACTTCTGCTCCAACGACATTCTCCACCTCGGTGTCACTGGGCAAATTCGAGAGGAGTTCGAAGCAGAGCTAGCAAGAAACCCGGGCTACAGTCTCCATGCGGGAGGTGCCCGATTGCTTGACGGCAACTATGAATACATTCAACAAGTCGAGCAAGAAATCGCAGATTTCCATGGAGCAGAGACTGCCCTGATTGTTAGTGGTGGCTACGATGCCAACGGAACCATATTCGGAGCTCTTCCTAGGCCGGGGGATGCCATTATCTACGACGAGCTCGTCCATGCCAGCACACATGATGGAATGGTGCACAGCGTGGCTCCCTGCAAGCAGTCATTTCGTCATAATGACTGTGATTCGTTTCGAGAGACTCTCACGTCTATCATTGACTCGCAACCAATGATTCGAGACGGTTCGAGATGTGTTCTCGTAGCTGTGGAGTCAGTCTATAGCATGGACGGTGACGTGTGCCCCCTTCGAGAGCTTGTGGACATTGGCAAAGAGTTATGTCCCAAAGGAAACATTGAGTTCATTGTTGATGAGGCCCATGGCACTGGGATTATCGGTCCAAAAGGCGCTGGCCTTGTCAAGGCCCTCGGAATGGAGAAGGAGATTTCTGTCCGACTCCATACTTGTGGCAAAGCCCTGGCCTCTATCGGCGGTATGTCGAATTTAAACTCCGTTACCTTGAGTGATTTCTAAGGCTCACTGTGTATCAAACAGCGGTCATCCTTGGGAGTGCCACCGTGCGCTCCGTCCTTCTCAACTATGCCAGACCTATTGTCTTCACTACAGCACCCAGTTTCCCTATGGTAGCCTCCATGAGAGCTGGATACAACCTTTTGCGTTCGGGCGCAACTGAAAAGGTAAGATAGTGACGCCTTGTGGAGAACTTGAGACTGTTAACTAAAGAGCCCATACAGGCCCAAGCCAATATCAAGCATCTCGTGAAGCGCTTTATTGGGATTATGAGGGCAGACGAAACCTTCCAGAAGGCGTTTGAGATGGGCATTATATGGATCCCACTCGCCGAGGACATCGAGGACCGCGATTTCCTTTGCCATATTGTTCCTATTCACCTGCGTCAAAAATACTGCTACTGGCTCACTTTCCATCTGCAGTTGGCTGGGTACTGTATTTTCCCCATCGACTATCCCATCGTCCCCAAGGGAAAGAGCCGACTTCGGCTCATCGTGCATGGAACCAACACGGAAGCGCATATTGACGGCCTTGCCAAAGCTATTTGTGATTTTTCTCGTGAAATGATTGAAATTGAGACCTCGGCAGATAGCAGCTCCAAGTTGCCCAAGTCCGCTCAACATATATACGCCCAGATGGCAGAGGCTCGCGCTTAATGCTAGGGCTTTGCAAGCAACACATGGAACTTTCGAGGTGGTTACGAATTCTTCCATGTCTCAAATAGCTTCTGTATTTTTCTCTTCAAGTGCAGAGGCAGGGATAAAAGGCCCGCGTTTTGATGTCTTATCTACGTTGCATGTTGTTTGCCAGAAGATATAGAGGCCGTTCTCGCGGTGTTCTCAAATTCATCACACTTTTCCCTTGACATGATTTCGACCCCAACTTGTGACTCACGGGTGAATTAACTGCTTGCGTTGGCTCTGTTCAATATATATATATATGTATATGCTCCCTTGGTGAGAAATCCTGCTCTTCTCGATCTTTTCAATCGCTAGATATGAGAGAAGTCTTCGCGCGAAAAATCACAATTCAGGTGATGAAGCTGTCAACTAATTCGATAATCACTGTATAGCACACACCCTTGTTGTTGGAGTTACAGATTATGTGTGTGTGTGCGCAGCCTCCGGAGATAGTCTCGATAGACAAAGTTATCAAAATAGAAAGCTTTCACTGGCTCACTGATATAGGCGGACCGCTACTTGGGTTTATTATGATAAACAAATTAGAATTGAATCTGCCATCCGAAACATGCTCAATCTTTTTCCATTCACGTTAAGACGTACTTTCAAAGTGCTAAGGCCATGATCTATTCTATGAAATCCGAAAACCACAAATCTATTCCCTCAACGCTATCACATATACCAGAGTCCATTCCGAGATATTGTCCAATCTGTTCTTCATCTTCAACTCCCTCTAAGGATAGAGCGTCTCTGGATTCTTGCCGATGGGAAGCGTGATTTTTGAAGATGTTTGATGAAGTCGAGTCTCTCAGAAAGCCCGGGAGGGTACTAAAAATGGCGTCTCGTGAGTTTTCTAGTCTATCCGGTTAAGATTTGATGATCCAAACAGTAAGACTTCGGAGAAATAATGGGTAGGAAGGGGGAGATTCTCACCAGAGATTTCTGATGGCGTTGCTTCTTCTGGGGAATGAATTGTTACAGCTAAATCAAGTAACACATCTAGAAATGTGCCTAGCTGTGCATAATAAGATTCCTCATGACTTAGAGCTGCAACTGCCTTGAAAAAGGAATGGAATGAACGTAATAGTTCCAAGTCAAGGGTCTCCCTTCCATGTCCATGAGCCTCTAGCTCGTGCAACTCCAATAATAGTTGGACGACGGTTGTTGGAATGTAGGATATAAGTTGACTGGTCCAGACTGTAGATTAGCCGCGTTGTGTTTCTGAAAAGCTGCTAAATGGTCCACTTACAGGGACAGGCTTGAATTATGCCCCAGGTGTAAGCCACTCTTTAGTGAATTGACAATGACTCGAAAGAGGTCATGTAACGCTTCTATAGATTGAACGGATGCTTTCTGAACTGTCTGATCCGCGTGGAGCAAAATTGCTCGCAGAAAATGATACTTGGCAGTAAGACCTGGCTGGTTTGAAATAGCCAGCTCTTGACCTGCTGGCTCTTGACCGACGGGTCTTATATGGTATTTACTATACCAATGATTGAGCTCTTCAAGTAGCCCCATGGCACATGTACAAGCTACTCCTGGTCGTGTGATAGCTTGATCTAAGGCGAATAGCTTTTTGAACGTTCGTTGTTCAATCCGTCCAAGGCTGATGTGGGCATCCCAATGAAAAGCTCCGTTTTGCGGTATTGGTAGCGCTTCATTTGTTGATGGAACACTGCAGAAATCAGGAACCAGATTTCCAGCATAGATTCCAGTAATCCAGTTTATTGATGTTGTAATCATGCATAGACAGCCAAATACATTCCGTCTCTCCTGTAGTTCAACCCAGGGCAATACGTCCCGATCTTCTACAGGAGGGTCTCGGCCACTTAAGCCAATTAAGTGTGAGAGGTAGAGAGCTTGGTGGAATATCTGAGACAGAGCTCCTTCGGGTAGACAATAAGGTGCTATTAAGCACTAAAGAGGTCTTGCTGATTAGAGACAGATTTCGTGGGAGTTCATAGGTGCGGTGAGGCTAAACAAACCAGAGACAACAGAGCTTGGATGTTGGCAAGGTGGGGAGCGAGAAGCATCTTCAGATTGCTCGCAGCCCGTCGGGCATTAGTGATGAAAGGTCCTGCAAGCTCGCTCTCCATCGAGTGGAATGCTTGTTTCGTTATGACATCAAGAGGGTCTTTGGACATTGCGTTGGTAAACTTGGCCGTTAACGCTAGCAAGATAACGTTGTTAGCTGACACAGCACATGCTGTATGATCACCTTGATACGACGAAATCTGCTGTTCAAGCCTCTGCCGTGTCCAGAGAGGGAAGTTTGGATTAATATTATCAAAGTATGGTTCAATCATTGCCCCTAAGATTGACAGAGGGGGCATAGCAGGCGGTAGTTCATCGTCCTGGTCCAGTCGCGATGAGTTAGTAAGTTTTGCTAATACTGCTTCCAAGCGAGGGCTGAATAAGTCCGCTTGGTGCTTCTTGATGATGTGTTTTTGGATCATCGGGCTAAGAATCAGCTCCTGAACGTCGCGGATGAGGGAGTAGGTTGAGGTCGGACCATGGTAAGTCTCGTGGGCTTCCGTAACGCTTAAGACGCGACGTCCGACGCCATGCCATGAGGTCTCTCCAGGGATGCTTTTTTCGGTTATGAAAGTAAAACAGTTGTCGCTAATAGCTGGGCAAGTGGAGTATGAACGGGCGGTTTCTAAGTCGCTGCTGGTGCTGCTCCTGCTCATGCTGGCATAGCTATTGGATTGATGAAGTCTTTGGAGGACTGTATGAATTTGTGAAACATCTCTTTCCAGTCGTTCCAATTGCCTACTAATCTGAGCTACAGCATGTTTACTGTTGCCAGCAACGGTGTGATGATTAGCATTACCACCACAGAGTCTTAAAGCTGTATCTGGAGACGAACAATGCTGTTGACTGGCTCGGCTTTCTTCCAACGCCGTTCCAGGTGCATACTTGGCCCGCTCTATCACAATTAGCACAGGCGGGCCGCTCTCTCCCGCAACGTATTTTCCTCCCTCGACATGGGTCACACACTGTAAGGTCCATAGTTTAGTCTCTCGTCTAAGCCTTTAGAACCCTGTGGCATAACTTACCGTTATACGTATTTGACTTGTAGGGTAATTCTGCCTAAATTGGGCACAATATTGATGAGAATGTACTTTTTCATGACGGATTCTCATGATGAGAGCATATGTACCTCGTCTTCTTCACATCGGTCTCGGTTTTGGCGGTCCATCGGATGAATTGCTCTGACTATGTTTCCGGGTGACCCAGATATAGTGATACTCTAGAGGGAAACTTTTGAAGGACAGAAATCCTCTTGCACACATCACACCAGCAGGATAAGGTAGTCTGATATCTAAAGTAGCGGGCTTCATTTTCAGGCCGGTAGTATCCAGATCGGCGTCATTGTGCGTTGGACGTAATCTGCAGGTTCCATTGCAGGGACCCAGTGCCACGGACTTGCATAGGCAAGAATGCAAGAGTTCCCTTGACTTTCTGAACATTCGCCTTACCTAACCCAAAAGATGTGCGTGTGCAAAAAAAAAAATGATTGATGAGGCGATGTCACTATGATTCATAATGAACCGCGACAGGATCGAGATAAGTCCCCCAATGTCTCCCAAACTGAAAATAGAAGCGCACTATGACTAAACAATGGTATGCCGTTTCGAATACTATGTTATTTAAAATTTCTTGCAATTACTTAGCTACTAACCTAGGTTATAAAAAAATCACAAAACTGGCATCCATACCTTTCCAGTTTGCTCGTCTCAATCATACCTATTGAGTAACAAGTGAATACGCTGGGGACTTGGATTCTTTCCTATTTAAGACGAAGAGGGAGTAGAGACATGGGGCATATTGTATTTATGAATGCAGTCAGCAACTATACTACCCAACAGGCAGGGTTAACCCATGGCAGGACCACGAGTAACATGCAGGGAGGCAAGTATGATTGTTACAAAAGCAGTTACAGCGGCCTTTTTGTGACAAACAATGTGCCGCGCCCCATCTGCCGCTTACCCAACCGTCTAAAGTTCTCATCAATCCCCAATTATGGAGATCCGGCTGCCCAATACCCGGGTACCTTCTCCCATTTCCTCTGTGCCACACAATTAATCACTCGAGCTAGGTGGCTAAGACCACGCAGCCGACCGCCGGCTCGTCCCGTCACGCCATTCCTCGCTCCCCTGGGCCGAAATCGGGGAATTTCTGGCAAAGGGCCTCCTCTTCTATGCCGGACAATTGCAGCCGAGCTCGCAGGAACCACATCCTAGGCATTGATTTCCTATCTTCTCGCCATTACCATCACAAGTTGCAAGAAGGTTCTCTTTACCTTAAACTCATAGCAATTTCTACGGTGCCCATCTTGCCCCGCTGGACTTTCAAATTCAGAATATAGAGAGCAACATTGGATTGTTTAGGTCTTCTTTCCCAACTGGAATCCTCGTTCTTCCTAGCAATAATTTGCTAAATTCAATGCTAAACAGACTCTTTCCTAACATAGGGTGTGCGATAGGCATCCTTGTACGCCTGGCCTATCTCTTCCGTTCCAGGCCGGCTATACTGGCGAAGGCGACACCAGGTTGTCTATTGACGCTCGCTAGACTGTTCGACCGCTTGGTAAACTTTCAAATTTTGCTATCTGCTCGACAGTCTTCAGCAGTTACGTGTGGCAGATCGCTAGAGCCGTTGGTAGCTTGTACTTACATACCTCGTTAGAGCACTTAAACGACCCAATAGCTCCTGTTGCATTCATTGCTCAAACGAGGACCTAGGCCCCGTCTAAAATCAATGAGAGGATTCTATCACACTATGACGGGTTCTAGAGGTCTTGGATTCTTTACCACATTTGTTTTGAGCAACCTGAGCTGTTGTCAGAGTTTGAAGCCTAGAGAGAGCTGTTACGAACGAGACTCGGCGGCATTTTGAGGGCAAAAGTTTGACCAATTTCCTATCCAAAGCTCTCTTCAAGCTGAAGCTATCGATCCCGTGGCTTTCTTTGCTAATGGACCTGCTGGGTGAGTCAGGTGTCATGTCGCGTAGCGCATCATCGTTCCGTAGTCACGGCCAACTCTTCTGATGGCATGCCTAAATACACTTCCAGGAAGACCACTCCTGCCCTTACATCAGATATGCATGAGTCGCCTCATAATAGGAGAATGTAATAAACAGATAATATGGCCTTTGGTCAAAACCATGGCAGTTTACATCCCCATTCGTTCATAAGCAAGCCACGAACCCAGAATTACGTACGAGAACCTCTCGGGAAGTGACGAAGCGATTCCTCTTATAGGTTTCTTCGGGCACAGGTACGTTGTTCCCACGCCCCATCGAGTCAGCGAATGTAACCACACGAAATGTCGGACATTGGCTGGGGGTCATCGTTCGGCACCAAATCCCGGTTGAATGCTGACAGGGAAACTTCATGGAAGTTCGGCCACTTCGAGGTGCTCGGGCGACGGAAGCCGCAGCTCGGAATCCGGCGAGTAGTGCAAGGACTGCTAGAATCGAAACTCGTTCCGCTTCCGATATCCTGTCCGTTGCATTTGGCGCCGAAGCGTGGCAACTTGAAAGTGAGGAAGCATCGAGCTGGTACCTGGAGAAAATGCTGCTCTGAGACAGTTTCTGCAGCATTTAATATAGAAAGGAGTATCTTGATAATCGTTTGGGATTCGTGAGAAATTTCATGCACAATAAATATCATATCGGCTTATACTTTAGCTTTTCCCCAAAGTGCCTCCAAAATCAATCATCTCTCAATAACAATTTACAATTTCACCCACAACACGAGCAGAGATGGGCTTCAATGATAGATCGATCAACGGGTCATCCCACTTGCCGGCCATAAATGGCGTCGATGACCAAAAGGGCACCATGCCCATTGCCATCTGCGGCATGGCTCTACGGCTTCCTAGTGGCCTGTCCTCTCCTAAGGAGTTTTGGGACTTCCTTTTGGCAAAGGGGGACGGCCGCTGCCGAGTGCCGAAATCACGCTACAATGTGGAAGCATATCACTCGCCTGATCAGGGGGGAAAGCCTGGTTTTGTGGCCACAGAGCATGGCTTCTTCCTTGATGAATCTGTCGACTTGGGCGCTCTGGACACCTCTTTCTTCAGCATGACGCGAACTGAGGTAGAGAGAGCGGACCCCCAACAGAGACTACTACTAGAAGTGTCCAGAGAGTGTTTCGAAGATGCCGGAGAGATGAATTATAGGGGAAAGACGATTGGATGCTATGTCGGGAGTTTAGGGGAGGACTGGCTGGATATGTTCTACAAAGAGCCGCTTATGTACGGCATTCACCGTCTCACGGCCGGTGACTTTGCTCTCTCGAACCGCGTGTCGTACGAAATGGATCTACAAGGACCGAGGTATGTTATCGTCGCACCCGGCGTTGTTATTGTGGCAGATTTCTGACATTGTCCTCCACAGCATGACGATTCGCACAGCGTGCTCGGCGGCATTGATGTGTCTGAATGAAGCTTGCGTGGCCATATCTCGTGGCGACTGCGAATCCGCTCTAGTCGGCGGCGTAAACCTCATCCTCAACCAAACCACCACAATATCCATGACAGAACAGGGGCTCTTGTCGAAGGACGGGAGCTGCAAGAGTTTTTCTGCTGATGCAAACGGATATGCTCGAGGTGAGGCAGTCACTGCCATCTTCATAAAGCCTCTGGCCGACGCTATTCGCGATGGTAACCCTATCCGGGCTGTCATCAGGGCCACTGCCGACAACTCTGATGGCAAAACAAACGGCTTGACTCAGCCTAGCACTGAAGCGCAAGTCAAGTTGATGAAGCGGGCTTATGAGGTAGCTGGAATCACTGACTATCGAGACACGGCCGTGGTAGAGTGTCATGGTACAGGAACACCCATTGGAGATCCCATCGAGACCAAGGCTGTGGCCAGAGTTTTTGGAGATGAGGGTGTATACATAACCTCTGTGAAGCCGAACCTGGGCCACGCTGAGGGAGCTTCTGGTCTTGTTTCTATCATCAAGATGGTGCTTGCTCTCGAGAACAAGACTATTCCCCCCAATATCCGCTTCAATACGCCCAATCCCAACATCCCTTTTGAGTCAGCCAAGCTTACTGTGCCTCTCGAGCCAACAGCCTGGCCCGCTGGGAGGCTGGAACGCGTCAGTGTCAACTCATTTGGTATTGGCGGTGCTAACGCGCATGTTATCTTGGACTCTGCCGCCTCATTTAGTCAGGGGCCAACCTTCTCTCCATCTGCTCCAATTACAGGATCCCAACTTCTTCTCCATTCGGCCAACTCTGCCAATTCTCTTCAGAGGCTAGTCACCACCTATTCGTCCTTCGCCCAGGAACACCCTGACAAGGTCGGAGACCTAGCGTACACTCTAGCATTCCGCCGCGAGCCACTACCACATCGTTCCTTCACCATTGTCAAAGATGGTTCTGTGGGTCTACCATCCACTGCAGTGAAGCCCTCTGGAAGCTTGCCGCCCAGTGTTGTCATGGTCTTCACGGGTCAGGGAGCACAGTGGCCGCTGATGGGCAAGCAGTTGCTCAAGTCCAACCCCATCTTCCAGGCCAGCGTCCGAGCTCTGGACAAGCTTCTCCAGTCCATAGACGGAGAGGATGCTCCTAAGTATTCCATCGAAGAGGAGCTCCTAAAGGCTGGAAAGAGTAGCCGAGTGGGAATGGCCACATTATCTCAACCTCTTTGTACCGCTATCCAAATCGCGCTTGTTGACACACTGGACTCCCTCGGTATTGTCCCTGCTACGGTCGTAGGTCATTCAAGCGGAGAGATAGGTGCTGCATATGCCTCTGGCGGTCTCACAGCGAGGGAAGCCATTTTGGTTGCCCATTTCCGTGGTGTGGCCGCCTCGCGCCAGCAACGCGCGGGCGGTATGGCAGCTATCGGCATGAGCTGGGGAGAGACAGAGAAGTTCCTGATTCCGCAGACGACACTGGCATGCGATAACTCACCTCACAGTGTCACAATCTCGGGAGATGTCGAGGCCGTTCGACGCGTTGTGTCCAACATCAAAGACGCAAACCCCGACGTCTTAGCCAGGCTCCTGCAAGTGGACAAGGCATATCATTCTGACCACATGGTAGAGGTGGGCGACTACTATCTCGCCTGTTTACATCGACATAGAGTGACAGGACGAATCCCCACAAAAGCCCAGTTCATATCCAGTGTCAGTGGCGGCTTCACCGATGGCACCCTCGATCTGGGGGCTGCCTACTGGCGAAAGAACTTAGAGTCTCCTGTGCGCTTCCGCGAGGCTGTCTCTTCCATCTTGCAAGATAAAACCCTAGGTGGCTCTTCGTTGTTCATGGAGGTAGGCCCGCATTCTGCTCTTGCTGGCCCCTTGCGCCAGATCTTCACATCTATCTCGTCGTCATCCACAACACCATATGTTGCAACTCTCGTGCGAAACCAGGACTGTCAAGAGTCAATACTCGCCACGGCCGGTAAGCTGTGGTCACTCAATGTCCCACTCAACCTAGAGTCTCTCATTCCAAAGGGCCAGACGCTTGGGGACCTACCGCGATACCCCTGGAACCACGAGGGAAGCTACTGGTTCGAGTCGCGCATTTCTCAGCACTGGCGTAATAGGCCATTCCCTCACCACGATCTTCTGGGTTCTCGGATCCCTGAGAGCACGGATTCTGAGCCAGTCTGGCGCAACTTATTCCACATTCAGAATGCCCCCTGGATTCAGGACCACAGAGTCAACGGAGATACCATCTTTCCCTTCGCCGGATTTATTGCTATGGCTGGCGAGGCAATCAGTCAGATCACCGGTAACCGTGATGGCTTCAGCATCCGAAAGATGACTGTCAGTTTAGCATGCATTCTTCCTGAGGGGAAGCCCCACGAAATGGTCACCGTCCTACGACCAGTCCGCCTCACTAAATCACTAAACAGCCAATGGTGGGAGTTCACAGTCTCTTCGCATAACGGCCAAACCTGGAGCCAGCACAGCACTGGTGAGATCATGGCCAACTCTGAAAGTCCTGCCGAAGATCTGAATCCTGTCACCAGTCTTCCCCGCAAGGTCCCTGCATCCAGCTGGTACGGCACTCTTCGCAAGCAGGGACTCGATCTTGGCTCAACGTTCCAGAGCATGCAAACGATCGATGTTGCCCCAACAGCCCCTGGCAATGATGCCATTTCGCGAATCGAGATGGCTCCATCAAACACCCAGCCGGGAACGGGCTACCATATTCATCCCACCATGGTAGATGGCCTGTTGCAGCTCTTGAGTTGCGCTGCCATCAATGGTCTGGACCGTAAGGCAAAGCTATGGCTTCCCACAAGCATCGAAAATCTCACCATGAAGAGATGCTCAGAGGCGATCACAGCTCATGTATCCGGCGACATCACTAGCAATGGCTCGATCCATGGACATGGCACTTTCACCTCCAATGGGAAAATCTTTCTGCAGGCTTCTGGCATCCATTTGGCTCTTGGCAATGGTTCCGAGTCCAACAGCATTTCAGATACGCACGCCGCGGCTCGATACACTTGGGGACCAGACATTGACTTCATTGACATCGGTGTTCTGGGAAAGACTCCAGTCGATCGAGGCTCAGAGATAGCTCTCTTGGACCATCTCACCACCCTCTGCCTGGGCTGCTCTCAACCTGATGGGTCCATGTCTCGGCCTCCGTCGACCCATCTCAAGTCATATGCCCAGTGGATCAGCAAGCAAGTAAGAACTGGGACGAGCGGTACTTCAACGCCCACAGACCAGGATATAGTTCTCCAGAGTTTGGAAGAGTGGGCTAAGCGCCTTTCTTGTAAGCCCGCCGCCGCCGCGGTGGCGGCGCTTCAGGATGTCTTCTCCAATCTACCCGCTATCTTGCGTGGTGACTACGTGTCCAGCGAAGGCCTACATGAAAGCATTCTAGCTGACCTGTCGCGGTTCACCAACTCATTCGACACTTCCTCCCTTGTGAAGCATGTCTGCCACTCCAAGCCCAACCTGCGTGTTCTTGAGATTGGCCAGGACGCCCCCAGACCGTCGTCTCTTATTACCGAAAGTCTGTTGCTATCTAATGGGGAGGTTTTGTGCTCTCAGTACACCTTCACCACTAAGAGTTATACCTCTACCACAGACCAGGACACACCATTCCCAGCCATGGAGTTCCTTACATTAGACATAAACAATGATCTCGAAGAAGAGGGATTTAATGATCGCCAGTACGATCTCATCGTATTCCCCAATGTGGTAGGCTCCGCAAGCATCTCGCCGTCCGTTTTACAGAATATCAAAAATCTCCTAGCACCTGAGGGACGATTAGTGTTGCAGGTTATCAACACTGATTCTGTCTGGGCAAGATATGTATTCGGCTCCCAGCCTTCATGGTGGCTTGGCTCACCTTCAGATGACGACCACCCGCAAGGCGGCCACCTTGATGCGTTACAACGAAGCCTCTCTTCTTCTGGTCTCGGCAGGGTTGATTGCGTTGCCGAAGATGGAATTTCGACTACAGTTATCGCCAGGCCAACAGAGAAGAAGATTCTAGCAAAGAAGGTTTCCGTATTGTATACTGACCCCGACGAGGTTGAGGGGCGAGATGACCCAATCGTACTCCAACTAGAGGGCGCCGGGTACCAACTCACGAAGTCGTCTTTGAGCAATCCCAACTTACCCCCCGGGCAAGACGTAATTTGTCTTCTTGATCGAGCTGGCCCCTTTTTTGAGACATTACTCGCTGATCAACTGGAAATGCTCCGAATGCTCGTAACCAAGTTGGAGGGCGCAGATCTTTTCTGGGTGACAGAACACTGTCAGATGGGCGTGAAAGATCCAAGATATGCTCCTGTGATTGGCTTTGCGAGAACCATGCGTACGGAGATGCTTGTCGATTTTGCAACCTGCGAGATCGAGGACTGGGTAAGGGATGTTCCTTTGCTGGTCGAAGTTTTCCAGAAGTTCCAGAGCCGTAATCAAGCAGAAGACGATTTCAAACCCGAGCTTGAGTTTTCCATCAAGGAAAGCCAAGTCCATATTGGACGCTACTACCCGTTCAGTCTGCCAATCGAATCATCATCCTTGTCCGGCTCCGAGAACTATATTCTTGACGTTGAGACTCCTGGAAGGATCACAAGTCTCCAGTTTGAGCCTTCTCCCCGCACCGCACCTGCCGAGGGAGAAATCGAGTTTGAGGTTGCCGCTACTGGCCTGAATTTCAGAGTAAGTCTTCCCCCCTTCGCCCCCATGATACCAGACTATGGTTTCCATGTTTATATTAACGCTATTCTCCAGGATGTTCTCATCGCTATGAACATTGTCGAACTCCAGGTTCGAAGGTTTGGGCCAGAAGCCTCGGGAATCGTCACCAGAGTCGGCCCAGGGGTGACGGGGTTCAAGGTTGGGGACCGCATCGTCGCCTCGGTTTTCGCAGGGTTCAAAAAATATGTCTGTGTTCCTGCGTTTGGCTGTGTCCAACTACCTGATTCTATCGATTTTATCGAGGCTTCGTCTCTGCTTATTCCATATATCACGGCGATCTACTCTCTGATCAACATTGGAAGACTCGCCGAAGGCCAAGTAAGTTTGATCCACATGCGTTACAGTTAGTACAGAGCACTGATCAAAACTCAGTCGATTCTTATTCACAGTGCCTGCGGTGGTGTTGGTCTTGCCGCTCTGATGATTGCTCAAATGCTCAAAGCCGATATCTACACCTCCGTGGGCAGCGAGGAGAAGGTCCAGTACTTGCACAAGGAGTTCGGCCTACCCCTCAACCGCATCCTTCATTCCCGAGATGACTCCTTTGTCGCAGATGTGATGCGAGAGACAAATGGCCGAGGGGTCGATCTGGTCCTAAACTCTCTCTCGGGCGAGCTTCTACATGCCACATGGAACTGCGTGGCCGCTTTTGGCACCATGGTAGAAATTGGAAAGCGAGATTTGATCGGTAACGGCAAGCTAGACATGCGTCCCTTCCTGGCCAACCGCAACTACTCCTGTGTTGATATTGATCACTTTTGGCAGAAGCCCGCACTTCTTAAGCAGTACGTTCTTCTGTCCCTCACGTTGTGCTAATAGGGGATACTGAGACAGATTTCAATAGTCTTGTTACCTCGACTATCAAATATCGCCATGAGGGACACATTCGCGCTATGCCAGTTAAGCTGTTCCCTGCTAGCGAGGTCCGGGAAGCGTTCCGCTACATGCAAAAAGGACACCACATCGGACGTGTCTCAGTTGCCATGCGTGACGATCTGGTCGACGAAAAGTTCACCATCGAAGTGGTCCCCCGTCCCTTGAAGACTACCTTCAATGGCTCGGCGTCGTACCTCCTCGTCGGCGGTCTAGGTGGCCTCGGCCGAGCTGTTTCGCGTTGGATGGTAGAACAAGGCGCTCGCGAGCTCATCTACCTCTCTCGAAGCGCACAGAAGACCGGGGACACCTCGGTCTTTGTTGAAGAGCTGCAGGCCGCCGGGTGCCATGTCCAGCTTGTCGCTGGTGATGTGACCAAGCCAGAGGACGTCGTTAGAGCAGTTACAGCTGCGTCGCAGCCCCTTAAGGGTATAATCCAGCTCTCCATGGTGCTTCACGATGAAAACTTCGAGAGCATGACAATTGACGACTGGAACGCGGCAGTTGCTCCCAAGGTCAAGGGTACATGGAACCTGCACAACGCAACCAAGGATAAGAGTCTTGACTTCTTCCTTCTTTTCAGTTCTATATCCGGAGCCGTCGGTCAGCCTGGTCAGGCGAACTATGCAAGTGCAAACACCTTCCTCGACGCTTTTGTACAGTACCGAGAGTCGTTGGGTCTAGTTGCCTCAGTTATCGACATTGGTGCCGTGGCCGATATCGGTGTCATCACCCAGACCCGCGGCCTCATGAGCAAGATGAAGTCAACGGGCTTCAAGGGCGTTGAAGAGCAAGAGCTTCTCGACGCCATTGACCTAGCCATCGCTCAGGGATGCACCCGAACGCAGGAGAAGGATTCTCACTTAAGTCTAAGCTGGTCTAACCAGAGCACTTTCATTCTCGGGCTTGGCTCGGACACGCCCCTGAAGAGTTCCAGCAACCGAACAGTGTGGCGAAACGACAGACGCATGGCGATATATCACAACAAGAGCGGTACTTCTGGCCTATCAGATGCTACAACATCCTCGAACCAAGCCCTTAAGGCGGCTATCGCAGGCGCCCTTGCTGACTCTTCAACTCTCAAATCAACGGATTTTGGGGAGTACCTTGCAACGGAGATTGGCAAGAAGCTATTTGATCTCCTACTCAAGCCATACGATGACCTTAACACGGCAAGGCCCTTGGTAGATCTCGGTCTTGACTCGCTCGTGGCTATCGAGTTGAGGGCATGGTGGAAGCAGATGTTTGGGTTTGACATCAGCGTTCTTGAGATGCTGGGCATGGGATCTCTACATGCTTTGGGACAACGTGCCGTTGACGGATTGGCGGAATCCGCAGGTGGCGCAGAATAGATTTGCAAATGTTTCTTCAGTTGCCTTTTTGACATAACATAAAAAGGAGCACACAAAGTATGAACGAATTGAACACAAAGGAAAAATGAAGAGGATCAGCATGTGGGAAGGAATGATTCACGAAGCTTAAGGTTATTATACAGATTAAGATTGAGCCAGCACATAAATGTCTTAAAATCTTTGATGAAGATAAAATTTCTATATATATTATAGAAGAGTTGAAATGAATAAAATTGGAAAAAGAGAAGATATGTATATGTAAAAAGTAAAATATAAACAAGAAGAAGATAATACGGCAGGGTATCATTTTATTTGAATTTATTGTTTGCCAACTTCAATTAAGCAAGTTGACTGGCGGCAAAGATGACAGTTAGAACAGCAAACAGTCCTGTGCCTGCAATGTGGGATGCGCCACTGGGAATGACAGATGACGAAACAGAGCCCTGGGTTGCAGAAGCTGAACCGCTCGCCCCCGAGGTGCCCGAGTTGGTGGGCGTGATGCTGCTGGTAGAGGTCACGAACCCACTCCTGGTTGAGCTGTCGGAAGCATCACTGCTTGCAGAATCAGTCTGGCTCGAGGTTCCACTGGCATTGCTCGATGTTGCTGTCACGGTACCAGAGGCGGAGGTAGTGGTAGTGCTTGAGCCAATGGAATCCGGCTTACGCATGGAGGCGCCTGGGCACTTGGTGATACACTCATAAGCCAGTTTGTAAAGGCTCTTGTAAACATCCTTATCTTGAGACTGCTGGTTCTTCTTGAGATCATCAAAATACTGGTCGTCGCATTTGCGGGCACATGCGTATGAAGAGCACGGGGCAGTATCGCCATCGATGAAGCTGAGACCTCCCTTCTCCGCCTTGCCCCAGCTACCAGTGGCACCCTCCAGGGAGAATTGGCCGCTGTACTTGTAGCCAGAAGAGCCGCTGTACTTGTCCTTGCCTTGCTTGAGCTCCAAGGTGGTGATGGCAAACGTGGCATCGCTAGGGAATAGGTCGGCAGGGATGTTGACCTTGACAGAAGTGGTGTCGATCTTGTTGCCCTTTGAGAGCAGGCAGGTAGGCATCAACCCTGAGGAACTAGGTGGTGCGGTCGCCAGGTAGACATTGAAGTTGGAGTAGGCGGCATCGACCGAGTTTGAGCCGTTACCGAGGTCGTTGGTGATCTGGACCTCGAAGTCGGTGTTGGCCTTGATGTTGGAGGGGATGCTGATTTTCTCAAATGCCAATGCCGGGAGAGCAGTGGCGATTACAACGAGGGCGGTAGATGCGTACATGATGATGATTGGTAAATGGATGAAGAAGAAGAAAACGTTGGGAAAATGAAGAAGTGGGGTATTCTATGAAGATGAAATATAGAAAGAAAGACTTGATGAACGAAGAAAGTATGATCGTGATATCAAAGTCGTAAAATTGACAGAAAAATTGAAGTATATGAAGTTTAAAAAAAAGCCACGAGGGCGTTGAAGAAGTGAAAAGAAAGGAAATAAGGAAAAGACGAAGAAGGAAAAGAGAAGTTCTCACTATGAGTAGTGAAGAATAAACTTACACTTGCTGTGAAGGCAGCGTGGCATTTTATAATACATTTCCGCGATGATTCCATTCACTCAATGGTGCTGTTCATTCTGAGAACACGTTCGGGAACTAACAATAGCACCTCGTAGCTTAATTTCCTGCCAGCCACGGACGCCGGGAGCCCTGGCTCGCTCCATTCAGGTGACCTACTTTTTGCGGTGGTTCATCCTATTTTTAGATAGGATCGGTTCCTACGGACATTTTTCATTCGCACCCCGGGTCCGAGAGAACATGTTCTGCTTGCGTCACGTGAGACAGATAGCCATCTTCAGACTTGAACATGTATTCAGACATGATCCGAATTGCTCGCCTCAGGATAGAGGTCTTGCAACTTCGCGACAGCCGGAGTGTGCGCCGATTTCAGATTTGCTAGGATAATTTGTCGTGATGTAGGTGGCATAAATCCGCGTAAATACCGTTATGCACAGTCAGCTCAGATTCCAAGGTAATGCTACCCTATAGCATAGATTAATTCGCTGAAGTCTTAAGATAGCACATCCAGCGCTAATAGTTTATAGTTAGCTTTATAAACAGCCTTCTTATTGATAGTAAGTTATCTGTAGGTTTTTTTTTCTATGGATAACTTAGAGTTCAGTTGAGTTGAATTGCATTAATAGGCGATGACAAAAATTGATGCATTTTGCTGCCAACTACTGCCAGGCTCTTTTAAAAAAAATCATAGCTTTGTATTCCCTACGAAACAACAAACTTCAGTAACCACAGTGCGCAAACTATGAAAAGCTTTTTTCAAAAAATCATATTTTGCCTTAGATTGGCCCTTTTTCGAGGTTTGCCCTTTGTCCTCTTCTCTAATGACGAGTTGGCTCTTGAATTGTCGCGTGGTTTGTTTACTTTGTGGCTACGCGTTTGAACCCACTTATCAACGCGTTCTCATTCGTCAATCCCTTTTGGCCCCTGACACCAAACATCATCAGCATCAATGGTTTGAACAGCTTTGCTATTGTGCTTGACCTTTTCTTCTCCTTACCCTCAAAGAACTTGACCTAGTCGATACCATCTTCGGAATGAGCCGGGTCGCCAACCGGAAGAGTCCGGGTGGCATGGGGAGGAGGTTGCGTGGTATGAACAGTTCGCCCGGCTCCCGCGCACGTTTCAGCTGCGGTTTGGAAATGGTCCTTCCGACATCCCTTGAGAAATTGTATGAAGTAGCTAGACTGCTTTGACTTCCGCAGCTCTGCCTAAGACCCAGCTGCAGACTCAGGCAGATTCTCGTCCTGCCGCTCCACAAGCCCCCATACAATATCGGCAGGAAACTCGAGTTGTCCAAGACAAAGTCGACCAAGGTCGGCATGATTTCAGAATGTGGGTCGCCCGGAGAGATATCCGGGGGATGGTTCGCCGAGACGCCACATGTCGACGGCGTAGAGATTTGAGCATCTGCTGTTCCCATCGGTGAAGCCCTCTGTAGGCGAATTTTCCAGCTATACTCATGGGGTATAAGGGCATTGGTTATATATAGCCCATAATCGATTACCTCTCGCTAAGCTTAAATTCAAGACGTTTCGGTGATGATATATATATTAGAAGAATTATATAAGGAAAAGCATTGAATATTAGACTGTTAACAAGGATCCGAATATCAGATGATGGTTTATCTCCTCACTTCCTAATATACTTTCTCTGCTTGAGCTGTATATTTAGCCTACGCGTCCTTGGAATTCTCCCTGTGAAAGCCGTCTTTGCGCAAGTAGTAAGAGAGGTCCTCTTCATTAGCATCTTTCCAAGTAATGCCGTTTCCAAAGAAGAAGTAGCGATTTGGACTGAGATATTTAATATCATAGTCTTCAGCACGCTGCACACTCAAGAGTTCCTTGAAGTGAAGAGGGCTTCCCGCCCACATAGTGGTGACTGGGCCATGGACCTTGTTGTTTTTGTACCATGAACGGCAGTGGGAGGTATACACCGTACGCTTCAGATACTCCTGGGTGTATACATTGAAGTCTTCGATGGCTTCTTGTTTGGGGTCGATGGAATGAATGTGCTCCTTGGCCATCTTCTCAACCCATTTGGCTGCATAGAGCCCAGCCCACTCCATCTGCGGGATCAAACTTCCATTGCCCACGGCTGCAAGGTAGACATGTTAGTATAGAGTACTGGTCAAACTCCGGGACAGACTTACGTGAGTTTGGCCCTAGAATGAAGAAGAAATTGGGGAAGTGTCTTGCAGTGACACTCATGTAAGATTCCGGGTTCTCTTTCCACTCCTCCTTCAGCGACTTCCCACCACGGCCAATGACGGGCCACTGCTTGGCAAAGGAGACATCAAAGCCAGTGGCACAGATAATTGCGTCGACTTCATGCCTGTTACCGTCCGCATCAATGACAGCATCCTCTGTAAACTCCGATACGGAATTGAAAATCGTTTTGACATTGGGCTCCAACAGCGCTTCAAGGTAACCGTCACCAGGGCTCAGTCGACGGCATCCGAAAGCCCAGGTTGGAATCAACTTCTCGGTGAACTCCTTCTTTCCTTGAAGTCTTTCATTCATAAGCTTCAGGGAGGCCCCCTTGAAATATTCCTGTTCAGGCGTCCCGTACAGCAGGCCCTTGTAGAGCTTGTTGAAGTCGTGCTCGATCTTCTTACGGTATGCAAGCAGCTTTTCCGGGTCTTCGAATTCCTTGAGCTGTTCCTCGGAATAGGTGAAGTTTTTGCCATCTGCACTAGCAAACTGAGCAGCGAAATTGGGACTGATCCAGGTAGGAGAGCGGATAAAGGTGGTCAGCTGCTTGACGATGGGCTGGATGCTTGGAAGGATCTGGGTGGCCGAGGAACCGTTCCCAATTAGCGCAACCCTCTTGTCGGTGAAGTCGTAATCGTGATCCCATGCGGCCGAGTGCACCCGATGGCCTTTGAACTTATCAAGGCCCTTAACGTTTGGCCACTTCCAGTTGCTGCTTCTTGTTAGCATTGTGGGGAGTAAATTCCCGAGGGATGCTGAACGACATACTTGAGCACACCGCTGGCGTTAATGACCACATCAGCCTTATCCTCGATGAGCTTGCCATCGATCTCAACTTTGACGGTCCACTTCCCTTCATCCTCGACCCACTCTGCATGTACGACTCTGGCATTGAACTTGACGTCCCTATCCAAGTTGTACTCTCGAGTGACGTCTTGGATGTGTTTTCGGATCTCTGGTCCGTTTGCATAGAACCGAGTCCACTCTGCAAGCCAGAACGATAGAGATTAGTTGACTCTCTGTCTATAAGAGAGCGATAAGGCTTGACTGACTTGGATTTGGGCCCCATGTGAATGTATATATGTGTGCAGGCACGTCACAGGCCACGCCGGGGTATTGATTTTCATACCACGTGCCCCCAACCTCGGGATTCTTCTCGTAAATGACGTGGTCGACGTAGTCCTCCATCTTCAGCTCATATCGAAACTTGTAAAACAACGTGAGAACTTTTGTTTTTAGCATCAACTGTCGGAGGAGGAGAAGGAATTACCTTTTGAGCTACCATCAAGCCTGAGAAACCAGCTCCGATGGTGATTACACGAAGCTTTCGTGGCGTGAACAAAGGTTCTTCATGCACGGGAATCCAGTTCGCGGGTTTGGGTAGAGGCTCGCCATTGCTTGTTGAGCCCTGATTCCGAACCCACTCGATTGGAGTGGGAGCAGTACTGTCAAGATTCTTGGTGGTAGCAGGGGGCGACATGTTGAAGATTGCAAGAAAGTATCTTGATATGAGCTATCAGGAGGTTTGAATCCGTGTGATGAGATTCTCAGTAATTCTCCAATGCCCTCATCGTTGCTACCTTTTGCTTATTATATGGTTCGTCTGGTGATCTGAGGTTTGCTATCGCCAATCTAATACTTTACAGTCCCTCTAGTTCACGTGCACCAGAGTAGAAACGTTCTTGGTTCCGCTCCCCCAAGTTTTCTCCGCGCCTCCTGCCCCGCGTTAGGTTAGTGGTGGACGGAAGGACGGAATATTGTGTCTTGCCCCGCATCTATAGATTCCTTGAGATGGGGTGATAAAGACGGAACCAAGTCCCGCGCTCTATCTTATGCCTTATCCCCCCTGAAGATCCGTTTCTTTCGCGGACGAAGCGCCGATGATCTCTTACTCGGCTGCTTGCAATGGCGTTCTTGGGATTCACAACTCAGACAGACCCTAATGGGAAGAAAGCGACTTCTTGGTGTCATCATTAACTATTTCTAATATATGCATCTTGCAACTATAAGAAATCCTTGAGAATTGAAGCAAGGTCTGCCCCGTTTCCGAGCATGAAATTATCACTGGATGCCCACTGATTGCTATTAAATGAGTTCTGATCTCCAAATGTGTTTGCTGATTCCCCCATGGCCTCATACATGTCCATTAGTTCCCGACTCATCTGTGCTCCATCCACCTGCAAGTTGCCATCTTGTAAGCATGTTTGGGTGCCTGACACGGGAGCACCCATAGATTCACGGGTGTCTGCCATGTTAGCGGCCGGAGCTGGCTCCTGTGGCGCAGACGCCTGCCCTTGATTCAAGAAGCCCATCTGGGGAGCGAGCTGCCGGAGGTGTCTGATTGACCTCCAGAGTCTTCGCGAGACATAGGATTCCATCGAAAATCCCTCTACAAGCTCCAAAGCCATATTGAACTCATCTTTGCAGCAGGTACTGAATTGGGCCGGGGCATGAGCCGCGGCGAGAAAGAGAACTGCTAGTGCGGAGACGAGGAACCAATTGAAGGCCACTTGTTGCAGCTTATATATGTCGGACACCTTATTGAGGTGATTAAGGTGCCGTATGGAAGCTTTGGCAATGTCCACAACTGTAGAGGCTTCCACGAGATGTTGAGAAATTTGCTCTGCTCTCAGAAGTATGGGTCGTCGGACTAGGATCCTAATCATGTTGCCGCGTAGGTATAGTAAACTTTTCAAGCGCCAGATCCTTCGGTTCGTATCGTTTACCGAACGTTCCTCGATGGATTCGGGAAAAGGCAGCCTCAACTGTTCTGGAATCGATTCATACCATTGCATGGCCTGCCAATCGAGAAAGCGCATCTCCTCGACTCGGACGGCGTATTCAGTACTTGCACCCCCGGCAAACCTCCACGCTTTCTGCGCAATCCGACAATAGTCGATCATAGAATTGAGGTAGGGCTCACCAGTCTCCACTTGTGTGTTAGTAAAAGAATAAAAAAACAGCGGCAATTCGCATGACTTACTGGCCGAGGGAGCGTGGGTTCAATGTCCATGAAGTCCAGATGGTTGGGCATTCCTGTGCCCATGCTCCATCTCACATCCAGAGCATACACAGACCAGAAAAGCCTGGAAGCTTTATGTTCCCCGAGGGCGACAATGCCAGCTTCAGAATATGTTTCAGCTCTGTGCAAACCTAATTCCATGCACATTCGTTGCACCAAGCCAATCATCCTCCATGCCAGGGCCTCTTCGTCTATTTGGAAGAAAAATATAGACTAGGAGTAACATGTTAGACATTACACTCACGTTCTTATTTCCTCGGTATGATTCGTGCTAATGGACGTAGTAGACGCATTGGACTCACCACAAGAGTGACGATGATTGCCGTCTGGATGTCAGCGGGCCGCCACATCAAGTTGGCCAAGGCATCTCTCACGTTTCTAAATATCCTCATGGCTAGCTCGCTGCGTCCGCTCTTCTCCGCAGTCAAAGCGCATGCAAAGGCCATCTTGATGATGTTGATGTCTTCGTCTTTGATGATAGGTACAGGTGATGGTGGCGCCCTCGAGGAGGATAGGGACCCAAGATGGTCGTATAGCCTGTTCACTTGGGTAATGGTCGCCTCCAGCTCTATTACCGGATACATGGTGCCCATCTCATCTTGGTATACCCGGCATAGTCGAAGGGCTTCCTCCCTACCAATAGCCCAGAAGGGCTCCACGGGTGGTGAGAAAAACGGTAGAAGTTCATCCTGGTGCAGTGTCATGGACGGCGAGGCTACAGGAGTCGGCTCTTGCGTGAAGTCTCCGGGCCTCTCCAACTCTGTGATTCCTCTGTCCCGAAGACTCTTCCTGGCGATGCCTAGATCAAAGATTGATGTGGTTGGCCCGTGGAATGAAGGGGCATGTGTTGAGCGCATCCTGTCGCGATTCGGGGTAGACGCGAGTCCGGGTAGATACTCCGGCCGCCAATCTGGTGAGGTTGACGGCCGCCTTGCTGACAGGCTTTCAACGCGAGATTGCAGAGACTGGACCTGCTGGAGGAGCTTTTCGATGTTTCTAGTTTCTCTCGGTCAGGCTTGCTCACATGTACGGGCACAAAATACCTACTGGCTATCCGAATTGACGTTGTCGGCAGCGTACTCGCACTCCAGTTCATGGCGCCGGCAACGCTCACATGGCTGCTGGCCGCCGCATTTGATCTTGCGACGCTTGCACTCTTTGCTAGAGAGTTTTCAATCAGTAAGAGCTCAACCGAAGGCCAAGAGTAATGGAGGAAAAGGAGACTCTTCGTGCAGGCACACATTATCGAGTCAGAGTTGCGGTTTACTTACCACGCTTTGTTGACATACTTCGTCCGTTTCCGCTTTTCGGGTATCGTGCTCGTCGTATTGTTCTCCGGCTGCGACGCTGGAGGCACCATTGTTGCTGCCGGATTACAATAAATTGTAGAGTCGTTTGCATGTAGGTACCCAGGTGAAGTGTTGGGGAAAGAGAGTATTTTTTCTCGGGAGGGCAGCGTTTTCCTTCAAATCCGGGGGAATATGGAGATGCGGGGAAGAAGGAGCTGTTAGCCTGGAGACTCAACCTATCACGGCCTGGAGATTAAAATCGCGATAGCTCTAGTGCTGATTTGACATGAGTCGCCCTTCGTTAGTCGCTAATTAGTCGCCCCCATCGATCACCTGGGTTTAACGTCCCTCTTTTCCGTATATAGCGAGTGCCGGTGAGGTTTTCCAACTGACAACACCACAACAGGCGCTTGCGAGAGGTCGGTGATGGCAATCTCGGCACCAGTCAACAAGAGGAATTATAACTAAGCTATATAACTAAAACTAAACATCATAATCAAATACTATCGATTTAGTGTATATTTGGGGGCTGCTGTAATTAATTGTTTTCATTAATTGAAAGTATCTAGGTCTTTGGAAAGCTAGATTAAATACAGAATAACTAGTTCCAGATCATCATTTCAACAGCCAAGTAAAAGTCAATGGTAAAGGTAATAAAATTCAAGAAAGCTAGAGAGCTAACTTAACTTGTGTTGAGGGGAACATCCTATGGCCAACTACAAAAACTATTTATCTAGCTTGATACATATGGGACATGCCTAAGTGCTTAAAGCCTGTGATACTGGTTAGCGACGGCGTCCCCATTTAGGAAAGGAATTTGGTTACTTGATATGAATTGTCTTTGTCTGGAGATAATCGCGTAAAGCATATTTGCCAGACTCGCGACCTCCGTTACCACTTTGCTTAAATCCACCAAAGGCCGTTGACGGGCTTGGCAGAAAAGCAGAGTTGACTGCTACCGTTCCGCTTTCAATCTGAGATGCCACTCGTAAAGCGCGAGAAATATTCTCGGTATATAGGCATGCTGTACTCTTTAATTAGTGCAAGCACAATACTCGGTCTAGTTGGATGCGATCTACCTGACAAGCCATATTCTGTGTTATTGGACAGTGCTATGACTTCGTCTTCTGTCTTGAATGTCTTGACAACGACGACTGGTCCAAATATCTCTTCGCGGTAGATCTTTGCATCTGGGGATGGGTCAAGGAATATAGTCGGCTCGATGAAAAAGCCCCGTGTTCCTTTCTGCTTACCGCCAGTCACAAGCTGGGCTGTCCTTTCCCCGTCCTTGATAAACTCAAGTACGCGATTGAATTGTATGTTGTCAGCAACTGGTCCAAGCACTGTCTGCGGATCGAGGGGAGACGCTCCGAGCGTTCTACTGGCTCCCTCAAAGTTGGCCTTCAGCGTAGCCACAAACTCCGAGACAACACTCTTGTGCACGTAGACACGACTAGCGGCTGTGGCATTGGTAAGTGTCATGGAAGCTTTTCCAAATAGGAGCGGTCGACAAACCAGCGCAAACTTGTCCCGAATTCAGGAGAAAGCCTTGCGAAATTCTAACACAGTCCTATTCAGCACTGCGTTAGCTGATCGGGTGAGCACGAGTGAGAAGGAGACTCACGCTGACACTGCCTGGTCAAGGTCCGCATCGTCGAATACGATGGCTGGGCTCTTGCCTCCTAATTCCAATGTCACCCTCTTCAGATTACTCTTGGTGGCGGCTTCTTGGACTTTCCTTCCAACAGTTACCAAGCCAGTGAAGCTTATCTTTCGAATTTTTTGATGGCTCGCTAGCAGATGGCCAGTCTCCCCGCCTCCGGTCACCAGGTTAACAATACCAGGAGGAAAGCCAGCCTTCACAAAAAGTCGGCCCAGAGCTAGCGCTCCCAGTGGCGATTTCTCAGATGCCTTAAAGATGACCTAAATTGGACGCCCTTTTTAGCACATGACTATGTGTTAGTAGGATACTGTGGGTTATTCACATACAGTATTGCCGGTGGCCAATGCTGGGGCGATCTTCCACCCGAAGTATCTGCTATTGGTTAGCCGAAAATAAAGAACAGGTCTGATGGTAGACAATGGCCAAATACAGTGGGATTGTGTTCCACGAGGCAATAGAGGCGACTACCCCCAGTGGCTCATTCTGAACAATCTTGTATACGCCATCATCAGCGGGGAACGCATCCCCTTCCAACTTGTCGGCGTATCCGGCGTAATCTGAATCGGTGCGTCAACCACTGAAATCCGTGGCATTTCAGGGCACGATGGAAACCGAGACTTACAGTGGAAGTAAGAAACAGCCACACTGGCAAACAATTTGGAAATAGAAATTGGAATCCCCATTGACTGGGTTTCTAGGCCCGCAACCTGGCCAAGGTGGTCGTCGAGTAGGTCAGCAAATTTGTGTAGCAGCTCGCCTCGCTGTGCCCCCGTTAGAGTTCTCCATGGGCCGTTGAATGCTGCAGTTGCCGCCGCTACAGCGTCGTCTACGTCTTTGGGCCCAGCAACGTGAATGTCAGAGGCGACAAGGCTATCATCGGCAGGGTTTCGAATCTTGAAGGTGTTTCCAGACTTCGAATTCACATACTTTTTGAGGCATAAACATCAGCGCGGTACCAAAGGCCCCTTCTTGGTATGATCATACTTACTTCGTTGTTGATAAACAACTTGGTGTCAATATCGCGGCCCATTTTGCGATGATCCGAAATAACTATGGCTATGAGGATTTCCTTGAACAGATGTATGAGTATAGCATCGCGTTTGAGCTATGAATATGTCTTTGTAATGATCAGACGAAAAATGGGTTGATAACTGTTCGAAAAGCAATGCTCCTATAGCTGTAGGACCATCATCCGCCCCCATCAAGATGTACGTAGACGGAATACCCTACCGTTGTGGACCCCAGACACGGAATTGGGGGTTTTCTTTCCAATCAACAGTGAACTTACTTGAAGATCAGCTGCTTCGTCGGAGACTTTTCGATGTCCAAGCCAACTAGCTTCTAATTACCCCGCAAGGCTGGCGGTATCAATTCCGTAGCTTTAGTTCTCGACACCACAGGGAGCAGAATTTGGCATGGGAATTTTTCACCGAGCCAGAGCTTACTATGTATGTGTTCTTCGCCCCTCTGTATCCTTTGATTTTCATCATTTGTTTCATTTTCAACGTCAACTCTAAGACTAAGACAAATAAGTATAATAGTAACAAATTTAATATACATACAGTATGTCCAAAAAGGTTTCACAAGTAGGTAGTTTAGAAATTACTTTCGACTTAAATCTGGTATTGCCTCGAGTAACAAGATATATATTATTATGTAGCAAATATCATCACGGTGCAATGTTTTCTGGACTAGCTCCATTTGTTGGGATAATTTGACGAAGCAGGACACTCGTCAACACCGCCTTGTTAACATCCCAACATCGCCAAATACGTATTGTTTTGTCTGTGACATCAAAGATTGGCGCCTCACAAGGCTTACTGGGTGGCACGCTCGGATATCTCAACCTTGGCCCTGGCCTCACTGGGGTAGCCAACCTGCAGAGTTCGCTTCTTATAGCCTGTGAGGAGCCTTCTTTGATGCGCCGGCACCATAGAGGGCATGGTAGCCCATGACCCCCAGGGCCCCGATGGCGAGGACACCAAAGAAATAAGCCGGCCCAAGAGCCAGGATGCTGAAAATGTTGGAGGGGCCGAGGCGGCTTTTGCCGAACGCCAGACCACGGTTGGGTGACATGTTCCCGAAGAAATAAAACCCCACATTGGACCAGCCATCCATCAAGATGATCCAGCCAATCCACTCGGCAGTCGAGTCGGGCATGTCAATGTAGGGCAACCCGAGCGCGGAGACAATGACCATGAAGGCGTTGGCGGCGGGGCCAGTGTGGCACCGCAACCAGCCGGCCTCATCTCCCCAAAGGCCGAATTCGAGAACGAAGCCGGGAATGATCTCAAACCCGCCGATGATGTACATCCACAGACCAACGCCGCCTAAGAGGCAGGACATGAGCATCCAGGATCCATGACCAATCATCTGGCGTCGGAGAGCGGCAACTTTCGGAGACACTGTCATATTGGAATGGAAAAAATTCCAAGATATTGTGTAATATGATGTGTAAGGGGAGGCTGTAGGCTTGTGGATGCTTAGAGGGGAATGAAATGTTGAATTCTTGCCAATGTAGAAGAGAAGCAGAGTGCAAGGATAAAAGGCGAGAGTTTGGTAAAGATGAGGCAAAATATAAGGAGCATAGCCCCAAGACTATGATTTTATTTCCAAGCTGCACACAGTTGCAGAGTGACAAATCGCCGTGGGCCCATTGGACAGGGAGCATTTCAGATGTGGGGGAAGTTGGGACGGAAGGCCTATCTCTGACGGAGTTAAAGATATGTGCCGCTACGAGTTTTCGAGTCATGCTTCATCATCTGATAATGACAAGATCTATCGTGGGGGTAATAGCGGGTGAAGTTTGGGTGGGACCCAGCGTAAGCGGAATGAGTTTGCGGTTGTGAGTGGTGTGGACTCAAGTGATGTGTCGCGGAATGCCCTTCCGTTTAATGTGGCCATAACCATGTCATACCTAGTATGTTCTTTGGAGCCACCATAGGCGGAGACATGGCAAATGAAGACGGAATATTGACACTGACGGCATTGGTCTCGATGCATTCCGCAGGGTTTCTGCGGTTCGTCTACCCGTGTAGGTGGGGATAAATCTTAACAAACTTTCCTCGAGATGAGTCTTTTCTGCGTGATGTATTGAGAGGCTCTCGAGGAGCGTACCAATGACCTCCAAGGATGGAAATATAGAGGAAAGACATGAGGTAATGTGAATTTGTAGGAGAGATGCAAAGAATAGGCAGGCAGCATCAATCCATCAAGTCAACTTCGTTTCAATTCGAATACGGGGTATCTAAATAAATATATTTTGAAACACAGTTATTGCCCGGAGGAAACCTCATCCATACCACAATACCCAGCGGGCAGGGACTAAAATCTAATTACCTGAAATATAGGAATCCTTGCGTGAAAACACCTTACAGAGGTAGCCCAGGCGATGACCATATTGCTACCAGCACACAATAAATACAAGACCTACAGCTAAGCCAGGCCTTGATTTATCTAAGCGATCTGCATACTGACATCCTTGACCTTGAAACTTCACACTTGGACTTAGTTCACGGATTCCTGGAGCTACAAGATCATAGAGAGGAAAAATTTGGCAGCCAGATAAGTAGGATCTCTAAAATAAATCGCTTATGCGATCATGAATGCGTGTATTGCAAATGTCGCAAAAGGTACGAACGTAAACCAATGCTCTCAATGACTGGGCCGCAACAGTCATATATTAACTCGCACATGCTGCATACGACGTGATTTATTGTGATGACTTATTCTATGCTGCCGCTACTAGACAACGTGTCCGAACTGTGGGGCACAGAAGCACCGCTCATTACCATTGAAGCTCACGTCTTCTGGCCGTTCCCACTTTGCTTCCACGCATCATCATCGTCCTCTTCATCACGAATCGCCATGCTACACCAACTCACCCCCGAGCTGGTCGCTCTCATTCTTGACAAACTCATTGAGGGCGAACCTGGGGATCGCCCTGCTCCGCGCCGGTTGAACTTGTCAAGCTATGCCACCATATCTCGTACCTGGCAGTGGGCTGTCGAGGCACGCACATTTGCCCACATACGCGCCCGCAACGACCCTGGTTACATTGATAAGTTCAGAGCCAATCTCGCAGGCCGAAGGCATCTCGTACGGGCGGTCAGTATCAAAATCTTCCTGCCTACTGAAGGCTGCTCGAGGCAGAATTACGCACAGGACCACGAGGTCTTTGCCTCCACAATAGACATCTTCATGAATGAGCTCCACCAATGGGAGCGCGACGGAGATGGTTCTGGGGCTTCCTCCCTGGGGCTATCTATCTTTGTTGATTCTAAGGGCAGACCAGGAAGAGGCTCTAGTCTCGCAAAGTACCGCTTCCCAACCCTCACAGAGGAGGAAGCCAGCAGGCTGCCAACCTTACGACGCGTGACGTCCCTCCGGACCTATACAACTCACCGGGCTATGCACCCTCGGGCCGTGTTTATGCTCGCCGCTGCCATGCCGTACCTCGAGGAGCTGGCAATCCGCCACTACGACCCCCGTCAGCACGACAAGAACCGAGAGGCCCGGCTTGATCATAGGGCGGCCTTCGTATCTGGTATTTCAAACCTAAGGGCACGCGGCAATCTCAGACGTCTACAGATTGCGTATGAGGCACAATCACTTCCCACAAACCACGACTTCAATGAACAGTCCTTCGAAGACGAGCAAGGCGTGGACCCGTTTAGCGAGGAGATTCGTCTGTTGTCCCAAGGCCCCAAATTTGAGGAGTTGGAACTGGACCATATTCCCATCTCTCTTGATCTCTTCTACAACACCCGGAAAAGCGACTTCGCTCCTGCCACACAGACGGAGGAGGCCATCTGGGAGAACCTGCGCAAGTTTGATATCATTCTCACGATGCGGGATGCGGGCGGCAGGTGGTACTTCACCGGTACGCGCCCTGACGATGAGGACGGTTGGGTATCCTCCGGATCAGAGTATATAGAGGACAGCGAATTTGAGGGCTCCGAGCCAGAGACGAGGCCTCGGCAGCTTGCTGTGGATGAGGAGAACCCGTACTGTGCCTGGCGCACGCTGCTCAATCCGGAGACTTTGAACCCCCTGTTCACGCATCTGTCGGGGGCGTTGGGGCGTATGCCCAAGCTGACATCGGGCTACATTCAAGCTGTACCCCTACATGGGGAGGACATATATCTTCAGCTCAGTGAGGGTGACCGAAGCTTTGAGTTTGTATACGATCATGACACTACGTGGGTGCCGCCACCTGAGGTTATGGATATGCTGGAACGTGCCGGATGGGGGGCGAAGAATTCGCAGTTAGAAAGAATGCCCGTTGAGTAAAGAGTTCCTAGCGAATATGGGCATCGGGCAACTAGATGTACTAACATGACATTCCAAATTGTAAATTCAACATGGCTGTAACTTCGGTATGTTGAAAATTTTGCCCCCTACTGTTCTTGATTTGGTTATTTCCGTGGCAACTCTATCTGTCCAAGGAATGTGAGGCACCTGGGAGGGCCGAAAGACTTCACGTCGCTGATCGGCTGCAGGGCCGATTCAATCCTGATGATAGCCAATCATGTCTCTGCAATAATATAATCGAATTTACAGGAACCAGTCAATACTCTTGGAACAATCCGTCATTTACGCTGTGGTAGGAATAAGCCCGAAGGAAGCGTTAGAACATTGTGTGTCCGATATTTTGAGTATGACGTGTTTGGATAGTCATTCCCCAGAGTTGATTTAGCCAAGTCAGAGTCTGAAAGTACGTCATTCAGAACCTTGTCATTTATTATTCTGGAATGTCGCCAGCTGCTATTCTTGGTGCATTGTGGCGCCTGTTCTTGATTCTTCGGGGGAACTTTCTTGTGGCTCCTCTGGATGGATTCTGGAAAGACGAAACCGGCTTGTCCCGTCCCAGTGTATGGCCTTTTTCTTTGGCTGACAGCTTCTCCTGTTTGATTGGTCTAGTGTGGCGTTTAGCCTCTCATTTTGGCTTGAATTTGGCTCAGTTGTACCGACAATCACTCCGAAGCTAGCGAAGATCACGGGTTGTAGGCTTGGGCTAGTTTCCAAGAGCGGTTACCCGTTCTCGTGATCGTCCCAAGCCACAATATGCTGCACTCTGTTTTGCCTGTTGAGTGTTTAGTCTAGTGGGACTTCTACTGGAACATTCTCAAACACAATTCAGAGACTTCGTCATCAGTCGTTGTCAGCAGTAGTTATCATAGTGAGAACTCAGAACGAACACGGTTTGTCGTAGACTTCGATTTCACCGAGGATCTCTAGTGTTGGCGAGCAAGCATAGTTCAGCTCATACTATTTTGGGTATCTCACAACAAGTATAAGAAGAGCGCTTTTCTCAGTCTCTGAACACACTTTTCAAATCATCAACAATAACAACAATCAACAACTAACAAATCAAATCAACAACACCAGCACCAGCACCAAGACTTCTCTACAAATCTTTCCATCTCTTTCCAATATGAAGTTCCTCGCTGCCGTCGTCCTCTTCGCTGCTACCTCCATGGCTACTGCGGCCCCCGATGCCAATGACGAAGGAAGCAACGGCCAATGCCAGAGTGATGGGATGCGCTGCAACTACAGCATTTACCCGGCGCTCGCTTGTTGCCCCGGTCTCCAGTGCTATACCCCTCCCGAATCTCCTCCTGGTGCCTATGGATACGTATGTTAAGACCATCCCAGCCAGAGCCTTTTATTGGTTTAGTACTAACTTTCTTGTTTGAAGTGCTGCGAGAACTGAGATACATGAGAATTGATTGGGATTTCTTTGAGAAGAATAAAGACGAGGAAAAACAAGAAAGAGAATAATCGCTCTAGACCCCTGCATCCCAATACCCGATTTTGGATAGAAGGACGCCTTGGGATAGGTTTTTGTGCCCTTGTTAGAAGAATTGGCTTTGGGGTTTTCCCTATCTCTATTTACAAATGTAGAGGCGAAGTTTTAGTTTGTTTAATTGACTTTGACTGATATCAAAAAAAAAACAATCAATCCACCAGTGAACGAATGTGAAAAAAAGAATTTAAGTATCGGAATATCGCAGAAGGGTATTGATCTAATTTTTGTTAATATGAAAAATATAAGGGCAATATTTATAGGTCTGATAAAAAACTGACTGGAATTAGAGGTAATGTGTTTAGGAGGAAGCTAGATATTTATATCAAAAGATCTACCAGAGTGAAGTGTATTTATTGCGTAGGCATGCTGGCACCAACATGTGCGTTCTGCTTATTTCCCACTTCTGATCATCTCTTGGAAGCCCTCAGCGAGTACATTTCACATGTGATTGAGGGACGTTTGCAATATGGCTCACTGAAGGGACATTGTTTGATTTGTCTATAAGGATGGGAGAAACCTCGCTCTCCTCATCCTTTCCCACGATCGCAGGTACCCCTCGGCTGTATCAATCTGCTCGTTAAAACCAACAGAGCGCGAGGCTGAAAGATCATACTGCCTGTCAAAGTCGAAGTCTACCAACATGAAGTGAGTGTGGCCCCAGCCCTGCTCGTCGACAAGCTTCTCATTTAACCCATTTCGTTGGGCGACCTGTTGCCATACGTCTTTGTGTTTCTCAATGAACTCTAGCATAGGTGTAGCGTTGGCGTCTGGGCTGACGCCGACAAGGCCAAAATGCTCACAAAGCTTCGGCCACACCTGGGCCCAGGTTACCGTCTTCCCGTCGGCGACGTTGAAGACTCCACCATCGCCACACTTCTCGGGATGAAGGGCAGCAAATATTTCCATCTTGGACAATATATCTTGGAAGGTATCTGAGTGGGTGGAGTGGTACCCATGCTCGTAGCCCGGGAAAGGGACTGGGGCTCCGGCACCCTTGACTTCCCTGTACAAGGTGAGATAGATTGCAATGCCTTGTGCCATGTTCATCGCGTTCGATCCTGGGGCGAAACCCACAATCCCGTCAGGGCGGATCTCGCTAAACGTCCATTTCTTCCCCCGTGAAAGATCCTTGAGCAGATCGTACTGGTTGTAGTAGAAGATTTTGCTAGCCCACGGCTCTGGGATGCGAGGACAATCCTCTTTCAGAGGTGGCTGGATTTTCACATCCTTTGGAAATTCAAGGCCGTACCTGCCAGGGAATGTCAGCATTGAACGGTGACATACGAGGAACTGGGCATCCCTACCCTTTGCCTCCTGTCTGCAGGATGAGCACTTTGAAGTCTGGCGCCACTTTCTCCACAGCTTCTACTGCAACCTTGAGAAGATTGGTATTTGCCACCTTGAGAGACTCGTGGTCCTGAGTTTGGATGTATGCTATAGTATTGTCAGATTTCGGCTGGTAATGAAGTCCTTTCCGGTTATCACTTACCTGTAAAGAATACATGCGTCACGGTACCAATGTCTGGAACCTTCTCCTTGAGTGTGGCAGCCACTTCGTCGGAGCTTTTTGTCAAGTTAATGCCATCTGCAATCTGAATGCGAGAATCGCTTGGAATCTGCAGCTGGTCAAGAGTGGTGGGTCGGTTTGTGGTGCCGGTGATACGGGCAAAGGCAGTTTCAGAGGGGTACGTTCTGGCTTGGTTGAGCAACGACCAGCCAGAGATGCCAGAAGCGCCGAAGATCAAAGCATGTGCCATTTTCGGATAGACTGAGCCTTTGCAGTGTAGCAAGGTGTGGTACTGTATTGCTTCTGTGCTGAGTAGAAAGATGCCCTTTTATTGTGGGATACACAACATCAATGCTACATATTCAGAAGAGGGTATTATTAATCCAATACCAGCATCTGAACAGCATGACGCCACCATCATTGAGAAGTGGATAGACGTGTTGAATAAGAACTGGGCATTCTCCGTTTAATCGTAGCAAGTCAGGGGCTGATTGGCGGAGACATCGGAAAGCAGAATCCGAGCCCGACTGGAGCAGCGACTGTGGCCACAGAACAACCCTACCCCCACTTTGTCTCGTTCAGAAATTGATATCCAATGGAGGGTAGACGGCCGATAATCAATTAAATGGAATTGTATGACGAAGGACATCTATTTGCCAAAGGTAAAGTTGTAAAGGCGCGTATGGAATGGCACAACTGGATGGCTGGGACATGAGCAAGTAGGTTTGGTGAGGCTACCAACATCACAGTGTAAGTAGGTGAGGCTGCAGATGATATTGAATCTTAAAATGAAAGCCGATGGTTTGTTCTACGTCTTGAGGTAGAGGTTTTTCAATTATGAAGGGACGCGAACATCATGCCGAACTCAAACTGATCTACGAAGTAGTACGTAAATGGAGTTATTTTAGGATTAAAATCTACACTATCGAAACCAGGCTGCTCTTCAAATTTACAGAGAGATGTCTAACGAAACGTTGCGTTCAGATATAGGCTTGGGAGAGAGGTTAGGTGGGTAGATATTCCCACTCTGCTCAGCCCATAGATGGCCGCCGTAGATGCCAACAATACAAACAGGGGGGCCGAGCTCTGCAACCAGCGCCGGAAGCTTTTAACGAACCACAGTTTATCGCCGCCCTTCCGGATAAATGCCTTGTGGTCAGTGAAGAGGGTGGCGAACCAGAACTCGATGGCCATCCCGGGCCAAGACGCAGCATTGCGCCCAAACTCTCCAATATACCAGTTGGTGCATTTTCCGGAGAATACACTGTTACGGAGCTTCAAGTGAATTTCGTTGGTGGTGCGGTTCTCTACAGTTTCCTTGACCTCGACGACGTTGGCCTTCCCATCGATAAGAGGCCTCACCAGTGCCCTCGCAGCGTAATCTACTTGGACCTCGCACGCGTACAGGGCCGAGTTATTCGCAGGGAATGTGTTTGGACCAAATCTGCTCTAGTTAGCCCAGCACAGCGTTTTGTCGATCGTGGATCTTACAGGATGGCAAGGTTAGGAAAGTTGTGCACAAAGGTCCCGAGGTACGCCTGCGCTCCTCGGCACTCGTTCCATTGCTGTTGGAGAGTGTTGCCATCGGCGCCGACAATTTCCATGGGTGTCAGAAACTGTGAAACTTTGAAGCCAGTGGCGAGTATAATGATATCATATTCATCTTCTCTTCCCGAGGAGCTGATGATCCCGGTCTCGGTGACCCTCTGAAGACCTTCAGGAATAAGCTCAATGTTATCTCGGTGAAGCGCCTCGAGATAGCCCGGGTCAGCAATCTTTCGCTTACACCCAAGCTCAAAATCAGGCGTGAGAATCTTGTGGTATTTCTCTGGCGCCTTGTGGCGGATATAGTCTCGAGCCACTTCCTCTTCTTTCAAGCGCTGTTGGACACCAGCGTCGGTCCCACGGTACGCATATGACTGCTTGTCGATGGACCAGAAGATGTTCCAACGGCGCAAACGCATGAGGAAAGGAACAGTTCGGAACAGCCACTTCTCGAAGCCTGTGAAATGACGGTTGGGGCGCTCGTGATACCACTGGGGGCTGCGGGCATACTGTTTGACGTATTCGGCCTTCTCTGACAATGCGGGAACGACTTGGACTGCGCTACACCCGTTGCCAATGACAGCCTAGATATTCTTACCTATTAACTAGCTGGTCGTGACATGTTCTCTTCGCGGCTGCACTTACCACTCTCTTCCCAGCGTAGGACACATCGTGGCGCCATTGTGCGGTATGATAGATCGGGCCTCTGAAGTTCTCCATGCCTTCGAAGTGTACCTTGATGATCAATGTTAGGCTAGGACCTAGATCAATGAAGATGACTATAACGCACCTCTCGCGGTACAGAGATTCCGCCGACTGCCGATATGAACATTGTGGCAGTCCGTGTGAATTCTATGCCCGTCTTGAGGTCCCTCAGGCGGACTTGCCACTGGTTCTTGGGGGAATCCCATTCCGAACCGATGCATTCAACTCCGAGATTGATGTGAGGGCGTAAGTTGAATTTATCCACCGTGTCTTCAATGTATTGCAGAATTTCCTCCTGCTCAGCTAGCTCCTTCGACCAGTCTGGATTAAGGTTGAAACTGAACGAGTACAGAGTTGATTGAACATCGCATCCACTGCGTCAATGTGTCAGAAAAGTCATGCTCAATCGCGATCATGTATGCGCTCTGTTGGTTTCTCCGAACGATAGGTTGATGGGGAAATCAATAAGACATAATTTGGATCAGAAAGCACATACCAGCCAGGATAGGAATTCGCTCGCCAAGTACCCCCAACACCGTCCATCTTCTCGTAAATTGTGAAGTCATCGAAATGAAGCTCATGCTTTAGTTTGTGGGCCATGGCAATGCCAGATGGCCCAGCGCCAATGATGATCGCGGAGACTGGCATAACGTCTTGATGAATTTCTTGTAAGGGTTTTAGGATACGCAAACAAAGGCGTTGTGAAGTATACAAAAAGTTACAGAATGAAAGAATGCTGCTTGCGGCGAGGAACGTTTTGAAATCCGTCCTAGGTCTATGTACAATATCAGAAAACCATCGAATACTCCATATGACGATGTACGATTCCGATACTGGCCGCCACATCGGGAAATCGCGATTGTATGGAATTGAACGACTGGATGGGAAGCATAGTCCGGGAATCAAGGTTCGGAATTTACTTCCCGACCCAACGGTTGCTCCGACAAAGCCGATCTTGGAGATAGATCTCCATCGGCCTGTTGATGCTAAGAACTAGTGATCGAGAAAATTCTGACTAAAAGCTATAAAGAATGAACGAAATTAGTAGGGAGACAAATATCGTGTGTATGTATTCACACTATCAATTAACGGAGGAGCCGATGTCAGGAATCATGCTAGCTCAGGAGCTGCACGCAGCGAAGGACCTCAGGCTGGTATGTTTTTACCCCTTTTGCAAGTATCCCCGAAATGGAAAACCAAAAGAAAAAGAAGACTATTGAAGGGCGTACTTGAACCTGTTGACACGTATTTCACCGGCTTATTAGGTGAGGAGGTCGATTGAACCTCCTGCAGAAGACGAGGTGCAGATTGCAATGAGAGCAACTACGCTCTGCGGTTCTGATCTACACTATTTCACGCATTTTGCCAATGGAGACTTTAAAATAAAAGAGCCTCTATCTCCAGGTCACGAATGTTCTGGTGTGATTGTTGCTGTTGGCGCGGTTGTCGAGAAGAACCGTGACCTCAAAGTTGGCGATAGAGTTGCGGTAGAGGTTGGCGTGCCGTGCGGCGATTGTGATCGTTGCGTAGAGGGCACGTACAACGTCTGCTCAAAGCTTAGGTTTCGAAGTAGTGCGACGGTTTTCCCTCACTATCAAGGCACGCTGCAGCAGCGATTCAATCATCCGGCGCAGTGGGTTCACAAGTAAGTCTTCTGCTTCACAGTGGTATCAGTTATGATGCTGTTAGTTGACTGAGCAGATTGCCCGAAACTATATCATTCGCGGAGGGTGCTCTTCTTGAGCCATTAGCTGTTGCCATTCATGCTGTACGTAAAGCAGGCGCGAAGAAGGGCGCCAGCTGCCTGGTCGTTGGAGCGGGTGCCGTGGGACTTCTCTGCGCTGCCGTTGCCAGGAGATTCGGGTACCGATATATCGTGCTGGCCGATATTGTTCAAAACAGACTCGACTTTGCGCTCTTCCATGGCTTTGCAGACGCGGCTGTAAAACTTCCAGTTCGGAGGTCTCGTACCACCGAGGAAGGTCTGGCCTTTGCAAAAGAAGACGCAGAGACCCTAAGTCAGCAGAACGGCGACAAGGCATTCGACAGGACATTTGAGTGTACAGGCGTCGAATCTTGTGTGAGAACCTCGATATATGTAGGTCAAATCCGGTATTCGTAAGACGATGGTAAAAAGGCTGACTCACTGGCAAAGGCCACTCGCAACGGGGGCAAGATACTCTTGGTCGGTATGGGAACACCGGTCCAGACACTACCTATATCGGCCGCAGCACTGCGCGAAGTTGACATTATCGGTGTCTGGCGTTATGCAAACTGCTATCCCCGGGGCATAGAATTGATGGAACATGCAGGGCGGGACGGCATTCCGGACCTGAAGAAGCTCATCACGCATTCTTTCCAAGGCTTAGAGGAGGCTGGTGCTGCCTTTGACATGGCCGCAAAGACTTGTGATGAGGAGGGTAGATTAGTGATAAAGGTAGTACTAGAAAATGCCGAGTAATAGAAGGGATGGAACTGCCATTGCCTGCTGGTGAAGAGAATTTTGTGTCTTATTGTGATCATCTAGGGCCTTCAGTATCACGCAATAATTCGATTAGTGTTCTAAATACCTTCGGTCGTCATGGGGATTTCCACGAGTATGCTTCCTGGCTGGGTATCGGGTAATATTTCGCCCATTCACTGGATCCATCATCAAGTTCCTAATTTAAATAGACATCCCATAGCTGGGCTCAACTAGCTATTTTGACAGATGACATTAACTGTTAGGAACCAAGATGAAGAAAAGGGTCAGAAAAAGCACATGATATATCTATCTAAATTGGATTCAACGTCAAGTATTTGTAGTCTAGTTGATTATCTAGAGTTGCCTCCAACCAGACTGCCTTGCTCCCGCTCCCGCAAGAGCCCCGAGATAATTTTTCACCTTCTCAACTATGCCCTTGGTGTCGAGACCAAATCTGTCGTAGTTACTTTCGTTCGAGGCCGAGTAGCCAAACCCGGTCATTCCAATGCTGGCAGTTGCGTATCTTGCCCACACCGTGGCTACAAACTCCTCTACGCTGACGACGGGCTTGTCATCCAGTGGAAACACCGACGCCTTGTACTCGGCGCTCTGAACTTCGAACAAGTCCAGGCTCGGCGCACTGACCAAGCGCACAGAAATTCCCTCGCTGCTCAAAACATCGGCAGCAGCAACAGCATAATGGAGATTTGATCCGCAGCTTGCAAGTGTGAGATGGGAGTCTTTTAGCTCTCGGATCACGTATGCTCCACGGGCTACCTGTTTCCTATCTGTATTCGGCACGTGCCCTACCGGGTCTCGGGCGAGAGAAAGCATCGAAGGCCCCTTGTGATTTTCAAGGGCATGTATCCAGCAGCCAATAAGCTCTTCAGCATCGCAGGGGCGGAAGTAGGTCAGTCCTGGCATGGCTCGGAAGAGTGAATCGACTTCCACCGGCTGGTGGGTCGGTCCATTCTGCCCTTCTTCTATACATATAAACTTTATCAGTAACTTTTTTCAATAAAATTAAAGGGATGTAAAGAGTCTCGCTTACGGAAGGAGTCATGTGTAGCAATATGGATCACAGGAAGCTCGCTCAGTGCGCCCATGCGAATTCCGGGTGCTGCCTATGCTGATGTCAGAACTCTTCTTCACAACATTAGTGACATTAGAAACGCGGCTAATACGAACATAGAGGAAGAAAACGGCGAAAGTTGCCGTCACAGGAAGAAAGGTTCCAGGATGGTATGCAGCCAGACCATTTGCGACTGAGGCCATGGCATGCTCTCTGATACCGTTCCGCAGATATCGACCTTGATAGCTCACCAGCGGATGGAACACATCTGTCTCGGCGTACTGGATCTGGTTCGAGTTGACGAGATCTGCGCCACCTCCACATAGCGATGGGACGACATTCCACAGCTTCTCCAAGATGGCTCCATTGGTCTGTCGAGTAGCCTTTCCAAGGAATTGAGAACTGTCTAAATCCTTTAGCGCAGCAACTGCTTGCCCTTCGGAATGCTCCAGCCGAGCCTTCAATTGCTGGCCATCATCCGGGTATAACTGGCAGTACCGCTCAAACTCCGCCGCCCACGCATTTTGTAGCTCCTCCCCCTTCGACCGGCGTCCCCGAAAGTATTCCATGGCCGCTGGTGGTACAACATGGGAAGAAGCTGGGTCTAACCCTGCCTCAGACTTGAGTTTAGCAATACTGTCCTTGTCAATTCCGCCGTGATGGGCTTTGTAGGTCCCTGCTGTTGAGGTGCCGACGCCAATGACGGTCCTGATGTTTATGAAGACTGGTCGGCCGCGATGTGTTTTGGCCAGGTCTAACGCTGCCACGATTGTGTGAACATCATAATTCCCATCTAGCACATCGATGACGTGCCAATTTTGAGCTCGCATTTTGTCATTGATATTCTCCGAATTGATCCATCCAAGTGGCCCGTCGCAGGTCACGGCGTTGTTGTCGTAAATGAGAATGAGATTGTCCAGAGCCAAGTGACCGGCGAGTGAAATAGCTTTAGATCGTCTGTTAATTCCTGACCTTTTCTCATAAGATGGCTGATCAAAGTAACGAAACGCTCACCTTCTAATGCGACGCCTTCCATGAGACAACCGTCGCCGGTCGTGCACCAGATTCTTGATTGTATGATTTGCGAATCTGGCTTGTTGAAATTCGCAGCCAGGTTCTTCGAAGCAATGGCCAAACCCACAGCGTTTGCGACTCCTTGGCCCAATGGACCAGTCGTGACTTCGACACCCGGAATCTGGATTTCGGGATGGCCGTGCGATATGGTGTGATAACCGTTCGTCTTGGGACTTGCGTATCCTCTGAGCTCATCCATCGTCCAGACATCATATCCAACCAGATGATTCATAACATAGAGGAAAGTGCTTGCATGCCCTGGGGTCTCTGGTCAACAAAGCGTTGTAAGGGCAGCGTCCACAATACTCACCATTGGAAAGAACAAACCTATCCCGATCGAACCATGCGGGATCACAGGGATTGTATCGCATGGCATACTTCCATAGGGCAACTCCAATGGCCGCCATGCCGATGGCTGAGCCGCCATGACCAGTGCCATGCTGGTTGCAAAGATCAGCGACAAGACTTCGTACTGCCAGGACGGCAAGATCATCGGGCGACTGAGATTTCCGACTGATTAGGCCATTTTCTTCTCCATTGGCTTTCTTGGACATTATTGCCGATCTTTTGCAGCCCTTCGCTAGAACGCCACTGTGCTAAAAATGAGCAGTAGATTGATAGAGATGTAAAATAAGAGCAAACAACAGGTCACTAACAACAGCCATTATACCTTGCTTACATTGCTAATATATTACCTAGTAGTACCTAGTAATCGACTGCTCTAGTCGAAGAGTCCGAAGTCGCATTTCCTGTTCCAAAATATTGTTCTCGGGATAGAAAACCCGATCTCGATCCTTCGCGTTCTCGCTCCCGGGCCTTGTTTCCGAACGGCAGATGACCACTCCACCATCATGATTAATGCGGGTTATTACGCCCCTCCATTTGAACAGCTCCTATTATTTCTCAGTCTCGGCAATAACAATCGTATAATATAACGTGTCCCGGGTTTTGTTTGCTGAAGTTGAAGCCGTTATCCCAATTAAAGACATCATGGCGCCAGAAAAGCACAATCTCCCCAAGCGACTCCACGTTGGAGTCGTTGGGATTGGTCGAATGGGGCGACGACACGCCATGAATATTCTCCATGACGTCCCACGGGCAACGCTTCTTTGTGCTTGCTCCCCTGCAGAGGCGGACCTCGTGTGGGCGGATGAGCATCTCGTACCGCACGGGGTTCATGTAGTTCCCACGTTTGAGGAGATGATTAAGACGCCGGGCCTGGAGGCGATCATCATTGCCTCAGCTACTCATCTACATACCTCGCAAACGACGGCAGCTTTGGAAAAGGGCTTACATGTGCTCTGTGAGAAGCCAGTCTGCCAATCTCTAGACGAGGTCAGTAGCGAATTTCGGGCCACGACGCATACGTATGGCTAATTTTAGAGTAGCTCGTCGCCCTAGTTGATAAGGTCGAAGCCAATCCCCAGGCGAAGCTCATGGTTGGTTTTGTACGCCGATTCGACACCAATTATCAGCAGGCAATGGAGCAAATCAGCGAGAACAAAATCGGACGACCTGTCGTGATTCGATCGCAAGGTTGCGAACCTCTAGATGAGAGCGATTACTACAAGCAGTATCTTCGAGACTCGGGCGGCATATTTGTAGACAGCATCATCCACGACATAGATCTCTCCCTGTTCTTCTTTGGCGAGGACTCGAGACCAAAGTCGGTCACCGCTATTGGTGTAGCTGCCGTCCACCAAGAAATCGAGGCACACGGCGATGCTGATAATGGCGTGGGCATTTGCGAGTTTTGGGACGGCAAGATTGCTTTCTTCTATAACTCGAGGACCACGGCGCATGGATACGACAATGCGACAGAGATATTTGGCACACGGGGAAAACTGTCTATAAACCTGATACCTAGACATAATGCCCTGGAGCTGTGCGATAAGGATGGCTTCGTCAAGACGTTTGCTCACCCGGGCTGGTACGATCGATATGCTTCTGCTTTTGTTGGCGAGGCAAAGGCATGGGTAGACGCTTTGCTTGATGGGAAGCCTCTTCCAGTTCCTTTGCGATCTTCATTAATATCTCTCAAGATAGCTACCGCCCTCCAGTTGAGCTTGAAGACGGGTCAGAAGATATTTTTCGACAAGCAGGGTGTTCAGTTAGATCATCAACCATCAGTAATTTGAAATTCTTATTTTATATATGTAAAATGCCCGAATTGAAATAAATTAATGGCTTGAATTTGCTAGAAATATTTAGATATAACATAAAGATTAAGTATGCCATCTTGGCTAGGTTATAGACTGGCCATATTGCTCTGAGCAGCTTTGTATTGTGGTGCTTAGTGCAGTTTCTATGATCTCTACAAAAACCCGTGAAAGCTGAGCCCTTTAGACCAACTCCACAATGTTTTGATCTCGGCAGGCGCTTGTTGAAAAGATTGTATATCGGAATCATTGTGGCAGAACAGACACGGGGATGAAACAAGTTAATACCACATACATGTATTCTTTTGGCACTTGACTGCTATAACTAGCTAACTGAATACATGAGAAACAACACCTTGATAACCGTAACCAGAACAAAGTCGGTGAAATTTCAGAGACGATACATCGCGAGCCCAGATCTAGCTAAGAGCTTATTCGTTACTAAAACAGGGCCCCGACAGAGAGACCCAGGAGACATGGAATGAGCCTCGGATCGAACTTACGACGTTGGCTCAGCGTCAGCTCAGGGAGGTCCATCAGTCAGAATTATGCTTGGCATCCCTCTTGGGGACATGCATGACAGATGGAAGAGCTTCGCTCGTCGCTTTCTCGTTGTCAGTAACACCGCCAGTTCCTTCAATGCTTTCGATGGGTGCGCTCCGGTCGAAGATGCTGTCGATCTGCTCCAAGCTCAACCGCGCAGTCTCCACGTAAAAGACTTTGCAAATAATTGCAAAGGCAGCGTTGAGAACTGCATAAATGAGGTAGTACCTCCAGTTAAGGTTCCTGATGCCCACAGGCGTCACTAGAACAACCACGTAGTTGTTAATCCAATTTGTAGCCGTTGCGACACCCGCACCCGCAATCCTCATGCGTTGTGTGTTGACTTCAGCTGGGTACATCCATGGGACGGCGATCCAGGTCAAGGCAAAAACGGTGCTATATCCAAAGACAAAGGCAACCGCAACCGCCTCCCATTTGCTTCCGCCTAGACTAAGCCCGATGCTGATGAAGCAGAAGCAGATCGACTGTCCTACGGCGCCCCAGACCATGAGCTTCTTCCTTCCCACTCCTTCAATCCACAAGGCACCGAGGACGGTAGAGATGGTCATGTTCATGGCGTTGCACGAGGACAGGATGAGGGATAGGTTACGCCCAACACCCAGTGAAGCGAAGACAACAGGCAGGTAGTAGAAGAGCGCGTTTATGCCACTCCATTGCTGCATGAGCTGAGTGCCTGCACCGAGAATAATGCGGCGCGTTGTCTGAAGCGAGTCGCTCTTCAACAGACTCCTGATATTGATCTTGCCCATTGACATTTCATGTTGTACGCTCGCTCGGATCTCTTCGTGTACGGCTCGGTTCTCGTCTTCGGTCTGAGAGTTCCCGCCCAACCTCTGTATGACTTCGAGCGCCTCCTCATTGCGTTCCTTCATGATTAGCCAGCGCGGCGAGTCGGGGAGAAATGGGACAAAGGCCATGGCCAGGATTGCCCAAAAACATTGGAAGGCCAGTGGAAATCTCCAAGAGACGCTGTTAGAAGAGATGAATGTCATGCCGTAGTTGATCCACTGAGAGGAGACGTTGCCGAATTGGTTGAGCGCAAGCTGGAGGACCATGACTCGCCCACGCCACTTTGCAGGTGCCGTTTCCGACTGCCAGACGGGGATGGACGTAGTATTCATGCCATTGCCAACGCCGGCAACGAATCTGCCGATGATCATCTGCGCCGTATGATAGGATGTCGTTTGAAGGATCGCGCCAAGAATCAGGATAGTGCAGCCAGCCAGTATGGTCTTGCGGCTACCGAATCGGTTTCCGCGCCACATTGTAAGTAGGGCACCAGCGAAGCAACCAAGATCGTATATTGCTGTAATCTGTCCTTGAAGAGTTGGATCAGGGTTGTTGAAGGTCTTGATGAAGGACTCATTGTCGAGAAGAGCCCCGAAGACACCTTGATCGTAACCGAACAAGGCGAAGCCTGCCCCTGAGGCAAAGGTAATGTAGAAGGAGAGCCATTTCCCCTGAGAAGTCGATGGCCACATCATTTTGTTAGTAGCAGAGTGTTTGCGAAAGTTGGAGAAAGTTACTGATTCCGAACCACAGCAGCCCTGCACATCGACCAGGCTTTATGTAGGAGTTTGGGCAACGATAGTATTCAAAGAGTAAGGACAACTCCCCGGAAGGTGGTATCCGACTGTAGCAAGCCAATTTCTGGCCTCTCACGACCAATCTTCAGAGAAGTCCGGGGAAAGGTGTCTGGGGTAGATTTGCGGGACAGTGGCGTGGGAATACGGTCACCTACCTGAGCCACGCATTCCCTATCCGATGTGATTTATTCCATTACAAAAGTGGAATAGTGCGGAACTTCCCGGTTCGTCAAGCTGTTAACTTCGATGCTATACCTTGTGGGTTTAGACCTTGTGTGTCTGGTTACGGCTTCCATATTCCGGCCACAAACCATCAACCAATTTCCGCTTATTGTACAGTCACAGAACTAGATATGATGCTATAAGTCATAACACTATGTCGTTCTATCGCCCCGTTCAGCACTCACTCTGCCAAGGTGTAGGATAATCTCACGCCCAGCAAACATGTTCCAACTCCTCCTTGAAAAGGTCATCATGTATGTGGTTTTAAAATTTCTACTTTCCACTCCGTGTCGTTGGCTCATCAAAGTAGAATCACAGGAGCCAGCCAAGGAATTGGCCGTGCCATCGCAATTGAATGTTCTCAGCACGGTGCACTATTAGTTATTCACCATATTGGGGATAGCAAATCGCAGCAGGACGTGGAAACCCTTTTGGCTGAGATTAGTGTCATCAAAAATGCGCGAGAATCAGCTCCCAGTGCTGTACACATCGGCCTTGACGTGACTCTCCCTGACGCCGGGAAACGGTACGTGATTTACACAGTACCTTATTCCGCTCATGTTTACAAGGAGAATACTGACTGACGATTTTTCTAGGCTGGTAGACCTAGCAGTTTCAACATTTGGAAGAGTCGATGGCATTGTCCATAATGCAGGTATCGCGCAATTTATCGACTTTAACGCGGTGACTAAACAGCAGCTCGATAAACATCTGTCAATAAACTTTGGTGGCCCGTTCGCCATCACCCAAGCTGTCACCTCACAGATGATTGCACAGGGCTCCGGAGGTTCCGTAGTTTCGATCGCCTCGGTTACAGCCACGACAGGGTCAAGCCAGCTCGTTCACTACGCCGCAACCAAGGCTGCCGTCCTGGGAATGACCGTCAATGGAGCCGTTGCCCTTGGAAAACATGGTATACGGTTTAATGCAGTCAGCCCTGGAACAATCACAACTTCCATCAATGAGGCAGACCTCGCAGGCCCAAAGCGAGCAGCCATGGAGGGCAGAGTACCGCTAGGGCGTCTAGGAGTGCCCGTGGACATCGCAAAGCCAGTTGTATTCTTCCTCAGTGACATGGCACAATATGTGTCAGGCCAAAACTTGATTGTAGATGGGGCGGCCACAGTCTTCTACCAATAGCCGGTTGACGTAAGAGATACTTGTCTTGAAATTACTAGTCAGTCATTTTGGTCTGGGGTGGCTAGTGGCGTCAAAATTTGCACACGTCGGGATATGGATTCCGAGGTGGTGGCCCCTATTTTGGGCACGACTCTCCTCGGGCTCACAGTTTTTCAAAGAGTCATAGTCAACAAAGAATAAGAGATTATTTCAGGGGCTAGACCTAGTCAACAATCTGATGCAATCTGATGCAACCAGAAGCGAGTATATCCGACCCCATGGGGAACAGTCGAGATGAGATCCGATACCCATAATCAGTATCAACACCTCTGTAACGTCGAGATACCCTTGTATAAAAGAAAAGTAGTCTAGGAGCGTGTGCCACGAACTCATTGCTAAAGTGTTTCTCTCTGGAGTGGCAAAGTATGAAGTACCGTGTCACATTTCGTACCTGATGGCATACATGCCTGACGCGCTTCTAACCAGGGAGGGAAATCGATCGTATTGCGGGGAAAAGGACTCTTATTCTTTGCGGCACATTTCTCTCCACACTCCCGAGAACCCCAAAAACCGTCTCTCTCACCAACATTCCTTCGTCATGAAGATGGTCGATGCTGGCAGCCATCATCACCCTGCGGGTCGTCGTCATATCAGCAAGGCGTGCATGCCATGCCGCGAGAGCAAGATTAAGGTCAGTAGGCACCTGCGGTTCTTTCTCAAGGTGATCCAAGTGAACTCACCGATGACCATGTAGTGCGATGGAGGACGGCCTGTTTGTGGCGTGTGCAAGGCCAAGAGCCGGAAATGCAATTATGATATTGGCATTGATAAGCGGAAGTAGGTCGCCGCCATGCACTTGAGCTAACCTCGCTGACTTGGGCTGTTAGGATATCATTACGGAGAGCTGTCGAGCTTTATTCACGTCGTGTTGCCCAGCTAGAATCCTGCCTGCGTCGTGTGGGCATTGCGGTGCCAGATCCTCCTCCCGAGGACAGTCGCATGTTGCGTGACCTCTCACAATCATGGGGAGCTGATGCTATTGAGAAGTCAGATACCACAGCCCAGAATACAAATAGCCAAGAACAACTCCAAGTCGTGGGTGACTATTCTGTTGTCTCTGAAAACGCTCCGATCACGGGGAACCAAGCACAAGTACCCCCCGATACCGAGTCAGACCAATTGCCGCTCATTTTACCTGGTGGTGGTTCGGAAGTCCATCTCGGGGACTATATCCCTTCAACCTCAAACCAGTCCCCCAGCTTCCCCCATAGCTGGAACATGGATGCAGATCTTGTCTGGTACATGTCAACGCTGCCGTCATTGTCCATGGATATTGATGAATCTCTGGCCTCTGGTTCTCTACCAACCCTTTTCCCTGATGAGAGTTCCACAGAAAGACTTAGCAACCTTACTTCCGACCCTTCAGCCACTGACGAAGACGGATACGACGATAGTGACGAGGAGGATGCAGCAGGAGTAACACACCAATTCTGTGACCGTCTAGGGACTCTGCTACCCGCACCAAGTGGGGAATGGAGATTCTACGGAGCGACATCCAACTTGCATCTGGTTCACGGTGATCTTGCATACAAATCACCAGGAACCAACCACACCGTGAACACGCCTCAAAAAACCCTTGACCACGCTGGTGTCGGGCAGGTGGTCGACAATAAGCTCATTAATCACTTAATCAATCTCTACTTTACATGGCAAAATCCAAGCCTTCATGTCGTCGACCGCGAAGCTTTTGAAGCAGCGCGTGAGAAGCGCCTGACTGAGCAAGTTGAGAACGGCTTTTACTCGGAATGTCTTGTGAATGCCATGTAGGTAATGCATGTCCTTTATGCAGTCGGCTCATTGCTCATGATTCACAGGTGTGCCGTAGGTGCGGCCTTTGAGAGAGTCAAGCATCCAGAGCTTCCGATCCCATTGGCCGAATTCTTTGCCACACGTGCGAAGAGCCTGCTAGACTTTGAACTGGACAACCCTCGACTTAGCACTGTCCAGGCTTTGGCAATTCTTAGTACTCACGAGGGAGCAGAGACTCATGACGCCAGGGGGTGGCTTTACAGCGGTGAGTTATGCATAGCAAGGTTTCCCCTTCGTCTCTGTATCTCGACTGAACAATGCGTTTCACTTAGGGATGGCTACAAGGCTTGCCTTTGATTTGGGTCTCCACGTGGATCCCACGCCATATGTCTCAAGTGGAAAGATGGCAAGCGAGGAAGCTCGAGTACGCAATGTCACGTTCTGGGGAACATTCGCAACAGACCGTATGTGGGGTTTTTATCTAGGTCGGCCGTTCCACAACACACTAGAGAATGTGACGGTGCAGCGTCCATTTGAAGACACATTGTGGGAACCCAACGCCTTGGAGACGGCCTGGACACCTTACGGGACGCCAGCTAAAGACCAAGAGACGTGGCCGAATGCACAAGAGGCTGTTTCTGGTCGCTGGGTCGCACTATATGAAATCATGTCGGAGCTCGGGTATAAGATGTAAGTCAATAACTTATCAGGAGGTAAAAACACGCTGACATCGACAAGGTACTGCAAGACGAACGTGAGTAACGTGGAACTACAAGCTTTGGCGGAGAAAACGTTTAATGAGCTCGTCGTCTGGAAGTCATGCTTGCCGTCAGAGTTGGCAATAGACATGGATCATCTAGAAACAGGTCTCTACCTTCCACACACTCTTATCCTACAGTATGTTGAGCCTCTCTCAATCATATTTTGGCTGCAACTAATTAGCCTACAGCATGCAATTCGCTTTTTGCATGATGATTCTTCATCGCCCATTTGTCGCCAAGCGCTATATACAGCCATATCCTCGAATTGGCAAGGGCCCTGAGCATGCACGGATGATGTGCATTCAATCTGCTATAGATATTGCGAAGCTCATCGGGGAATACGAGCGTCGCTACTCGCTCCGCCGAGCCAACGTATTACTCGTTCACATGGCCTTTACTGCTGCGCTTATATTGGTATATGCCACCGTGTCTGAAATGAACAGACACATTCATGTGCAACTGTCATCACATTTAGATGTTTGCTGTCATGCACTTTGCGAGCTAGGGGTTTCCTACGAAAGTGCATCAAGGTCGTTGGACATTCTGCTCTCCGTGAAGAGGATGTGGCAAGCCCGCTTAGTAGCCGGCTCAATCGGACAGAAAAGAGTCCTCGGAAGGAGAGGGAAACCTGCGGTGGGAAACAAAAGGCAGTGCACGACAGATTAATTAGTATAGTTGATACTCGCTGAATAAAGGTGAAGTAAACTTTTGAAACTTATATTAGAGTTTTATTGATAGAGAAGTTATATGATGACTGAATATATAGGTGTATTTACCGTACGGGGAGAGGGGTTTTCTGGACATAGTGTAGGACATATTTTTAGCGACTTAATAAATGTCAGAGGCTACCTAGTCACAGATGTTAATCCTGATCAACAGGTATGTCCGTACTAGACATATATCCAACCGAATTAAGGCTTTATTATCTACCTAACAGCTACAAGATATCTCGTTCAATAGAATCTCAACCTAGGATATCTATCAATATTACGAATAGATATCTATTACTGATAGATATCTCTTGTTAATTGATATTGAATACAGAGGTATGCAGATAGCTCCTGCTATCAATGAAGCTGCCGTTTCTTATTATGACGAGCTGTAGCTGTATTTCTAGCTTAGCTGTCTGCTGCTTTGACAAGCGATAGTTGCGAAGCTGTCCAGTCTGTCTGCTGTCAAGACGAGCGATCGCTGCAGACTTGGCCATCCTGACTACTACCATAATGAGCCACCGCGATGTAGCTCGCCCAGCCGTCCTCTGTTGAGATAAGCGATTGCTGTGAAGCCAGCCGACGCGTCTATTGTCGCGATCTCTTCAACTACCTACGGTGGAGACGTCAAAGTGGAGTCTCAAGGTACATTAGCCAATTAGACCCTACTGTCTAGCAGTACATGTCCATTAGCAGATGTGCTCACTATAAATAAAGTACAGATAATCCGGTCAACTCCAATTTACTACGTGCACCTGAGCTACCCTATAGCCACACGCCAAAGTAAGGTAGTCCTAGTTGTTGGCTCAGGATCTCTGGGTAAACCAAAATAATAAGTTAAATAGCAGCCTGAGAGAATAATGTGATGTTTATAGGCTAGAGGGGTTCTCTACGGAAAGTGTTACGAAACGTTCCAATGAATGACTTACATTCTAAATTATTCATGTGATTCTCTGGATTCCTTGGGTATGGCCTAACACTTCCGGCCGAATGGATGGGAAGATAAGGAGCCATTGCTGAGTAACTGAACAAGCTGTTATCATGATAACTACACACTTATAAACATATAATATCTCGATTATTACAACACCTCGTAATATATGCTAGTACAACACGCACCATGCCAAAAGCCGGCCCATCGGATAATCGCTGACGCACTGGACTCCATTCTTATCATCTCGGGCTAAGACATATCTGGCGTAGTGAGACAAGCACAGCCCCTTGTATTTACGTTTCTTAGTGTCGGGGCGCGGCACGTTATTGAGAGCCGCGTTCTCCAAGCTAATGGCCTAATAATAGAGCGGACAAGGTTTTCTACCTACTCCCGCTTCTTGACCTGGATTAAACTTGGGACACAGCAATACAACATGAGTGATTCAACACAAAGCTCATCAGAAGCTCGGCGTAATCGGACATGCGAGGTACCGGATCCATCCCCTAAATCGGGCAGAGGAACAGGCTCAGCTAATGATCTCCCTCAGGGGTGTCGAAAGAGGAAAATCAAGTGCGTTACGGATTTAAGCTCCAAGGATCTTTCCGGCAGATGTTCTAGGTGCAATAAAATGGATCTAGAATGTATTTACAACCCCCCCGCAATAAAGAGAAAACGGAAGAGAAACGAGACTCGGATCCGTGAGCTTGAGCAAAAGCTTGAAGAGGTTCAACAGTCTATTTCGAAGGAGCAAGGCGCCAACCGATGTACCCCACTGGCTTCGGGGGTGTCTTCAATGACAGAGCCCATTGATGGTTCTTTACTGGCATCCAGCCAAATCACTGACGGGCATTCGGGTTGCGAATCATCACCTGGGATATCTGAGAGGGCCTTTGCAAAGGGACCTGTCAAGGATGATCCCATATATCGCGGCATTATTGAAGAATCTTTGGCGGACAAACTCTGCATTGTGTTTTGCACGGAAATGCTCCCTCATTATCCCTTGATCTTACCCCCTGCACCAATATCATACAAGACTCTTCGCGATGATCGACCTGCAATTCTCCGCGCAATCATAGCAACAGCATCAAGCATTTATGCACCTGACCTTTGGAAATTCTTGTTCCAGGATGCTGAACGCTACATTATGGAGCAGGCACTGATGAGAGGCCGGAAAAGCCTGGATCTTATTCAGGCAGCATTACTTCTTGCCACCTGGAGTCATCCACCCAAGCGATTTGAAGACCTTAATTTTGGCCAGTTCGTAAACATCGCTGTGACCATGGTGCTTGATTTACGGTCATCGAATGATCTACGATATCTGATTTCTTCTGATCCTGTGGCAGCATCAACAGAGGGCTCTTTGGAAGTTGCGAGAACGTTCTTGGCCTGCTACCTGCTCTCTTCTAGGTATAGTGGAATGTTTCCTGATATGATGGCGTTGTTCTGATGATTTCTCAGCATAGCAATGTCCTTACGTCGACCCAATACTATGCCATACAACACCTGGGTTCGAGACTGTCTGGCTGTCTTGAATTCCACTGCAACTACACATATCGGAGACCGTCGATTGGTAGCATGGATTGATCTGCAAAAGCTGGCAGAAGAGACTCTGGCCATAGCTGGGATTGATGGAAACTCATTAGGAAGGTCGACGGATTCGCGAACTCCTCTGATCCTCAAGAGCGGCCTAGAAAGAGTAAAGGCCTGGAGACAGACGGTCTCCGACGACATTATGCACGGTAGATTTTCTTCCTTCTATCCTCCTCGTGGTGAAACAACAAGCTGATTCCAACAGACACTCTCGACATTCACTATAATGTGATACTGTTGAATCTTTCGGAACCCGGCCTACATGGCAAGCATAATGCCAACGACTTTCGCCCCCCTTACGCTATTAACACAAGACTTGCTGCATATCCATTGACGGAAAACCAACCACACTTTATTGACGCATGTATAGAATGCTTGGAAGTAAGCCGTAAGATAATGCAGATCTTTAAGCATATGTCAGCGGAGAGCATACGCCAGAAGCCTGTGATTGTTTTCACGAGGATCATGTATGCTGCCGTCATTATTGTCAAACTGGCCGTGCTTGAAGAGCCAAATTTCAAGGAGTCGCGCTCATCAGCACCAGGCTCTGACATGGAAATCCTTCATACAACCCTCGATAAACTGGTGTTAGCCGCTGAAGGATCGCGGTACTTCGTCCCAGCAACGTTTTGTGCAGTCCTTCGAAGATTGCTCAGCCGATGTGCTCAGAGGGATTCGCAGGCAACCAATGCACATGATGCACTCATCGAACCCCTTACCAATCTGGAACTGGAAGACTCGCCGGCTGATCATTCATTAATTCAGTCGCTTGCAGACACAGCTGACCAAATTCCTCCTTATCTACTAGAAGAGGAACTTCAGGTCTTTGATAATGGATCGCCTTCCCTCGGCATGGATAGTCAAACCTCTTCAAACCCATTAACACTATTTGATGACTATGTGGAGAGTACGGCAGATGAGGTAGCTTCTGTCATGTTCTGGAATAATTTTCTCAGCGAGGCTTCGTTTTGATGAAGGCCAATTCATCATAATAGAACATTTTGGATTATAACGTGATATAGCCGTTGTTCTGGTGATATAATTGTTAAGCGATCTAAAGGCCTAGGTAGTGGCAGACTCGCTAGCTAATGCTTTGGGGATAATTATTGTTAGCGCGTCTATAGCAATTCTTCTAAGACTTGCTTTAGCAAAAAGAACTTCGTTGAGGTCTGAGTTTGGGATAGTGTAGTCCATTGATGTGGAAGCTCATTTAAGAATACATAAAATGCAAAACTGCACGCAGAATATATATTCAGGCAATACTTTGCTATCCCTTGTGTTTCACTAGAAGGTGCTAGTCTGCTTCAATAAGATTATTTACTTAGAGTATCAAAGTATTACCATACGATCTCGGTACCAAGATCGCTGACCTGCCAGAGATAATGAAAAGCAGTATGTTTGCTTTGGAGAGTGCGTTGTACCCTAGGCTTTGGAGCACACAGCTCCGCCACCCATCCAGTCCTTCACAGCCTTGGAGGGATACACGTAGTCGGCATGCTCAGTCAATTCCTTGAGATGCCTAACCTGACCGTGAGTAGGAAGCACATAAGCCTTGTCTGGCACCCCATCTTTATCGACCTGATTGAGCCACTCTCGCATCAGTTGGCGATCATTTTGAGCATCAGGCATGCCTGGATGCCAAACGTCAGCCTCAATTACGGCAACATCAGATTTCTTCGTGGGGCATTTCTCGGTGATAAAGGCGTAGGAAAAGTCAATGGCGTGCGTGGCCTCCTTTTCCCACAGGAACCAGGCTTGGTACTTGTTGTCGCCATGAATGTAAGGATGAGTCTCGCTGAGGATATGTTAGTTAGGTTCTGAGTGAAGCTAGGTATACTGAAAGACCTCACTTGAAAAGGATTAGCTCTGCGTTGGGAATACTGGCCCAGTATTTGGCGGCAATTTCGGGCACGATTAGTTTGGCGCCGAGCTTGACGTACTGGCTGGCGCCGCCGCTGTGGTCTCGATGGTGATGGGTTGGCTGCCACTGGGTAAGCACTTTCTGTATAATGATCTGGGCTGCTTGCCCTTTTAGCTTACCCAGAGATATTTGACGGGCTTTTGGATATTCTTCTCGATCCAGAGAATCACCTCCTTCGTCCACTGGGGTGGAGCATCCCCAACAATGACATGATCCTCGAATTCAATAATAAACTGCTTGACACCAAGAGTGTCATCGTCGAGCGTGAGCCAATGGGCATTGGGGAGACCTGGAGCCGGTTGGCCGTGTTTGATCCCGTCGACAGTAGAATTGGTAAGTCCGGACCAAAGACCGTTAGAGCTGAACTCGGTGATGCGATCATGCGAGAAGCCCTCAATTTTCCTCGGCGCACTTTTAGGAAAGAAGCCCTCACCTTCAGGCAGGCCACTGAAATAATCATTTGAGAATCCAGGGTTGACAGTGATTTGCTCTATGATGTAATCCTCAATCACAGCATCGAGCTTCTGGGTGCTGGAGTTGTACACGGTCTGGACGATATGGGGAAATTTGATGCCTTCGACAGCTTTGTAGCTGGAAAGATATAAGTCATTGGTTGAAGGTCCATATATCATGTGATTCTCCTCTGCTCGGACGATGTGAGGAAGATGACTGGAACTGTCGAAGATGATGGTGATGTCGAAGACAGGGTCATAAACTACTATAGTGTTAGAGTAGTCCAGAGATTGAATGGGAACCATAGCTCATACCAGCGGGCATGACTATCCCGTTAATTTCGACCTCGACAGATTTTGCATTCTTGTGCATTTTGACCTAGGTAGATTAGTATGCGATGCCATTAGTGAAGGCTGCCTGGCAAGGCGATCACCTACTTCAAGGAGGAGTTTAGGGGAAAGCATTTTTCCATGCAACACGAAATACTCGGCAAGTGCAGCTATAACGAGATGGTAAGAAGATGTAACGGTGATGTTTCAGATCCTTAGATGCCTCTTCTTACCGTCAGTGTATCCCGATGCAAGGTTTGTTGGAAGCCACACTTGGTTATTTCCGCGAGTGTAGCATGCAAACCCATTCTCGCCACCATGAACAACAAGTGAATGATCAAAATCATCGTTACTTGGAGTTGCCCAGGACCAGTACTCTACATAGTTGTTAGACTTGTTTCTAGAAATTGCCAGGATTAGTTACCAGAGGGGTGGAATTTGCGGTCAATTCGTTGGGTTAGCTCGTCAGAGTCAAAACTAAATGATATATTCTGAGAGCCAGAGACAGCGACCGGGGTGTCGGCATGGTACAAATTATAACTTTGCATGAGACTTCGGGAGCGGTAAACACTAGAGAGTGTTAGCTGTGTGATAGATTCGGATTGCAGGTGGTGGCGCTGACGTGGGAGAGTAATAAGTAACTCCATCAAGTGCTGAGATGACATCTTCTCCCCCTAGAGCAACTAAAGCTTCATCTAGGATAGATTGAGCAGAATTGTTCCATCTGGGAGACAGCACCTTTGAAGAGGCAAGCTGTATCAGAGCTAGACAGAGAGAAACTGTAATGCGAGACATGTCAAAAGACAAATAAGTTTGGATATGAAGACTATGGTATGTGAGTTGTTTTGGTTTTTGATGAGTTCACTGTCAATTTGGGAGAATATCCAGTACTTCTTATATTCCTTTCTTTTTTCCACGAAAGCATCTTGAGTTACAAACAATACTTACTCAGAAGTCATCAACCGGTTCTCTTGCCCGGGTTTACGCGCGGCAGATACAAAGCACCTTCACTTCCAAGTCATATTTGACTCCGCGTCAGAATTTAAGTCGTGATTACGTTTATGCATAGAAACTAGCCTACCCTTAAATGGAATAACGTATGATAATCTTAATTTAAGAAATACACCGCACGGTTTCACACATTAACAAATAGCTGGCCACTCCAGATAAAACTACGCTGCATAAGACGATTCACTTCACAGCGGCTATAAGTCTTAGTCCACCAAACTGCTCATACGATCCGTTGGGATTGAAACTAACGAAGAGGCTACTCATGTGAAAAACGTTATCGTTTGCTCTTGTCTATTCCTTCTATCTTCTCCGGCGGATGCTTGTACGTTTTCAAGGTGGCTTAGACTTGGTAGCCTCGGTCAGGCGTTAGATTACCAAGCGGGCCGCGGAAGTTTATTTACTTCCGCGATCCTCAATCACTAAACGAACTAAGGATATTGTGAAGAAGGTACCTGCTGACCAATATGCTGACCGCTATGTTTTCCAGATTGTTAGTGCAAGCCCGCGGCGGTTGATTACGTACCTTTGCCGCACCCTCACGATTACAAACTGCGGACACCTGTATATTAAAAATCTAATTCAAGAACAAGTTCGTCTTTTGTATTGCCAGAATCCAAGTTTTTTTTTTTAAACCGTTAAGGTGTGTTATTATCAGTGTGACTCTCATCTCAACAGTTTGGATCCTTATAGATTTTGAATAAGGCATCTCATCGAAATGCGTGTACTCATCATAGGAGGCGGTATTGGAGGACTTACGCTTGCACAAGGCCTGCTTAAAGCCGGGATAGAGGTTAAAGTTGTCGAGCGGCAGGTAAGACTGCGCTTCCCATTTATCAAAGCCACTGCGTAGAGTCTTGGCAGAGAAGGATGATGCTGTTCTAAGTGAGAAACCAGCACTGGAAGTTGAACGAAGCGCTGTGGGCAGGATAGAGCTTCGCGATGCTCTGTTGGAAGGCTTGTCCAATCCTTCATCCGAGACTATCCAATGGGGTCGGACATTCACAGAATACTCACAGCTCGAAGATGGGCGAGTACGTGCGTACTTCTCGGACGGCTCACATGAGGATTGCGACCTTCTTGTCGGTGCTGACGGACCCAATTCAAAAGTTCGTCAACAGTATATGCCAAACCTGAATCGCCTGGATCTTGGGATCCAGGCTATCGCCGGTCGCTACATTCTGGACGGCGAGAAGATGTTGAAATTACCGACGGAGCTTACCAACGGCTCGCTGAACAACATTGTGCCATCCGGGAAAGGGTGGATGTTCATTTCCTCCTGGGGATCAACACAGGCAGACTCAAAAGATCAACACTATGTGCTGTGGGCGTATGTCGTGCCAGTGGATCGTGTCGTACGGACAAATGAAGAAACTGACCTCAAAGACAATGTTCTTCGTAACATCAGTCAATGGGCGCCAGAGTTGAATGAGTTGGTCAATGGGACAGATCCATCGACAATCAAATGCCTACCAATTCGCACGATGCCTAGCCTTGCCCCATGGGAGCCAGGCAACGTCACGCTAATCGGTGATGCCATCCATAACATGACCCCCATGGCTGGTATAGGAGCAAACACCGCTCTCCGAGATGCCGAGGTTCTGACGCGATACCTGATTGATGTCGCGGCTGGAAGACTTCGTCTAACCGAGGCTGTAGGGATTTATGAATCTACAATGAGAATATATGCGAATGAAGCGCTCAAGTTGTCGACGCGCAACGCAACTAATGCTTGTGAGGGAGGAATGGCGCAGCGTTTCTTGTTCCGCAATTTTCTTCGAGCTGCTCATTCTTTTCCGGTCATCATGCGAGCTACTCTCGGACGTCAAGTCGCATAGGACCTGCATGACAGTGTGCTTTAAGTCATTAATCATTACTCACCACCGCTTTTCCCAACATGATCAAGCCAATCACATCTGATATCTGAATGATAATCAATTACTTGGGAGTATTTTGGACCTTATAGTGAGCTAGGGTGTGTTTTGAGACTTGAAAATGCCTATAAGATACATTTAGGACATGCGTTCTGGCCGCTGCCTACGCAAATCATCAAGCATCGAGATATCAGTTACAATTACTAGGTAGACTACCCTAACTATCACTTAGCTTGTTGATAAGCTGCTGTACCTTGATGTTTGGTCAAAATTTCACAGTTCTAATGGATTATTTTTTGTATTCAATCATACAAGTTCTCATCACGTTCAAAGCATTGGCCCATTCAATTCGTTTCGGTGCTAAAAGCACCAAGAGTAATTCTTTCTCCCTTGGGTTGCTGCGGTCTGCTACTACGGTAGTATAGGTAGTGACATTGCATGATCATGATTGCGCTGTAAAAGCGTCATCGAATCACTTTCATGACACGTAGCATGCGCCTACATGTCATGCGACCCGAATCACCTCCGCCACTCTATTGGATAGCATAATAATCCCTGCTGCACGTTTATGTCAAGTAGTTTTCGCCATGCTATCTACTCTCTGTGGCGTGGATGATTCACCCTATGTAAGTCGATCAGGCTCACCAGTCTGATATCCACATTCTGTTCGCCTCTGGATATATCAAGCATATCGCACAGTCGAATGCATGGCTCATGTTTCTTGTTAATTAATTGGTAAATTACTAATAGACAGCACTTGATCTGCACTCGTTTGTTGGTGCATTATGAGCAATCAACCCTGCAATGTAGATCCCCTCATGTTCACAGAAAATCACACCACCTTTATAGCGCACTTAGTGTCTACTGGCTGGAGAATGACGACTTACTTGCGTCGTCAACTAGTCATAGTGAATTACCACTATGTATACCATTACTCCAAAAGCAATATTATTCGCTCCTCAAGGTGACAGACAAGCAGCAGTATGCATACTTGAAGGGTGTGATAGATGTGATATGTTAGCTTATGGAGGAACGGGACTTGGCATCTCTCAATAATTGAGTGACAAGGCATGTATTTTGATTTTATTGGGTTCTCAGGAGTGCTTTGCCGCCGGCCACCATTACATCATGAGATCGAGATATGTCAAGCTCCAGCGTAGCATTCAAGTGCGGAGGAGAACCTGGCGCTTCTTGGCAGAATCCGGCAGACAACCATCGGGTACTTCGTGCATTCGGCATTTGAGCTGCCACTGAGCATCCATGCAGTGTTTCATCAGCCTGAACATGTAGGTCTTGCTAGATATAAAGACATAACTGGCCCTTCGCAGGATACAGAGAACAGCCCGGACCACAGTTCTCCTGAAGCGTAATTATCTGATCGACATGGACTTCATCTATCCCCGTAACGACGCCCTCAAGGTCAACCCTCCTGGTGGCCAATCACACCTCACAGACGGAGGCTCCAGTTGGCTCTTTGCCGTCACGGCTCTCTTTACCGTTGGCTTTGTGGGTTATCCAATGAACTTTTCCGGCCCTTGTCTACCAAAGTACCGAGCTAATGTTTGATCCAAACCTTCTAGCTTGTTTATTTCGCACTGAGCTTCAGACCGTTTCATGGGGAGAAGGTCTTCCACTATCTCTTCACCATCGCCCTGCTTGTTGGCGCGATTTCGTACTTTGCAATGGGATCGGGGCTTGCCTATTCAGTTATCCCCACAGAGCGCTATATGAGAGATGCCGCGACATACCAGGTCTTCTTCGCTAAATACATCTTTTGGGTTGTCTCCTTTCCGGTAATCATTGTAGCGATTGGTCTCATCAGCGGCGTGAGCTGGGCCACCATTTTCTTCAATATATTCCTCTCTTGGATCTGGTACGTCAAGTCTGATGGTATAGCTATTTTAATTTGCTAATATCCATTAATAGGGTCGTCTCATATCTGTGCTCGGCCTACACTGCTACGCGGTATAAATGGGGATTTTACAGCTTTGGCACCGTTGCCTATGTGCTTCTCGCAGTCCAGACCATGTGGACGAGTCGGCCCCCAGCGTATCGTTTGGGGATAGGGCGCGACCATACTGGGCTCTCGGGTTTTGTTAACTTGCTTTGGTTCTTGTATCCAATTGCGTTCGCTATCTCGGATGGTGGCAACGTGATTGGCGTTACACAGAGCCTTATCTTCTTCGGCATTCTCGATCTGCTCCTTGTGGGCGGCACTGCCTTCATCTTCCTCTTCCTCGCCCGTAGGTGGGATTATGGTCGGATGAACCTGCACTTCACCCAGTATGGCCGTGTTGGCTCCCACACGGACGCCGTGTATCCTGAGAAGGCCGGCGTGCGTACAACTACGCAAGCAGGCACAACTGCACCAGCGGGCACGACCACTGCCACCCCAGCTACTACGGCAGTGTAAACTCTCCGCATAGCAAGCTGGAAAGTTTTTGGTGAAGAATGGCTAAGAATTTGTGGGAGGGTAGATGATGCTTGGATTGGTATTATGTGTCGAGTGCGAGGTTGGGCTGGAGGTTCAAGGTAATTTCAGTGCAGGTCAAGATGGGTATGAACAAGACAGAGTGGATGTCATTGATGATCATGAGAAGCAAGAAATAGTAGTTAGTAATGGTTCAATCAATTTTAAAAAGATTGTATGAGTTTCGTTTAAACCAAACACCAGCAAGAACAGTGGGCGCTGAAGCGAGTATATGGCAAGGCTGGAAACTATTCTCAATGCTCTTTCAGAGAATCTCATTACCTAGTCTAGGCTGTATTATAAGGATAGGAGCTAGGTTTTCATTCCTTTCGGCTTTTCTATTCAGGGTCATGAGCAGAAATTTATTGGCAAAACAGCTGATTGGCTGGTATGAAAGAGAACTCTACCGAGCATCCTGCATTCAACAGCCGACTTTGATTAACTGTGGGGTCTCCGTAATCCGAGCAATGATATGAAGTATTCATTCCAAGGAACTGGTTTTAGAAAACAGCGGGCTCTTGTTAACTGTGGAGTCTCCGTATTCCGAGCAATGACATGAGAGTATTTATTCTAGGGGCTTTCGTTCAAGGTAAAAGCCGGCTCTTGGAGTCTCTGTCGTGGCAGTAACGATCTAGAAGGATGAGCTAGAAGCAGGGTCAGCACTATATCCTCCTCATCATCAGAAGAAAACAACACCAGCTTACAGCTGAAGTGTAAGTTTTTAGCTTTATTTTCTTTAGTAATTAATTTAAGATACTTACTCGTAGACATGCATAGACCTGATTCTAATTCAACCATTCTGATCAACTTGCCTCTGTTTCACATATTTCCTCGCTATAATTGAGGTTAATTATATTCCATAGATAATGATCTAGTTCATGCACTAAGTGGGGGTTCAAGCTCTACCATTTTTTCCAATTAGACTCTCTCAGGGCTAGCTTCCAAAGGATCAAATACCGCTAGAAAGGTTTGGACCGGTCTGGGTTTCTCCGTTCTGACGGGTTCTCCGTTCTGTAATGATTAATTTATTGATTCTATTCCTGGCGCGATTATGGCCTTTTCCGGTAGCAAAAGGTCAAGCTTGTGACAATATCCAAGGTATCTGGGCTGTGCTGAGCACTCCACCTGACATCTGTGTCCTAGGGGATGTTGAAAATGATCATTTTAGATACGAGGGGCAACCTAGTATTCACTTGACAACCACAGAGCAAGACGATCTGTGATATTTGATTAGGATAGAGATAGAGGGGCCAGAATAGCCCTAAACGTGCTGATAAACATGAACGTAAATCTACGATAGCAGTCACTGTCGTCTTCTTGCAAAGCCAGCAATCTTCCCTGACATCATCAAGGGCAAGGTAGCTGAGCACGCGACCGATGAGCTAACTCCTGCTCCACATGACTCGCTTGTGTCCAAAGCTTCGACTTCTGGAAAACTTCAGTGCGAACCTCTTATTTGTCAACTCCCGAGAGGATTGAAAAAGCCATCCTTGCGGCCCATCAATGCGAACGCCTCAATTTTGGTGAGAAATTCCACTTACGAACTAGTTCAAACACCTAAAACTATATCCCAGCATTTCGGTCCTATTAATTTTTAACGGAGGCACCGTTCCAGGGTATTGGCGGTATTGAGCAAAGACTACATGGGATCTATGGCTGAAAATTATACTATTTTTAACGTTAATGCAGGAGATACTGATAATAAAATATAGTAGATGGAGGTAGAGGAAAGGTATATTAACCTCCCCTCCCATCTTAGTTTTAGGCTTTCATTATCCAGCAACTCTCTTTCATTTGACTTTATAACAATACTTCTCGTTTTCTCTCCAACTTTCAAAATGCATTTCACCAAGGCAATCGTGTCTCTTTTCGCTCTCTCTAGCTTCGCTGCTGCCTATAACTATAATGGCGACGAGGCCTCCCTCGCTGCCCGAGATGAAGCCTATGCCGACTATCTCTATGCCCGCGAGGAGTATATACAGGCGCGTGATGTTTACCGCCGCGCTGTAAGTCCGCCTATGCTCTACAGCTTGCCATTTCCCCCAAGCTAATCAAATCACCAGGCTGCCAAGGCTCCTAAGGCTCCTGCTAAGGCTCCTGCCAAGGCTCCCGCCAAGCCTGCTGGCAAGGGAGCAAAGAACCCTGGCCCGCCTCCTCCCGGCCCAGGCTTATGTGGCTTGGGTCATGATGGGCTGTTCACCCTCTGCATCAGGAATATGAGAAACTGCGGCTCATGTGGTCCTAGAGCTCAGTTCAATGATCCCTGCCTTTGCAGCTACTAAGCTCTGAGGATTTCGCTTGCTAGAGGGACTGCCTTGCTTTTGGGGTGTTAAAATTTTGTGTTCTCATCACGGTTACATGAAGTGTCTCTAGAAACCTAAATAGTCTGGCTCAATTAAAGGAGGAGGTTATTTACCCCTTCTGTATTATAGTTAAGACTGTTTAGGCTATGTATCTATACTGTTGATTACATGGTTACTACAATATTCACAAAGATAAGCTCACTCTCCTTTAGTCTAAATACTGTTACTTATCTCTAATTATTCTCCTGGTATGTGATAATTTCTGAATGCCTTTGCACGACCCAGTATACTTTGGATCACTTGTGCTTATCTTTGACTTTATCTCATCAGTTCCTGATGATCTTCTGATCCTTGAGAGAGGGCGCAGAGATTATGTTTGGCATAACATCTGTGCCCTTATCGTCAGGATAAACAGCGAAGGCTGTGTACGTGTCAGGTTAAGTGTTCTGGCTAAGGGGCTACTGGTACTTATCGGGTTACCGAACAGCCTCGAGCTTGGCTGAAGTGTGTGTTTAGACTGGTGTACGAGTATGAAGCCAGGCGAGAGGGGGTGGTTTAAATAGTGATCTGATAAGCGGGTTATCCTGACAGCAATTGAGTTTTCGGTATAAAGGCTTCTAGAATTTCCTTTAGTATGACTTCAGTCTTAGGCTAGTAGAGCCTACTTTTTACCTTTTATATTTATTATATTTATTATATTAAAATATCAGATCTAGTATCTTTTACTGCTGTTTTTAATTTTATATTTAAACTGTTATCTATATAGTTTCTAAATTCCTAGATTATTACTATTTTTATTATAATAGAAATAATATATAAAAAAGAATAAGATAGGTATATACTTAGTTAATAGTAATATTTCTAATTTAATTATTAGAGAACCAGGGTTTTCTATAAATATAATTAGCTATAGTAGAATCTATTAAAAGAATAAAAGCCTTATAATAACTTAAAGAAAGTATATCTATAATAGCTCTGCATCGATACCGCAATCGTAGGATAGTAGTGCGTATAACTGATGAGCAGAAATTACACTGTTTAAATAAGATCGGCGAAAGAATTTAACAATGCCTGCCCTGAGAATCGGGGTTATATAAATCCGAGGTGACATCCTCGCCGTTTGCGATGAAGTGTTGATTCGGCCAAGTCCGTCCGTACAGTCTCTCTGAAACAGTCGAGTCAAAGGCAACAACTTGGGCACCGCCACCTGCGCCACAACATCTACGCCCCTCTCGGCCACTTCTTAATAGGTAAATAGCCCGTTCAGCCGGGCGAAATCAATAATAATAAATCATAAAAGGAGCAGTGATAATAATAAGAGGGGGTGTCCCTTACCATGTGCCCCCAAACCTCTAACCAATATCCAGCAGTCGATTCCCAACAGCCAACAGCAGCGAGTCCTCTGCCTTCATGAAGGAAAGGTTAAAAACATGGATCACCGCCAAGTTGAAGAGGCTCCAGGGCAAAGATCCAACTATGCCTCACCTTCCCGACCAGCGAAAATATGCTTTAACAACAGCATCTTTAACCGAGTATCTTCTGGCTGAAGAGTGCCTGTTCTTCAAGAAACTGCCGTACGAGATCCGGCACAGGATTCTAGTTATTGCTTTTGGCAACCGTCGAATACACATGGACCTATCTCTCGCCCACCCCCCACGCAAACCCATCCAAGCGAAACGCAATGGCAACCGCACACATTCCATCACCAACGATCATTGTGGACGGCACCGAGATACGTGGCCCTTAGGGCCCTTTGATACCAGTAAACCCCAGCGCTGGGAGTGGAGGGGATGCTTATGCCATCGCATACCGCCGGACTCGAGGGGTGACTTCCACGACAGGGCGAGGAATGTTCCACAGCCGGGAGACGATCGATGCTGCACGGGGTTTGGGGCCTCTTGTGACCAGTGGCCGGGACAAGTACCAGATAAGTGCTGGATTGGCGTCATGGGATGGCTTTTGACTTGCCGACAGTCGTAAGCCCCATTCTCCCACTCAAGTGATTAGACAAATACCTGCTGACCAACCTCTTGCTTAGGTATGTCGAGGGGATTCAGGTGCTTTATGCAACAAATACCATTCACATTGCCAGCAAGGCTCTTCTTACGCACATTTCGAGCCTCGTTCTGCCTCAGCGGTTAATGGGGATTTCATCATTGGAAATTTCATGGGATACTGGTGTCCACGAACATGAGGGCACTGTCTTCCTAAACCAAGACGATTTGAAATCAATCCTTACGATACTGTCCTCACACTTCCCTTCGCTCAGGTTTCTACATCTGGCACTGAAGATGCAAGTCAACATTCAACTCCCCGTCCGTCTTGGCGCCACACTCAGGGTCCTCGACTCATTTATCCGCAACAAAAGCCTGAAGTTCACCGTCTCCGTAACGAGCTCCGTCTTCAGGCAACTATACAGGACTGTACGGGAAGAAATTACTGGAGGAAAGGGCCCTTACGACTTTTCGGATTACCAGCTTTGGCGGCATCTTGTTGGCACGTTTGAGCTGGTGCCGTGGCGGTGGACGGATATTCCGAAGTCTTTTGGGGAGGGGTATTGGATTGCGATTGGTGATAATAACGATCTCAAGTTTGATTATATGATCGAATCTGATGCATGTGCAATCTTGAGGGATTGATTGTATAACAAAACATCCAGCAGCACATGTGGACCTTCGTGAATTCAAGGCCCATCGATTCGGTTACGGCACGTTAACATTCCCAAGGGTTTCAGACCTCATCCTTTCCTTGCCTTGCTTACCGACAAGTGAGACCCCTGTTGCACTAGAACTGCGATGATAAATGCGAGGTGTCATGCTTGTCATGTTTGATGGAATATTGATTTTAAATAAACCAGGCAAGTGAGTTAGGCTTAAAGTATCGTGAACTCGGTTTCAACCACAGCTTCCAAGAACCCGGGTACCCCGATGGAAACTCTACAAAGCCGTTTACTGTACTGGCCTGGTTATGGCTAGACAGACTGAGCGTAACAATATCTTTATTTAAAATCGATTTCTCTTCTCTTATTCTACCAATAATATATTCTTAAAAAGAGAGTTTTTGATCTATTAAGTCTTTCTAATCTAGGCCTTGATGAATGGTTTTAGGCTCTTGAAGTGATAGATTTTAGGTGGAATAGGGTAGGTAGGAATCGACAGACTTTTGGACCTTACCCCGCTTGTTGCGGGCGCCAAGATCATGGATCCGTCAGCGGTAAAGGCTTTAGCCGGCCTCACTTTGGAGACTGACAAGTGGACACAGCGTGAGAAGGGACGAAGGAGGAGAGTTGTTCCTGAATCGTGTGAGACTACAGACCAATGCGTGATCAGAAGAAGCAGGGTGGAGCCCTAGGCGTGGCGTCTCCCTCTGGATCGCGACTTCGTTCCCTTGTAGTACGAATTCTTGTTTAATGAATGCAAATCACTCTTTGTTCTCCCACGAGTTCGACTCTACAAGTTCTTAGTAGCCAAACCTGTATGTAGCACTCCCGGCTTTCGTACTATCCGATTCTCAAGATAGTGCAGAAAATCTGATGGCGCAAACCGTCGCGACTGCGCCCACCAGCTGGATGAGATATACGCAGGGCTTGGACTCGCGCGAGATATTCCAGGACAGGACCTCGGTCGCACTTTTGGGACTCCCTGGAGCGGGAAAGTCGACTCTTGGAGTGATTGCTTCTGCGACGTTGAAAATGAGATTGGTTGAGACGGACAGGTGCTTCCGAACCATGACCGGCACCACAACCTCGGAATATGTGGTTCAGTTCGGTAGACAGTCGTATCTTGACAAATCTTTGGAAATCTTACGACATATCCTGAAAAAGCATTCGACAAACTGTGTCATTGCTGTATCTGCGAAAATGTCCGATATCCCGGCCTGCCGCGCTGAGCTTCAAGAGTTTGCTGCAACTCACCCACTTGTCCACATTCTAAGGAAAGCTGAGTATATTGTCGAGCATCTCAACAACCATATGAGTCGCGACGATGTGTTGCTCCTGTACCAGCGGTGCATACCACAGTATCGCGCTCTTTGCAATTTTGAATTCTACAACGGGGGTGGCGCTGAGCTCGCCGGCCTGCCATCGCATGATGCCAGCCCCATGCCTTCTTTTTTATCACTAAAGCACGCGCAAAAGGACTTTTTAGGGTTCATATCCCGTATAAGGGGTTTCTGTCGTCTGAATAGGTTTGTGCGTGCGCCAGAGGATACAGAATTCTCGAGGGTATTGCTCATACCATTTCCACCAAACGATAACCAGGACGATTCCTCGGACCCCAGGGCTATTCACGGAATTCACTTGATCCAGCTGCAATTATCACTGCAGCAAGTTCTCGAAGTTGATCTTACTTCTCTATTGGATCGTATTTCCTTCGTGTTGGCTAGATTCCGCCGCAACTGTGATTATCCTGTTGCGTTGCGTGTTCTACCTCTGCCGATACTATCGGACCGCTCAGCTTTAGAATACCCCAACTACTTTCGTGTTCTGCAACATGGGGTTTCTCTGGGCTTTGATTACTGCTACGTGGACCTTGGGTTGTCTCACCATAGCCTTGCCCAGTTTACCCAGCACGCAGGAGCCACCAAAATCATCGGAACGTGGCATAACTACGGCCAGCCAAGTCCACAGAGCTCTTTGTGGAAAACAAATCGGTACCAGGATGTCTTTGACCTCGCCGTAGATCTTGGTTGTTCTGCTGTACAGCTGAGCGCACCAGCGGCTACGATGCAAGATAATTACGATGTCATGAAGTTCACAGAGAAAATGAGACAACAAGGAGCTCAGACGAAGGTTCAAATATCTGCGTTCAACACGGGGGAGATCGGAAGGCTCTCTCGTATAATGAATCGCACGTTGTCACCAGTAGCTGGCAGCCACTTTTTGGCACACAATCACTACCACGAGGAGCAAACGCTTCACGGGGGAACTGCTGAGTTGGCAGGCATTATTACTGTCGAAGAGTCGTGCAAGGCCCTCGAAGCAGCATTTATAGTACGAAAGCTGCGCTTTTGTAGCTTCGGGTCGCTCATCTCCCATTCTATCGCCCCGGCCATGCACAACGCGGCGCTGAGCGCTCTTGGGCTCCCATACCACTACGGTCTGGTGCAGTCACCGGACGTGATTCAGTCTCTACACCTCATGCGCGCATGTGACTTTGGCGGGCTCAGCTGTGCTAACCCTCACAAGAGAAGTATTATAACCCATCTCGATCACATATCAGACGCCGCGCGCGACATCACCGCTGTCAATACAGTTTACACGGTTCCATTGTCCTCTGGAGGGCGCGCGCTGTTAGTAGGAGAGAACACGGACTGGATTGGGGTGACCTCTTGTATTGAGAACTACTTGAGCCCCGTAAATACTATTACTTCGAAGACAACAGCACTGGTTCTCGGAGCTGGCGGTATGGCTCACGCGGCTGTTTATGGACTTCTACGTCTGGGTGTTACTAGGATCTTTCTTTGGAATCGTACACTGTCGAGGGCAGAGGCCTTGAAACAACACTTCCGGCAGGTTGGCAAGTCATTACAATTCCGTCGCTTTTCCTCTCGGGAAGACGATGTACTCAGCGATCATAATTGCAATGACGATGCCCAAGATAGCGGGCCCGTTGAAATTCTTCCGTCAACTGAACCCTCCCAAATATCGGACAGGGGAGTGGCCTATCCTTCACTTATAATCAACACGCTCGCTGACGGTTCTGACCAGCCAGTGGCGTCCGCATTTGATCTGGATGCCGACTGGTTCAGTAATGAAACAGGTGGCGTATACGTTGAGGTATATTCTCCTCCTTCTCATCCATGTCCATGGTATTGGAAATCCCTAAATTAATGCTTTTTCACAGTCTGCCTACAGATCGGTAGAGTCCGTGCTTCGCAGCAAGGTCCAAGGATTGATGCCAAGGAATTGGGTTGCCGTCCGAGGGCAGGAGCTTCTCTTAGAGCAAGCGTTTCCGCAAATCGAGCTATGGACGGGTATGCCGGCCCCAAGAGATATTATGCGAAGGGCTGTCAATCTGTAAATTAAGGGAGACGACTGAAGACACTTTTAGCCATAGTAAGAGGAGTTTATATGTACGAGGAGTTCACACGAGTCAATGGCGGACTACAATATTGTGAGGCCTGTTGTAGCTCATTCATTATAGAATCTCCTTTGAAGGATTCAGCGTGAGGTCAGAGAGTAGTTACTTAGTGTGTGCTTTCTTTTAAACAGGAAGCTCTATAGACATCTAGTAAGCCTCTCTTTTGCGATGAGGTTTGATATTTGCCAATGATTCCATACGTTTTATTAAACGGTTTGATCAAAAGACTAGGGGTTAGTGGAAAGCTTACCAAAAGGCCCAAGCTATTAGAAAAGCAACTCAATGTGACTAACGGGGTACTTGCTTGGTAATCAAGCGCTAAAGGTGCGGTTGGGTAAATATATAACCAGCGGCAGATGGTTCCGCGCCAGTATCCTTGTGCTCGATCGTTTGATCTCGATTGTCCAGGACGGCAGAAGTTATTGCCGCTGCCCAGGCATCCCAGGCGGCCACCTCAAACCCAGCTTCGGGTTGACTAGCGACCCCTCTTCTCAAATTGGTCCCACACAGAGCAGATATTGGAGGGCCCTCAATAATTCGCTTTTTCCTAATTCAAGTCATGATACTCGGCTTTGGTCTCTCTTCAGCCGCTGAACGAAGTCGTTGAATGACGTGGCGTAAAATAACATAAGGCATACCGTATTAGATGTAATTTGTACGACGTAACTCCGTAGACAATGTTAAGTTATCCTTCTTGTAGGCTAACGTGCCGTAACCGAATCGATGGGCCTTGAATTCACGAAGGTCCACATGTGCTGCTGAATTTTTCCGGGCTCGGATCGTGTGTTGTCCCAGGAGCACAAGCTAGTCTGTCTCAGCGTTCCATGGCAGCACGAGTTCCAGCCCAGGCTTGGATGCGTGAGCCCCCTCCTGCAAGGCGAGAGAGGAGTCCGTCCCTGTTCATTACGTTTACCCCACACCGATTGTCTTTTGCTCTGCTTTCAGTGTTCCCAGCGTGCGGCTTCTGCAACAGGGACCGCGAACTCCAATGTCGACAAACCATGATGAAAACACCGGTTCATCAAAGCGTCAACGAATAAGTCGCGCCTGCAATTACTGTCGCCTACGAAAGTCCAAGTGTGATGGCGCTGAGCCCACATGCTCCAACTGTGAGACCCACGGTCAAGAGTGCATATACTCGGCGTCTACGAAGAAACGAGGCCTTCAAGTCGGCCATTTACGACTTCTCATAAAACATCAGTCTCTCTCAGAAGGGGCCCTCGGCTTTCTGGTTTCCTCTGTAGACGGGGTGGAAGCTACACTCACTCACTTTCTTCACAGGATCACGGAGAATCCAGAAGAAGTAGAGTCCCTACAGCAGGTTTGGAAGAAGTCCTCGGCATACTCAACATTTCAGAGTTCCTTAGACATACAGCATGATGAGATATCCTTTTCTGGGGTATCATTACAACCAGAGGGCCTCACTTCCGGGCATATCGAAGGGCGGCTCTCAAAAGCCCCTGGCCCTCGGGCACCATCGCAATCACAACCAACGAACTCCCGTACACAAGCCACCGACTTAATACCACAATTTTCTCTAGAGAATACAAGATCTTCGGCATATGCATCGGACTCGTATTTCGCAGCATCGCCGCAATCCGGCCCAGTCAATTCCACATTCGCAGGAAGCGATACTGAATGGCAAGCCTTTGCTGCAGCCCAAGACTCGACAGCGGACGCTTTCGATCCCAATAATGCTCTCAATATTTCGGACGGAAGAATTACGCAACTAGGCAGACCTAGCCAAGTTCCAAAAGACCTCAATCAGCACCGTAATGTTCTCCAAATGTATCGACAACTTACTCTGTTGTATGCTCTGGAATCGTCCACTTTGCCTATCGGCGCGCCGGACTTACTGGAGAGCTACTTCTTAAGGGTTCACCCGTTCTTTCCTTTGGCAAATAAGATTGAGCTGCTGCAGTTCTTGCACAAGTCGCAGGCTTCTAGACCCAAACACCATCAAGGACAGCTAGACGCAAAAGCTTCACAAATCTGGTCTGCTTGTGCTTTGGCGAGTCATATCGAACAGGCTGTACATATTGAAGGCAAAAATCATTTGGTCCCTCGCGCGAACATCTATGCTCTTCAGTTTGTGGCTTCGGAGGACTTCGAGCCTAACGAGCACAAGGCACTGGAGACTATCGAAGTACTTCTGTTCCTATCTTTAAGCCTACTACAGGACCAGTGTTGGGACACAGCCCGAGATGTCATCAGTATGGCTTGCAATGCAGCCCTCCGGTATCAGCTGTTCGCCACGCCTAGTCAACTAAATACTGCCGCAAAACTTCCCAACGGAAGTTGCAACAGAAAACGAAAAGCTTGGGCCACGTGCTTCTTGTTAGACATCTTGATTTCTATTATACTTGATGTTTCTCCAGTGATCTATGCCGGGAGCTACAACGTGCCGTGTATTGATGAAGATGGCGGAGAAGAGTGGGATACGTGGATACTATATGGCACTCATACGCTTCGAAAGTCACCTGCTCGAATAGCATCCGCGTTCAATCAGCTTCTAAGACTGGCGCATATTCTCAACGGGTATTTGTGTGCAACAATATCTTACCAGGAGGATCAACAAGCCAACAGGTCTGAAATTTCTATGGGTGCCATCAGGCAAGCACACCAGAAACTTAGCAAAGATCTTCAGTCATGGCTAAGTACAATGCCTGGCCACCTACAGTCAGAAATGGTGTGGGATCGTAAGATCTCGAGCCAAGGGGGTATCGCCTCTGTTGCTGATCCTGCCCCTTATACTATAGGCTTGAGTCTAGCATATCACGCCTTCGTCAGCTACTCCTGCCGTAGGATGCTTGCCAAGGGCCCAGAGATATTCCAAGATGGCGAACTACCTAACCCCATATCTCTACAACGCTTGCTTGTAACATCTTCCTCTATAGTCTACAAGATCTCCCGTCATTTCAGTTCTAGGTTTGGATCAACAGTGATGAATCCATTCCAATGTCCACTGATACACATCTCTAATCTTCGAGCAACCGAGCATCATGGGAAAATGAGAATTCCCAGCCGCCTGTTCCCAACCACTGCTGGCAATGTATCATTTGACAGTACCTCGCACGCGAAAGAAACAGATGGTGAGTATCAGGCTAGATTTGAGGGCCAACAGGCACCTATTTGGAAAGATGGGACAGAAACTATGGAAAGTTCTCAACGTAAAAACGACAGTTCGAAATCATATGGTCGTGCGTCACCTGAAGATCCAGGTGGATTCTGGGACACAGACCTGCTGAACTACGAAAGGTAGGCCATGATTATTTACAAATTGATTTGGCTCTATGTAGATGGATAATTTGTCGTAACGCTAACCTTTCGACCGCAGCACTAATGTACCGCAATTTCTTGAGTTTATGGACAAATTAGGATTTCCTTCCTCTGCACGTCCCGGACATCACACCGACAGTACACAGAACGAGGAAAATGTAGGATCACTTGAGCTTATTGAAACAGATACTTGGGAGGGCCTAAGTACAATGCATCTTGAGGGTATTCTTGATACTTGGATGGATGCCGCTACCCAGCCGTAAGAGAATAGGCTCATTTTGCAAAGTAACGGGATAAGTCCTATATTTTTATAAAGTATTATTTGCTTTTTATAGAGGCAACATGTTTCAATTATGTGCTTATCAGAGGGATTTGGCTGAATACATGATGATAGAGCATTTAGGCAGATATCTATGTATGTACAACTGCAATGTGACTGTTCTAAAAACGCTGTCTGTTTGTCCCTCTTCCGAGGTGTTCAATACCATTCACCTTTCCACCTGAAATGTACATTCCTAGATCAACTGTGAGATCTGAAAATGTTCACACTGACTCGACATGCTTTGCATCCGTGCTCTCATGCTTGATCTCCTGGACATCCTCTGCTCCAGCCAGCCCTTCAGCCTCCTCTCTACGCTCGGCAATCACCTCCTCAACAGCTTTTCGCTTCTGGCGGGCCGATCCTGGCGCTGAAAACAAGATGTCCATTTCCTCCAAAGACACACCTTCGGTCTCAGGAATAAAAAAGTAGGAGAAAATGATGCCAAGCACGATAGATGAGGCAAAAAAGATGAACGTACCCCATTGGATACCCTCCATCATATAAGGTGTCGAGTAAACAATCACAAATTGGCCAAGCCATTGGCAACAAGTTGTAATAACGAGGCAGATGGAGCGAATTCGCATGGGGAAGATTTCCGCACTAAATGAGAAGAGTTAATCACCTGTTCAGAGCATTCAAACTGTAAGGGCAAACGAACCAGAAAATCCAAGCCACGCTGTTCCAAGAACAACAAAAGAAGACCCCAAAGACGTAGATCGTTGTGATTGCCACGTAGGCGCCAGCATCTCGTGGAGCCTGGCCAGAGAAGGCATTGGAGATTTTCGTATAGATACCGAGATACAGCATAGCAACAAGAGCACCGAGAGAACCATAGATCAAAGGAGGACGTCGCCCCACGCGATCAACGATCCATGTGATGAAAATGAGCGTGGAGACAACCTTGACTAGGCCATAAATTCCCGTTGCTAAGAGGCCAACACTGCTTCCTGTGAAACCGACCGAAGCGAAGATGGAGGGACTGTAGTAGTTGATCGCGTTTGCACCGACCTATGAATATACGAATCATACGATTAGTGGGACTTGCAAACTGGCTGCGCCGAAATAGAAAAACTGTGTCGTCTCACCAGATTTTGCAGGAACATAATGGCGACGCCTAATAGGATTCGGACTCGATTGCCCGGTGCTTTCATCTCTCGGATCATGGCCTTCACGTTTGCCAAGGCACCTGTATGAGTTTGTCCTTCGCGCTCAAGCTGGCTTTCGATAGATTGCACCTCCCAGGCGAGGTATTCATGTGTTTCGGGGAGTTGCCGGATTCTCGACAAGACTTGTGAAGCTTGGTGAACACGGCCAGCCTTGATCAACCATCGCGGGCTCTCAGGCTGGGTGATCATGGCTATGACTAGAAGCGAGCCTGGCACCAACTGGAATGCAAAGGGTATGTGCCACTGTCGGTCCGTAGTAGGTTCGTGGATATTAACGGCATAGTTGATCCAGAAGCCAATGACCTGAAATACCTGCAGGAACACCTCGAAAATCCCAATAAGACGACCTCGGATAGCCGGGGGCGACCATTCGGAGATATATACCGGCACTAAGAGTGAAGAAGCACCTACACCGAGGCCAGTGATAGCCCTTCCAGCATATATGAAGCCAACTCTCCCTAAGTAGGTGAGAAGATCAAAGAAATCAGTCTGGATATTCTTTTGAGCATAAGAGAACGTGACCCAAAGAGAACATACCAGAAGAAGCAAGTTGAAAGACGACACCAATATCAAAAACAACACCACAGACAATGAGTGTAATCTTGCGGCCAAATCGCTCCGTCATCCAGTAACAGAGTATTGCACCAAAGAAACAACCAGCCTGAAAGGTGCTGACAGTGTTCGCTTTAAGAGAAGCAAGAGGGTTACCCGAGAGTTTATCAAGACCAAATCGTTGTTGGAATGAAGGGAGCGTCATCGCACCGCCTATGAAGGCCGAATCGTACCCGAACATTGCTGAGCCCATCGAAGCACAAAGTGCCAGGAGGTAGATGCGCCAATTGTAAACCTCGGAGGGGGCTGTTGCCCCGGCTTTGTCGGTTTTTGAAGGAGCCATGGTGAAAAGTAGGGCACTATCAGTAGGGATAATGTGAATGAAGTTGTGCAAAGGCCCAGAAAGAACAGACCTTCATAAGAGCCACTATTAATATAGTGTCGAGTCAGGAGAGGTAAGATGAGGACGACGACGCTCAAATCATCATTGGTTGGTGGCCAGGTTCTGCCCCCTACCCCAATAGATTCGTTCCCCACGGGGTCTACCAGCCATGTGGAACCGTTGGAATGGATGAGTTATCTTCCGTCGAGGAATTCAGTATATCCGACTAGAACAACTAAACTTTAGCTTCCGCCACGGCGGACAGAATATACGATATGCAAGGCATTTATGAATCTCTCGGACTTTTCGGTGAAACAGACACCACATAGCCGAGGCTATTGGTGCTCATTCACGACACAAAGGACAAGGGGTGAAAGAATGCGTATGTGTATTTTATCATTTGGAGCTCTTGGAATATTGACACTCAAGCGGGACTGAAACTGCTATATTGCTGGCTTTCTACCGTTGTTACAGTAGTGGCCTTTCATTTATGACCTTAATCATCTCATAATCCCTTCCGCCACTCTGTATGCTGCATAGTGCACTCGCCTCGAATGCCGTTGAAGCTATTTTTAATGCGCCAGGCTTTCCACTATTTCGTGCACTTGCTCGATCATTTTGCTCAGCGGGATTGCGTCGCTTATGTCTTTCCCAGCCCAAACCTCCCACTGGGCTTTGAGCTGCCAGCCAACAACTTGTCCCCCGTCACCAGATGTCCATCCTTTCTCTCGTGCTAGCTTGAGGTTTCTTGTGAACCGTGGACGGTAGCACATGTCTAGAAATACACCCCTTTGACGGTTCAAGATCTCTATAAACACCGCCCGAGCATCCAGTTCTGTCTCGGTACATGGCTCAAAGTCGGGTACTGTGCCTATACCATAATATGCGTCCTCCAGTCCAATTGCATCGGACGGCTTCCGCAGGTGCTTGATGATAGGGGGCTCTAAGCCGGCCTTGCGGTAGCCATTTTGAGCGTCATGAATGAGCGCAGCAACTTCGTGCTCATCGCGGTTGATAACATATATCACAGTGGCCCCTAAAGCCTTGGAAAGAGCATACACTGCCGCTCTAGCTGCACCGCCAGCGCCGACCACAAATGCTGGCTTGCCGCGACCGGGTTCCGTGCTATCAGTTGCCAACTGATCCCCGGGGACGCGTTGCGAGAGATCGAGTAGGGAGTCGCGCACTCCGATCCAATCGGTATTTGTCCCGGCCAGAAGTCCGTCCGCTCTTCTGTAAACGTTGTTACAGGCGCCGAGCAGCTGGGCCATGGGGTCAATATGGTCGAGTAGCGGCAATACATTGATCTTGTGCGGGATAGTTACAATGGCACCTCCGAAATCTTCATCCCGGATCCGTTTGGCAAATTTGTCAAGAACAGGTGTGTCCATGGCTTCAAGCTGCCAGTTGATGCCCACTTCTTTTGCCACGATATCGTGGATGCGATTTGAGACAGCATGGCTTAAATTCGTGCCCACGAATAGGATGTGTTTTTCGGCTTTTTGATCCATGCTGATACTTGTGTAGACCTAATGTGAAGCGGGCTTCTGAGATGGCGATATTAGAAGTGGACTTGAGATACAGGGGAATGTTAACGTGTAGAGAAATTGTAGACTTCTAGGATCAGCAAAGCCGTATATGGTATGTTCTTTTGCTTCCATTTATGTTACAAAGGTTAGTGGCGCGAGAGTTTGGAGATTCTGGCACCAGTTTTTAGCCTCTTCCTATTTGCACCACCCTTCGATGTGTACGCACAGTTTGCTCATATGGGAAATGGTGTACATATTCCCAGGCCATATCCGTAAAAGATGGGGTCTCGGTGGCTGATTTCCCTTTCTTCCGCCCGCTCGTTCCTGTAATCATAGCCTGACGGCCCGATGGGGTTGGCTCAGTATGCCCCGTCGGCAGTCTCTTTATCCGCAGTCAGATGAACCCTGGGCATTACTGAAGACCCCGGCTCCCTTTGCCCATGAGAGTTCCAAAAGGTCTGAATGGCACAGCGACTCCTCGGTTGCGGAATTCAAGGCGGGCATACCCTTAGTGTATTGGTATTGGCTACACTACATGAACTAGCGTTGTCCGGCTTCTTTCACGTGTTAATTAAGTATACTCAATACTCAATTGACGATTATGACTACGTTCCCTAGCATGCTTTACGTCATGTGAGATGCTCTAGCCCAATTACCATCAGAGGAAAGTTGCAGACAACTGCGGATCGCGGCAATGCTTCGATCCGCCTTACAAATCACCTTATCAGTCCCAGCATAAAGGATAATCTTCTGTGTGGATCCGCGGACAGTGATATCCGAGCTGCTCATCACTAACACCATAACTGTATGCGGAGAAGGTTTTATGCGATAGAAATAGAGCCACTTAGGGTTGCTCCGGGCAAGCCTGTCAACTGGTCTACGTGATAGCAACGGTTGGTAAGCCACCTGGAAATTCCCCTAATCCGTTGGTTTATTTCGTCACTTCGATATTTAGTAGGAAGTTGTACTCACGGCAATTCCGTCTTCTCTTTCAATTCATACCACGCGGTTCTTCGGCCTAGCTACCACCACAAGTCAACCACGATGTCGAACGAGGTTACCACAATTTTCAGCGAGGATGCCTTCCAGGCTCCGGCAAACTTCTGTAAGACTTCGGCCCGGGCACGATCAGTGAGGATCATTATAACATCTCTGACATTCCAATATTTGCTTGTAGCACACGCTAGAATATTCAATGGAATTGTCTACGCATCTGGCCAGATACCTCTGAACACTAGCGGCAAGATCGTGGGCGATACCATCGAGGAGCAGACGGTAAGAATCTCATAACCCTTGGTTCTCTGATCTCTTTTTTTCCTTTTAGGCCGCTAATAGCTTCCGTGATCACGCACAGGAGCAAGTGCTTAAAAACCATCTGGCTATTTTGAAGGCTGCTGGTTCTAGTCCGGAGAGGATTCTCCGCATCAACGTTTATCTCGTCAATACTGAAGACTACAACGGATTTAGCACCACATATAACCAAGTAAGAGTATCCGAAAATGAATATTGAAGAAATCACGATAGGTCGTATTTTATAAAGTCTGACCGTTCGTTGCTAATTGAGTATAGATGATTCCTGACCCTAAACCTCCTCGTGGATGCATTTTCGTTAAGGCGCTTCCGGCAGGTGCTAGAGTTGAGATGGATCTCGTTGCCGCCACTTAGATTCGAGCAGTGACTTTGATGGACATGCCTGAACTATGATGGTCCACTACCAACGAATCATCGGACGTGATATTTTCCGGAGAGAATCGCTATTGCAGATTTGTATGCGATCCAAGTTTTGCGGGATATGACAAAGATTATCATTTGCAGAATGAGCCTAAACACCTTGGAAGCAGTTCGTTTTCATCATGACACATAATACAGGAAGCACATGCTGTCGGAAAAAGAGGGGCCCAGAAGGAAGCATGATGTTACGGAGGTAGAATAAGGGTTTTCAATGCCACTCTCATCACTAAGAATAAATGAATAATACACCTAGGCGTACGCCAGCTATCATTACAACCACAAGAGTCTCCTGATGATATCGGGTTCATTCCTTACCTTGACCACCGTTACTTGGAAATTTGAATAAGTTGTCTGACAAGACTTCAATTTTCATTTGGATATTCCTGTCGCAGAAAGTAACCTAATTGATGATTTTGTGCACTAATTCTCGAGATTGAGAAGGACACGAAGGGTGTCAACCTCCAATACTACATAGGAACTCTACAAAGTTCAGGGGTCCAGCGTTCCTCTAAATTCCACTGGGGTCGCACCTGGGGCGATACCAAGATTTTGGAAGAACGTATCATGCTGTGGCGAGCTATGAGTAATCATTCAGTTAGCAACCTGGCGCAATGTATGCCGGAAAAGATTGCATGGCTTACTTTATCGTGGTTGTGAAGTAAGCAAAGTCATTGAATAAGGTATTGTCATTTAGGTTGTCGGCAGGCTGTTCGGAGTCTAGATCACCGGTTTTGTAAAGCATCGACACGCTTGCCTGAGCTGGCGCCTCATCTGCTGATTGGTTAGTTAGATCTTGAGAAACGAGCAGTTTCCTCATCTTACTCATTGTCCGGCCCTCCATCTGCTGTTGATCTTGCTTAGATCCGCTTCGTTGAACAAGTCCAGTAAGTACATAGATCAGGCGGGTCAACTCCTGGAGATAAGATTGATGTCTGGAGAAACTGCTTGTGTTTTCTGGAATAACGAGCATCTGAAGATAAATTTGTGCGAATGGGAAAATCCGTGGTTGTAGATGAGAGGCTATTTGCCTTGCCACAAAGGATATCGAGTTGTGCGCATGTTGGGCAGGCAGTCCGGAGGATGCCTCAGCACCGTTTAAGGCTCGGGCTTGAAATAAAAGGTCTATGCTGACCGCGGCCATGACGAGATTTACAAATTGAATAGAAGATTTCGTATCAGATGGTGAAGATTCTCTGGTTGCGTGCTGTGCCCACTCAGGTAGGCCATTGTACCAGGTCTGAAAGCTAAGGGTCGCCTCTGAAGACCGTATGACCCCATGTGCATGATCATTCAATATGCTGATGAGCTCAGTGAAGGAATTGAATGTGCTTGCAATTCTTCCAGGGGCGTAGGTAGTCCCGCAGATGGTGTCTGGCGGACAAGTAGTCTCCCATTCCTCAATATCGTCCAAATGGAGGCGCCCCATTCTCTCGAGATCACTTCTGCCGAGATACGGCCTTTGCCCCAGATGAGAGGCAATGAGAGTCTCTAATACGAATAAGCCGAGAGCTAATCGTCTCTCTTTGTCTCCTAGAGAGGCTGGTGGTGTCGCCTGGGATGTTGGGGCTATGCCGAGGAGCGTTGATAAGTAGACAGCTCTACCAACTGTTGTCCATGCTGTTTGAGTTGCACCCTGGCACAGTTGAAGCATGCTGAGAGTCAAAAGCGCTTGGACATGCCCAGAATCGTATTTGGAGAGCGCAGCAGACCGCTCCAATGCAGCCATAGCTTCTTTGATCAAGCTCCCAGTCTGTTCAGAGTATACATGAGTAATCTCTGGGTTGGGTCCTAGTGGACGACGAGATCGATAATGCGAAGCGTACGCAAGGAGAGAAAATATAGAAGCACGCTCGCCTAGTGAAATGGGACAGTCGCCGTCGTGGGAATAAGACTTATTCTGGGCGATACAATATGCTTGTCGGATAGCGTCATGCTTGCGAACGATCGGGAACCACAATTGAGTTTCGGAGAAGTAGATGTTTAGTAATTGTGGCCAGTCTGCTGGGATCAAGACTGGACTGTGTATATGTTGAAATGACTGTGTATCAGTACTGCCTCCCACAGAGTCAACTAAGATATCTGTAGCGCCAGCATCCAGGATGTCGCTAAGTGTGTTCACCAAGGTGCTTGTCTCATCAGACGGCGCTGGTATGCTAGGAGAGTCAGCAATACCCCCTGTTGATATTGCAACATTGGTGGTGAAGACGTGTTCCAGCCGATCATGTAGTTCTTTGGGTGTGAAATCTTCGTCTTCGCCTGGCTCTGCATCGGCAAGAAGTCTTTCAAGCTCTTTCAATGCGCGGCTGCTGCGCCAGATGTCGGATAAAGAATCAATCATAGACTCTGAGCCATCCCTGCTCGCCAGGCTTGACACGGCACGACTCCCCGATAGAAGAGCAACAATGGAGTCTTCGCTCCCTTCAATTCCGTGAAGCATAAGTCCGAGTAAAATCTCGACTGCCCGAACGTATCCAGGCGGGAGACCTCTCTTCCTCGGCCGTAGAGTCCAGCGGCATTGCCGTCTAAGGCTTGCACACGATCCGCACCGCGGATGAATGCCGTCGCAGCGCTCTTTTCTTTTACGACATTCATCGCATGCCCGAGTAACGCGCGCTCGCTTCATTGAGATCCTCCACGATGTGATCGTACTTAGTGTTACTCGCGGCGGATGCGTGCTGCTCGTTCCTCGAGCACATTTCACGGCGCAAATCCGGTTCCCGAGACATCAAGCGGGCCCTGGCACATACACAAGGGAGAACAGCAATCCGATATGGTTTGATTCAGTGAATTTGGATAAGTCGGAGTTACGAGCCCCGCACTAGGGTGCATAAACGTCACCCACAGGACTGACTCGCCGCAAACTCTCCACGTGTGGGTTGTCATACTAGGCACCGAAATCGCAAGGGCCGGAAGAGACCTCTTCCGGAGGACGAGCGGCTTCCAGACCCACGTATGAAGTGTCACATTCATAGACGATCCCTATCTACAACCCACAGTTTCGTAGTGGATTGAAGTTGGCATTGTCCATCGGGTTGCTTCACGAGCTACGACTCGACCATCGTCGAAATGAGGCTCGACGTGGATTGTATAGGTATCCAACAGAAACGTGCGTCCGCCTTGCTATGCGTGTCCAGCAATACATGCGTGCAGAGACCTAGACAGTCAGTCCCCCCTGATGCCTCAATCGTACTAGTCGGAGTCAGGGGAGCGGGCTGCTCAACCCTTGCTTTACTTGCCTCGACGTCTCTCCGACTGAGGTTGATTGATCTGGGGAGGACCTTTAAAGCCCAACTCGGCCAGACCAAAGCGGAATTCGTTGCTACTCATGGATGTCACGAGTATCGCCGGAGAGAAGTAGACCTCATGCGGTCCGTGCTACAGGAGCACCCTCAAGGTGCTGTCATATCCGCCGGGTCTATCTGTGTGGAAGTGTCTGGACGCGAAATCCTCCACGAGTTTTCCAAAAACCATCATGTCATATTCGTCATTAGAGATGCTGATGACATCTGCCAATATCTGCGTTCGTGCGAGTCCCAGATTGTCTCCGATCTTATTCATATGAGCAGTCCCATGTTCCGCGAGTTGTCAAGCTACGAATTTTACAATCTTTCCGACCAGTCCTTGGAGCAATCTCATGAGCCGATCCGGACTTCCTCTCAAAACCAGGGGCTTCTGCTCAAAAACATGGAAAGTGATTTTCTGCGACTTATCTACGCCATCCGCCAACAGAAACCACAATTACACACGGACCCGACAAGTAATTCGTTATCTTTAGCTTCTCTGGAGTCCCGTCATATGACATATGCACTGGCCTTGCCACTGGAGCTCGCCGAATCGTTCGTTCGCCGTAGTCAGAAACTCGATATAGTGGCCGATGCTGTCGAGCTGATTATCAGCATTGCAGACAATGTTGAGCAGGCCCCATTCTCTGACGCTATCGCCACGCAGATCACGCGGCAATACGGCGTTATTCGACGGGCCTTCCAGCTTCCCATTATTATTCACATTGCAATCCTTTGCAAGAGCGAGCACCTGAGTCATACGACAGCAAGACTTTATATACAACTGGCACACCAAGCGCTTCGCCTTGCTCCAGAGTATCTGACTATCGACGTTCGCCTCCAGGACAAACAAATTCGGCACATTGCCGATGCAAGAGGGCCGACAAAACTCATCGGTCATTTTCATGATCACAATCCGAGGGCAAATGCATGGTCAAGCCGTAAGAGGCAAGATATCTTACGCAGGATCAACACCTTCCCATGTGTCCTGGCTAGACTATGTCAAGAGGCTATATCAACTCAGGACAACTATTCTGCCCGGTTGTTCCGAGATCAGGCTAAATCATGGGACTGGAATCATATTCCCATCATAGCCTACAATACAGGCCATCGAGGCCGTGCTTCCAGGTCCATGAACCCCATTCTGAGCCCTGTTACCCATCACTTGTTGTCATTAGACGACTCACCAAAGGCTCTTGGCCTCGACGGTTTACTCGAGGCCACGGAAAGTCAAAGTGCTCTCTTTGCCTCCTTCACCCTGGAGCCGCAATTCTTCGGCATTTTCGGAGCAGATATTCTTGCGAGTCTTGCGCCCGATATGCAGAACGAAGCATTCCGATTTTGGACGATGCCGCACAAAACAACCATATTCCAGCGCTCATCTTTACGAGACTTACAAGATGTGATTAGAGACCCCAATTTTGGCGGCGCGAGTGTAGCTGCGCCCTTTAAACAAGCCATCATCCCCATGATCGATGATTTGAGCCCCGCAAGCATCGCCATAGGCGCAGTGAATACCCTCATCCCCATAAGAACACGAGGTTCTGATCGCCTTCTCCGCAGGGGCGACTGTGGCAAAGTTCTGTCTCTATATGGCGACAACACCGATTGGATCGGTGTATACACCTGCATTCGCAGGAATCTATCCCCCGTAAATAACGTCCAAGAAAGCACCACCGCTCTTGTGATAGGGGCTGGTGGCATGTCACAGGCGGCGGTCTACGGACTGATCCATCTTGGCATTCGCAACATCTTCATATACAATCGCACAAGGAGCAAGGCGGAAGATCTCGTTCAAAGATTCGACGGTAAGTGTTACTCCTCAGACCACAAGGCATTAGAAGCTACGGATCGAAGCAAAGTTACCGAAAGAGACAACGAAGCGTGCGGTCCAGCAAACCTCAACCTAATATCCTCACTTGAGGAGCCCTGGCCGGTATTCGCACCCCTCCCGACAGTGATTATTTCTTGCGTTCCAGGACTTACAGCGAGCGGGGAGACAAACATCAAGGTCCCTGATTCATGGCTTGGTAGAACAACAGGTGGTGTATTCTTAGAGGTTTGTATTAACTGTTTTCCCGTTTTCTGTACAACTGCCAACAAATATCACAGCTCACTTACAATCCTCCTGATACTTCCCTACTGAGACAAGTACGGAAATACGCGCACCGGGGATGGATTTTCGTTCACGGCCTGGAGATTTTAGCAGAGCAGGGCATGTCACAGTGGGAGGTATTCACAGGAAGGCGCGCTCCTAAAAATCATATGCGACAAAAAATGTGCCAGGCTTTTGCCCTAGCAACCGGGGAAGTTGATGTGTAAGAGAAATTCCATGAGAATTTTGGGCCTTTCAGTGTCGATGGGACTCAATCCAAGCATAATAGCTCGTAATTAAAGTAGTAACCGCCGATATATCATTTGGTATCTACCTACTGTTTCTTAGTTTGATTGAACACGTTCCTGGAATTTCTTCCACGAAGCCATCCCACGCTTCGCATGCTCGTATGGGACCTGCTCCCCTTCCTCCGCCATAGTTCGAGAAAACAACTCTAATGATACCCAGCCTTGGTAGCCCAGACCGTCTATAATTGCCTTGGCCACCTTCTCTACTGGCAAATAAGCCCCTCTGTCTGTCTCGTAAGCAAATGTCCTCGCGTTTCGGGACCAGCTCATTCTAGGTGGTTGACCTGGAACGTGGAAAGGGTGTGTTTCATCCAAAGGTACAGCTAAACGTTCTGCGTCGACAAATTGGATATAGAAGACCTTCTCCAGTTCCACTTCCTGAATCATTTTCTGAAGGGAGGCTTCAAGATCTGCATCAGCGTTGGGGGTTTTTCCCGTTGGTGAAGTTGGGTCTGCCCACACACGACCCGCAATATTGAAAGTATCAAGGCATATACCAAAGTTAGATCGGTCAACTCTCTTAACCACATCCCAAGCTGAGTCCCATGTATCGTTGACGGTGCTCCAGCACAGATTTTCATAGACGAATCGAATCGGGGGGCTTTCCTTCAGGCCAAGATCAGCTAGTTGCCGAAGATCCTCGACAATGACGTTAATGTCGGTTGTGACTTGATCAGCTGGGAGGAAGTTTGCTGGAATCTGAATGATAGTTGTCTGAAGCTCCTTTGCAATGCGGAACCAGAGGTGTATTTTTTCGATGAGCCGTGCATGCTGGGAGCGGTCAACCAAACCTTCGTAAAAGAGGAATGGCTGCAGACCGATGATCTCAAGCTTCTCACGCGTGCAAGTTTCGTGCACATGTCTGGCAGCTTGAAGTATATCCTCGCCGTCAGGTGTCTCTTTCGAAGTAAGCCTTTTTGCAAGATGCTCCAGATCCTCGTAGAAAATCTCGATCCCTTCAAACCCATGTTTTGAAGCCTGGTGTGCCTTGGCATCGAAATCATGGAGCCAAGCGCGTCCAAGGGACGCTGACATAATGCTAGGGCGTAGTGTAACCATGGTGCAAGAAGACAAATGAAACCGTTCTTGATGGGGTTCGCACCATCGATTCGCTACATAGTCGTCCGCAGTTATACTTCCTAAACTCATGGACATACATGACAAATGTTGGTGGGGATTGGGCGGCTTTTGTTTTTGCCGCCCGCCCTGGAATCGAGGCCGGAACGGAACTTCCATAGCTTTGGACCCCACCTACGATGGAATGGAGGGTACGGAAGAATCATGCACGTGTACGCCTGAAGCTAGATCCACCCACGGGGGAAGGCATTGGGAAATCATCAACGGAAACAGTGATAAGGGGGAATCAATGACGGCTCAATCGCTACATAGTGACTAGCTTATGGAAGGGAACAAGCTCTCTATCTAGTCTCTGACACAAATGTTAACCTGATGTACCTTTGATGACCTTGTGAGTTAAGTCCTTGAGCCGCTGAAATCACTAGTCAAATCGATTGCTCGCTCAAAAGTTCTTGAATCTATGAGGAATACAGCCCTTGCTGGTTTGACTGCTTGCTACGGAAACACTTAGGTCTTAGCATTCCAAGCCAGAACCTGCGATGTGATAAGGCAACATGTAATTCGTAGATCTCTTGTGTATAAGACTATTCTACCAAGAATCCTTTCCAATACATCTGCTCCAATCTTGTTCAATTGACTGAGACTTCAATCGAGCTGTAACTCGCTTGCGGCATATGTAAGTGCAGAAATATAGCCAAAAGCTCCTAGCCCGCAAATGACTGCCTTGGCCTTATCGTGAAAATAGCTATGGTGCCTAAAATGTTCCCTCGCATGGACATTGACTACATGCAGTTCGATAAACGGTATATTCACGCCAAGTAAGGCATCGCGAATTGCAACACCTGTGTGCGTGTATGCCGCTGGGTTGATAATAATGACATCGATATTTCCGAGAGCTTCTTGAATTCGATCAACGATGGCACCTTCGGAGTTGGATTGAAATGTTTGGAGCGTGGAACCAAGCTCAGCGGCTTTTGCTTGTGCGGCAGCCTCGACCTCTTTGAGCGTGGTTTTCCCGTATAGGTGAGGCTCTCTTGTGCCTAGTAGATTGAGATTCGGACCATTGATGATCAATATCCGGCGGCCAGTGCGGGAGCCCATAATGCAAGATTGATAACGACAGACTAAACGAGTAGTGGGTAGCTGAATCCTCGAACGACGTGACATAGAATCAATGATACATAAGTAACCTCCTCGCTATCCAAACGGCCATATATGTATCACCTTCTAAGGCCTTCCCTTAGAAAATGAATTCTTTCAAGCGCGGGTTAAGTCTCACCCATCCGGACGATCAGCCATCCCGGTTGAATATTTGTCCTTGTTGGGCTTGTAGAACTTGCGTGGCCCGCAAAACCACTAGATACGTTGATGATTTCGAGCAACTTGGAGAGAAAACCGGATATTGTCCAGTGGTATCCAGCTGCGACGTGGAGTTTGAGTCGTGGCACTCACCGTATTCCATTTTCCTTCTGACTTCGCCCACTCTATTGATGTTTCGGGTTTCATGAAACTGATAATTGGAAAAAAACATAATAATGCAAATCAACGCCCTAGAAGTTATGCCGCAACGCAATTTGGGTGTTCAACGTTTTGATACAAATGAGTGATCCATGGAGTGCTATCAGTCCAGATACTCAATTTACGCTCCCACTACTCGACATATAGCGTCGACAGATGCTCTTGCCCTGGCTGCCATTTCCTCAGGGCCGTTATCCTGCATTTTTGTCTCCTTCAAAAATGCCTCTAATGAGATCCAGCCTTTCCAGTTTGCCTCTTGGAAAAGGCAGTTTACCAGATTCTCCATCGGGAAATACCCTGGAGACTCCAAAGGAAAAGGCCGAGCTGATCTTGACCACGCCAACCTGTAATCTTTCACCTCTAGCCCTTCCATCAGAGGGGAGTCCTCTTTCAGCGGGGGATCAAAACGTGCTCCATCGGACAGCTGTATATACATGACTTTGTTTTTCGCGAACCATCCGGGCAGCTCCTTCAACGAGGCATTTGTTACCTTATCTGCATCCGGAAGCTTGCCATCCGCTGAGCGCGCGTCACCCCAAAGCTTCGCATGAATGTGAAATGAGTCTAGACAGTGGCCAAAATTAGGTCTTGCGACAGACTCGACAATACGAGCCGCATCTTGCCAGCGAGAGTTGTGGGGAGACCATGCTACAGCTTCATAGGCGATGCTTAAGCCATATTGTGCCGCAAGATCTGCCGCCTCCTGCAGCTCTCTAACAATGATCTCTTCATCGCCAGTGCTGTCAGCAAGGAACTGGGAAGGCATTTGCAAGATTTGAGTGTTGAGAACAGTGGCGATATAACACCATTCTCGAACCTGTCGAAGTCGTTCATCCAAACCACTACCTAGGTTCCCTTCGAAGAATTTAAAGGGGTTGAGCGACAAAATTGTTATTTGGTGAAGGTCGGCGTAGTCTCGTATTTGCTTCGCAGACTCGGTCATGTTTTGCCGACGTGAGGCAGCGTGCTGAGCCAAATCTGACCACACAAGCTCAATGCCATCAAAACCAAACTTGTTCAGTGCCTCGATCTTGCACTCCAGGGTATGAGAAGGATGCGTGCCAAGAGAGACGGACGCCACGGCCCATCGATGCTTGAAAGGCATGGCGATGAAAAACGCAAAGGAATGTATGTGAAGAGAGCCTTCTGAATGCTGTGAAGTTGGATTATCAAGTGGACGAATCTGGCGGAGCCATGTATCACCTTGGGCAAGTTCAACGGACACAGGTCAAATACCTGGCCCCAATCTTATACATGGATTCCCCAAAACCCTCTTCCGCCCCACAACGTGGAGCAGCACAGGCAATTGCTTCCGGCTATGCCTCCGGGATTCTTCGTATGCGAGGTTTACAAATTGCATCATCATGTAGAAGTGCTGAGCTTGTGATGTCTCGGCGTAGGTTACTCAGTAAGTTCCGTTATTGATGATCTGTTGTGTACTTTATCAGAATTACAGACTCAGAAGTTTATGCAACCTCCGTCCACCTTCATAAACCCCCCTGTCATGAACTTAGAATCATCACTAGCTAAGAAGGCAACTACACTAGATATATCCGACGCTTGAGCAAATCTTCCCAGAGGCATTGCATCCAGGAGGCTCTGAAGTTTCTCGGGGCTCCAGGTGTTGCGGAACATAACGCCATCCACGCCCGATGGATGGATTGTATTGACACGGATGCCGTACTGACCAAGCTCATTCGCTGCGGTTTGGGCAAAACCTCGTACGGCGTACTTCGACCCAGAGTATAGAATGAGCCCTGGCGTACCTCGTAGACCAGCAATCGAAGAGGTAATGATGATGCTACCACCATTCCCCAGATCCCGCATTGCTTTGCCTGTTGCTCGAATGCCAAGAAATGCTATACACGGGGCAGTTCAGCTCAAGTGCGAAAGAAAGGCGTGAAATATTAAAGAAAGGACAACAAGTGATCTCACCTGACTTAACATTTATTGCCATCAGCTTTTCATAGAGTTCCTCAGTCGTGTCGAATATGCTCGTGGAGCTGTAGCTGATGCCAGCGTTGAGAAACGCGCAGTCTAGTCGCCCAAAGGTGTCGACCGTCTTAGCCGTTGCAGCTTCCATATCCGCCGCTACCGTCACGTCTGTTTTGATAGCAATAATTCGGCTCGAGGCCTCCTGGTCGGCTGGTATGAGGGGTTTCAGCTGCTCCATAGCCTTGTCTAGAGCAGTAGTGCTGATGTCCAGTAGACTAAGACGAGCACCCTCCTGTAGGAGACGACTTGCCGACTCTAGCCCGATGGTCCCCCCGGCGCCAGTAATTAGGACCACTCTGTCCTGGAGACGTACCGCCATACTGAGCGCTTCAGGTGCTCCTGTGGTCATTGTCTGTTTCGGTGTCAATGTTAGACGTACAGAAAGAATCAAGCTTATGCGCAGCAAACTGCCTGTCTGAAAGAACGCGGTTTCTCAAACATCATGGGGGTACTTGGATTGAGATATTTACACCCAGTTACTTTCGAAATAGCCATAACAAACTGTTCCGTCCCCGCTCAATGCTGCTGGCAAGATCTGCGCCGCTTTGTCGGCCGAGAATAGCGTCAGGCAGAAGTTAAATCCGCCCCGCTGAGCCAAGAGAAAGCCTCCTTGCCCCAGGACTATATCTCTTCCGAAGCATGGTTCCACCCTCTTGAAAGATCTCCGACCAGTGTCATCGTCTGGGGACCCCGCAAAGAGGAGCATTTGACCTAGAGGCCCAGTAGGTGGAGAAGATTCCCAGTTTTGTAAACTCTGGAGAAGAAATTATTTCCCGGCCACGAAATAAGGATCAACTTGCATGGGTTAGTGAAGCAGCCAATTCCCGGAGGCTTGGTCACTTTTCCGTGAAAGTAGCTTCTCGACTTACGAACAATGAGTATATAAGTTCTATAACTCTTTGCTTCGTGCTAATAATACCACCAATACTTCATACCATATTATTTTTTATCATCACAAGCATCTCTTTGCGAACGTTGCCTTCTCAACCTACACTTCACGCAATCATGGGTGGCTTTCTCAAAGTGGTTGAGGACCGTCCAACTCCGCCAGCAGTATACAATTGGAGAATCTACAGTTGCTCTTTGCTCGCCAGCTTTGCGGCTATAGCTATTGGCTATGACTCGTCTTTCATCGGTACAACGATTTCCCTTGAATCGTTTGTTCGAGACTTCAACTTCAACCAATACTCTTCCAGTGGACTGGCGAAGCTAAAGGAAGATATTGTTTCTGTCTACCAGGCGGGCGCTTTCTTCGGCGCCTTGGCTGCATACGTCTGCAGCTACTTATTGGGCCGCAACAAATCCCTGCTTATATTTCTCCTGGTAGCTAGTCTCGGCGCAGCTCTCAACTGTGGTGCAAAGGGTGCAGGCGACCTTGGACTTATCATTGGCGGTCGTGTTCTTACGGGTTGGGGCATTGGCGGATGCTCCAGCTTGGTGCCCATCTACCTGTCAGAGCTCTCTCCACCTGGTATTCGTGGCAGGCTTGTTGGGTTTTGGGAGCTTGCCTGGCAGCTTGGAACCGTGGCTGGCTTCTGGATCAGCTATGGCGTTAATCAGACGTTGGCGCCGACTCGGAAGCAATGGGTTATCCCCTTCGCCATCCAACTCATTCCAGTTGGTTTACTGTTCTTCGGCGTCTTCTACCTTCCTGAGTCCCCGCGATGGCTCCTTGCCAACGGACAGCGTGATAAAGCTATCAAGAAATTGACATGGTTGCGGAAACTAGAGGCTGATGACATCTACATTGTCGAAGAGATAGCCTTCATCGACGCTGAGATCGAGCGACATAAGAGTGAAGTTGGTGTTGGTTTCTGGAAACCCTTTGCTGCCTTGAAGCAGAGGCGAATTCAATGGCGTTTTCTCATCGGCGGCTTGCTCTTCATGTTCCAGAACGGGAGTGGAATCAATGCAATGAACTACTACAGCCCTACAGTTTTCCAGTCAATTGGTATCCACGGACAATCAACGTACCTACTGACAACGGGCGTTTGGGGCATTGTCAAGAGTACCGAGTGTCTAGTTTGGCTCTTCTTCTGCATTGACCGTTTTGGCAGACGCAACCTTTTGCTCTGGGGATCTTTAGGGTGCTCCCTTTGCATGTGGTACTTGGGTGCTTACATCAAGATCGCTAGTCCGGATAACAATACCGCTCAGGATTCCCCGTCTGGCGGTGGAATTTCTGCCATTTTCTTCTTTTTCCTGTGGACATTGCCATACCAACTCAGTTGGGCGGGAAATTCTTGGGTCATCAACGCAGAGTTGTTTGATCTTAATACCCGGTAAGGACTTCTTGAACTTCAGCCATCGTTTAGGATCCCAGTTGTCACTAACCTTCAAGATGTCAGTGCACTCGGTCAAGCATCAGCTGCTGCCAATAACTGGTTTTGGAATTTCCTCATTTCCCGCTTCACCCCTAGTATGTTCCTCGCCATGGGATACGGTGTTTACTTCTTCTTCGCTTCCATGATGCTTCTTGGTATCGTGTTCGTGTGGTTTTGCATTCCAGAGACATCCAATATCCCCCTCGAAAAAATCGACCGACTCTTTGAAACCAAATCTGTACGCACAGCGAACGCCGTAGTCCTGGAGGAGATTAGGGCTGAGCAAGAGGAGTTCCGGAACCGGGATAAGCAGAGCATTGATGCCGAGGCTAAGGACGGAGCGACAGCCCATCTCGAGGTTAAGGTATAAGGGGGGTTGAAAAGATTGGAGATAGCTTTGTTTTACCTACTCGTGAAACCTTTATATCGGATTTCGAGGATGTGTTCCAGGAAAGCTTCACGAGACTCGATCCTATTCCTCAAAGATGTACAAGTAAAAGTGAGAGACTAGGAAGATACCTAATTTGGAAGAGTTCATAGTTAATCGGTTCAGGGAACATCTATACGGTGATTCCAGAACTATACCTACAGTCACTTGCTCAGATTACATCAAACCGTAATTTAACTTTAATCGTAAAGGTTGTTAAACTCGCGGCGGACATGTCACATGACCATCAGCTTTGCCCGATTATAGTTTCCTGCTGTTTCTGCTGGGTGTCTGATTGATGCCGACGATGGTCTAACACTCCACCGGTCTAAAAATCAAACGACACTCACCTTGAAGATGGTCCAAGAGACCCGGTCTCGGCATGATAAGACTTGAAATAATTTCCAGGCCTATGATACCTCCGCCTGGGCTGCTAGGAAATTGTGATAACTCCCAGTCGCTCGAGGCTCCTGAGCAGAATTCTGCGCCGCGTCTGTACGATCCTCGGCCGAGCCGTCCTCCTGCTGCGTCTCGTCTGGAACACCCCAGCCTCCGCCGCTCGGCTTATGCACGACGCATCTATCCCCAGCACCCATCTCAACCAGCCCGCGCGGCGGGAGCTGAATCCACTTATACGTCCCGCCCTCAGTCCTCTGCACCCAGAAGTTGCGGCCCGCGGCACCTGGTTCGCCCCCCTTCATACCGTGGGGTCTCCTCACTCGGCGCTCCGAGATGATCGAGAATGTTAGGGGCACGCGGCACTCCCAGTCCCGCACGATGCCATCTCCGCCGTTCCACCGCCCTCTACCGCCGCTGCCTCGGCGGATGGAGAACTCGCGTATGATAATAAGGAGCCTCCTTTCGAGCAGTTCGACGTCAGTAGTACGCGTATTCTGGGGGGTTCAAGTGTTAGCTCAAGTCTTTATCCCTTTCGAAGTGGTTGTTGTCAAGCAGTTACCGTCATGTGGATTTGCACGCCTGAGGCTCCGTGCCATCCCGGGCCGGCACCCTCGCCGCCACAGATCGTCTCGCCGTACTTGTACCCGTACCCGAGGATAGGCGTACCGTCAGGCTCGTAGCCAGCCTGGTCTAAAGACCGGCATCAGGTACCTATAGGTAATTTTAGGTATCTAATATAGAGAATAGGTCTAAAAAAAATATCTAAAAATTTATACAGGTAAATCTAGATATAGATTAATATCTAAATTTATCTATATTAAATTATAGATAGATTTATTTTATTATATAGATAAATTTAGATAATAATAAGAGTACCCTAGAGTACTATATTAAGAACTTTTATTTTAGTATAGAATAACTAGCTAGATAAGTATTCCCTCTACTAGTAAATACTAGTAAACTAAGTATCTTCTCTATCTTTACTATCAGATTTATTAGAACCCTTATTAGACTCCTTAGAACTCTTATTAAACTCCTTAGAACCCTTATTAGACTTAGAAGAAGGATTAAAAAGAGGATTAGAAGAAGGGTTAAAAGGAGGATTAAAAAGAGGATTAATATTAGTACTAGTAACTAGACTATATTTACTATTATTATATCTATTACTCTTACTATTATATTAGTTTATACTATATAAGGGAACTAGATTATAATTATAACTATAATTATAGTTATAATTAACTCTCTAAGCCTTATAAATTTCTAAAGTTTAAATTACTTTAAACTTTCTTTATTACTCTCTTTTAGTATTATTATCTATTTCTTTATTATAAACTTTAGTATATTAGATAGCTAGATATATTAATTAGATTAATTTAATTAGAATAATTAATTAGATATTAAAAAGTTACTTATTAGAAATTAGATTAAAAAACTTAGTAGATAGACTAGGAAATAAGCTTATAATTTCTTTTAATATTATAAAATCCTACTTTTAAATAGTAACTTATTTTATATAAATAATAAGAAGTTAAATAGCTATAATAAAAGATTAGTATATATATATAAAACCTATAAGTATATTATACCTATAAATATAGTAGTTAAAGTATCTTTAATAGTTTTCTAGATTATATCTAAAGCTAAACTTTATTAATATAGATTTATTTTATAATTATTAGTAATCTTATATATAAATTATATAAAGAGAGCTTTTAATATAAGTTTATTAATTAATCTCTAGTAGTAATAAATCTTTTAGAGTAATATAGTTATAATAGGATTAGAATTATTCTAATTAAATTATCCTAATAAAATATTATTTACTACTAGATCTCTATTTTTACTTAGGAGTAATAGTTATAGTAGGTTTTTTAATATAAGTAGTCTTTATAGTTAATTCTTTCTAAGAAGCTTTTCTTTCTATATAGTCTTTATAAGATACTTATTTAGTTCTAGCTATATTAGTATAGAAAAGTAGATTATACTAATTAAATTATACTAATAAAAGATTAATAATATTATATATAGAAGGAAATATTATAATAACTTACTATATTATAACTAGAATTAGTTATATTAAAATTTAGATTATAAAAGATTAAAATATAAGTAGAGTTTAAATTATAAATATAAAATTCTTAGATATAGAAAAAGTAGATTATATTAGATTTTAAGCTAATTAGAGACTATTAAATTATACTTTATTCTATATATTTTTCTTTTTAGTAAATATACTATTTTTTAAAATATCTAAGTTTTCTTTATATAAATTTAATTAAAATAACTATCTATACTAACTTTATAAATTTTTCTAATATACTTTCTAAGCTATTTTTACCCCTTCTAGTATATATATCT